CTGTTTCCAACTGCGCGCTGCTGTCTCTCCCAAATGGCCGTTTGCGTGTGTCAGTCATCTACGCAATTTTTTTTTAAAATAGACAGGACACAGATTTTTAAGTTGCACTAACTTATGTTAAATCAAGCCAGAAATATCAGTTCAAAATTCATGTATTATTGAGATAAACCTATTTTAATCATTTTAATTTAGGCCAAGTTATTATATTAGGTTATCAACGTATTATACACATACCAGACTTATTTTTTTTATGAAGGAAATGTTCTTGATTTTGAGCTATACCTCCTAACCCCATGAATCATTTCTTAGAGTGTGTTATTGTAACAGAACAGCAGACTCCACATCTCTTGTTATAAGACTGCATACATTTGGTGCACTGCAAAGATGGTAAAGGCAGAGACCAAGTCTTCCTCCTCAACCTCTTAGATTGTTTTTGTCCACGGCTAAACTGGATTGTAATGGTGTCATCAATTCATTAGCAATGAGATTTTACTGTTTTAGCGTCTATGAACAACTGTAACACTTTCACACCAAAAGCAATCCCGCTGTCCACAGAGATCATGGCCATTCAACATTCATTCATCCTTGATTTCTTTGTCCACATCTTGAAGACAAACATTCAACAAGAAATATCTGCAAAGTTCAGCTTTAAGTTTTCAAAGTCCCTTCAGGTGAATATGTTGGACTTTTTCATTCGGACACATGCGATCACTAAGTTCACAAAGTCACAGAGGTCTTGTTTTTCGGTCACAGCTCCTCTTTATGCAGCTCCTCTACTGCTTTGTTGTAAAATGTTTGTCATCTCTTCCTTTGGACGACTCCCACAGCTACGGGTCCCCAGAGGGCCGACCTGTCTGAATATCAAAAAGAGCAATTTGACTGTTCCTTTGAAATGCTGAGCTGTAATGTCAGCGCTGAGCTCTTTCAGATAGAAAAGGGAGAGGGAAATGTCAGAGCAGATTTCTATCACATGAGTCAATACAGAGCGCCTTGTGGTTTCCAGCCAGACCTCAACACAGGACAACTGCCCTTTTATTACCCGCAGTTTTAGAGCTTTTATTCAGGGTTTAGACACATCTTATCATTCAGAGTGCCGATTTTCTTTCTCAGAGAAACAAAAAGAGTTTCTGCTGCTCAATATTGACTCACTGGGCAGGTAAACTCCTTATCTTTGGTCTGATATGATGGCAGCTCCCTGAATCCAGTTGAAAACCTCAAGTTTTCCCCCTGTCATGGTGTTAGAAATAAAGTGAACTTTAGTGGGAGAGAAAGCATACATCCCTCCACTTACAAGATGCAAAATGGTTCATGCGATATTTGTAGAAACTCTGAAAACTTGCAGAAAACATATCCTGCAGCCATGGTTTGTTTTGAGATCCATGTTTTTGACTGGATTTTTCATCAGCTGAATAATCAAAATTATTAAAATCTTCATCCTAATATTGTTTTTCAAGAAATGTTCAATCCTCTTATTGAAAAAAAAGTAGAGAAAAGTCTGAGTTATACCACCAGAGTAAGTGATTAACTCCTTACAGTGAAACTAGAAAGATTTAGGGGGAAATGGGATAAATTGATCATGTTTGGAGGGACACATGCTTGTGTTGCTATTGGTTTAAAAAAAGACCAGTTTCATCTTTTATCCAAACAAACTAAACGAACAAAAATACTGTGTTCATGGCCTGGACACTGCACTTATGATCCACTCATAAAGGGAGCAGGTTCATACCAGGTAAACGGGTCCTACGGCAAGCTAATGGAAATTAGAGAATCGTTTCACTGATTAGCCAATATAAATTCAACTGATTATTGAACATATTGTGACCTGAGGGCTGCTTATCTCACAGTTTGGTTTGTAAGGGCTTGGTTTTATGGACTTGTGGCTCCACTTGGACTCGTGCATTGATGACTCAGACTCAAGCATTGATTGCATTAGGACTCAGAAGATGGGGAAGAGGACTGTGATTTTATTTTCGATAAGTGTTCATGTCATTTCTTTATATAAAACCCTGAGAGTGAGCTCACCAGAAACACCAACAGGATCAGTCAGAATCAAATGTCTTTTCTTCACATCTAAAAGGTCACTAACAGCCGGTCCAGATTTGCAATTCAACCTATACAGTCTTTTTACTTTCAGATCTACAGCTCACACTTCTTCTGATGCTGTTGCCTCTGTAGTTTTCTCTGCTGCCATCACTAATGTGTGGGTTACAAACTTGCCTGCCCAAGAAGGAGCGCTACAGCTCGCTAACACAGGCTGAAATGTTCTCAGAGGCTGTGAGGAGGAAAAGCAGCTCAGACCCACAAACAGAGCCAACACACAGGGCCCATTTAAGCCTAATAATAAACACTTTAAATTTAATGTTGGTGGTTAAAGGGGGATTTGGTGAGTCTTGGTATTCAGACTCAATTAAGCCTGGAAAATGCATTGAGTCGTTCTCGTAAAGTGTGACCGCTGCGGACACAGCTGACTTGTTAAAGTTGCTGCTTTTAGAAATGTCCAGCCCGGACTCGTGTTTTTATGGCTCTTTATAAAGATTAGAGGAATAAACTTAATTGGATCCATTTAAAACTCCTTAAAAAAGGGAACTCAGGCTATGAGTAACAAATGGAAAAACAAGTGCAGCACTCATTATTATGTTTTAGTCAGATTTGAGACACAACCAATGTGATCTTAAACAGTTTGATTTATCATATTATTATTATCACACATAAGCTCAGGGTCCTTTTTTGTCATAATTATCAGTTATTTTGTACCGTGTCTCTAAGAAACTTATTAGAAATTGCTTATTTTGTCATGATATAAAAAAGTTTGCTGAATTTCTCAGCAATGATGATGTGGACAAATCATAAATTTGAACACCATTAGAAGTTAATTATGGCACGTAAGTTATTGGCATTTATTAATAAAGTTTAGAAATTAGTGTGTTACCTGACCTTTTGATGCATTTAGGGAGAACGTCCAACTATTCAGGCATAATTCTTGAGTCATTTAATTTAATCATGTGTTAGTGCCTATTTATCTGTTTCTGGTGAGTCTCAGTTTCATTGTAGACAGGAAATTACATAGAGGGCTTTTCCCTGGCTTACTCGTGCAGTATGAACCTCAAAACAAAGTCTTCAGTTTGCTGAAATAACAACATCACAGCTCAGATTGGTAAAATTTAACAGTCAAGCTTTATCATGTCTATCCTCAAGAGAAGAAAACAACTTTGAAATTGTTTGTTGAATGTAGGTCAGTTCCATCATTTCTGATGCATTCATGGAAGTTAGGAAATCTAAGCGCTCATTGTCTTTAGTGACTCAGCATCAAGCAGATTATCATCTCAGTGTAAATGTTTGATCTAGAACAGACTGTCTGCTGACCTTCATGCGGATATTTGTTAATACAGAGAAATAAATCCTCCTTAGATTACTAACAGTGGGCGCTGGAGTCATTCTGGTGGATTGTGTTCTGCCTATTTTTGCTCTCCATACAGACTGTTTTTCCTGCAGAGGCCAAAGACTGCTGACACCTGATTAGTCAGTACTAGTCAGACTATCATAAAACCACTTATAGTATTTTAGTCACCTAAGACAGAGGAAGCCACTCTGACTCAGCCCTTGTTAACAAAGTTGTGTCTTTTTAGGACTAATGAATCCTACAAGCTCAGAAGCACCGATACTTAACTCAGGCCTCCCTCAGTATTTTGCAGTCTTGGTATTTTCACACCCTGCTGATCAGTGAAACCTTCGACAGGTGATCTTATAGAGGCTGAACTCTCCTTCTGAGCTCCAGACTCATCTGGTCACCCAGCTGCTTTCTCTCATAACGCTTCAGAGGCTTTTGATGCTCAAAAGCAATTTCCTACAGATGACTATCACATTACATCAAATTAAACGGCGTTACCTCACACCCAACGAAGAGGTTTATTTACTCAACAGATGGCCGCCTTATCCCGGGGAAATATGAAACGTGCCTCCCTGGATCCTGCAGGTTCACTCACTTTTTTAATGGCTTTTTAAAGTCAGGTCAGGTGTGTTTTTCAGGTCTGACATGCAGAATTTGACCCCGAAAGCCAAGACTTAAACACTAGATAATACCCTGATAAATTCGGAGAAGAATATGCACCTCTATTAAATCTAATAAATCACTTTCCATCATGTTAAAGTCATCTGCTGTGTTAGAAAAACACAGTTTAATGACTCCTCCACAGGCTGAATGCCAATTCGGATGTTTCCTGGTTCTATGAGGAAACATGATGTATGTCTGTTTCCTGTTTTGCTCTGGTGAATGGGCTCTTTGTGCCCTGTGCTCGGCTGCAGGAGCTCTGATCGAGTCTCTAAAGGATGGTGAGCTGAGAGCTGTTCTCTGTGTGCAGGCTGCTGACAGAGAAACAGATAACAGACAGACAGAGGAGGTCACTGTTAAAGAGGAGGGATGGAAATAATGACCTCTGTTTGGTGGAGATATCGCCTTATCATTTGACCTTTAGCTCACTGACTCCATCATTAGAGACTATTCAAGTGGAAAAGCCATTCACCAAAAACCACTCCATGAGTGCTCACACTTATGAATGAAATGTAAATGAACATAAAATATAATGAATTTATGTCAATATACGAGCTCAAAGTGAAAAAAGTTTGGCTGGGGGAACATGGCCATAAAAATACCACTGCGTGAGCTTTAAAGACATAAAAGATATTAATTTTTCATTTCAGCCAAAAACAATGTCATCATTGATGAAAACAGGAACCAGATGTGTGATACTGAAGCTCTGAGGCAAGAGTAAATAACATACCTCTGGTTTGAAGTGTCTGAAGTTTGTGTCAAAGACAAAATGAACGGTGGTGTGCAAATGTCTGGTGCTTTAAAAGACAATTCATCCAGCTTAACAGTTTGACAAACTATGTTGTTGATCCAAAATAATTGTGAGCTGATGCTGGCCACGAAGAGGAGATAATAAGTGAAAAATTTTTCAAACTTCTCACCACTATGTGGAACCAGTGAGATGCTGATTGACTTGCAGTGCAGAAGTTGGTGCAACAGTGAAGGCATACTGAGTTTACCCACGGTTAGTTTACCTCAGAAAGAAGAAGGATCCAAACTCTGCTCTTAAACAGTAAGAGGGATCACAGACAACTTGAGCAAGACTATATACAGCCTCTGTAGATCTTAATGGATACATTGAATGTGGATTACATTTTTACTGGACTTACACCAAGTTTACATGTTTGTCAGTTGTTCACTTCCATTGATTTTAAACTGTTGTTCAGCTAATATACAGTTATATTAGTTATACATCAGTTCTTTTGTGACGGGGATACCAGATCAGGAGCCAGTCCCTGCTTAAGAATGAGTAAGAAAGGTCCATCTGATAGGGCAGAGTGGGGTAAGATGAGCCATTTTTCATATTTCAGATCACCACTTCAAGACAATCATAGTTGAGCCGTATCCCTACTACACTATCTCCTAAATATTTGGTCACATGATCAATTACTTTTTTCTACACTTTGACTCAACTTACCCCACTCTCCCCTACTCATTTTTTAATTGAATAAAACACTTCATATATCTTGTTTTGGTTCAGACTGCCAACCACTCTTCAGAAAAAAACTACAGTGACTTTTGTAGACTTATGCTTATTTTCTTAATAGCATATACTACAAACATAGGGGGCAGCTTGAAGTTTGCACTACTCATAAGCAATGACATTTGTGGTGCACATGTCAGCATAATAGTCGATTAATGCCTTGTTGTCTGAATACTTTGTCCTAGCCTCTGTTGCTTCAGTTAGAACTGTTTAAAAAAATCAGTGTCTGGTTCAACCCTTAACTTCGTACAATGTGAACCTCTGAGTTTTTCCATCTTTGCCGTGCTCAATAAAAAGAAAGGTGTAGGATTTTCTGGTCTTTTCTAGGTTGTTGCACTCAGTTATTTCACTTTTTAAAAAAAGGAGAGACTCCATGAGGATCTAAGAGGCTTTAAGACTTCAGGTTTGTCCTCTATTTTACTCCGCTGGATTGGTGAGTGTGTGCGTGTGGGTCTGAGTGAGTAAGGTTAGGGAGTGCTGGCCACCGGGTGCAGCTCCTGCGTCAACAAATGACTCTAAAGCTATTCTCAGCAGCGTGTCCTCATTAAAACATTCCCCAAAGTGCCCCTCCATAAAACGCCCTTGGCTTCATGTTTAGGTGTCTAATTAGGGTCCCTGCCTCAGCCTTGGTCCAGGCTTGTGTGTCAATTTAATGAGCCAATTAGGGATATTAGTGATATTGTATCTGGACTATCAGGAGGTTTGGGGGGTGCTGGGTAGTGTAGTGCAGGCTAAGGGGGCAGTGGGAGGACAGGGGTGTTTGGTTGCAGATGTGTCTGTGCAGCTCCAGCAGTAACCAGCTGTTAAGACAGAAAGGTAAATACTTTTTATCATTAGTGGATGAGATGGAAACACCAGTCTGAACAGGTTCCCTTATGTAAAAAGCGCAGTAATACCCACCTGTGTGACACTTTAAGGATAAAAACAGCAACCAGGGAAAAAAAAGTTTATTAAGGAGAGAAATGCCTTCAATATGACTTTTTTGGTTTCAAACATGAACTTCTGTACTTTAATTAGACAATTAAACCAATATTGAGGTTCATTGAAGCTGTGCTCTTTTAAATGACCAGCAGGGGGCGTCTGATTGTATAGAACTCAAAGAAAATGATCATCTTACAGTTAATTTATTCCCTCAGTAAACATTTTCTAAATAAATTTTCAGTCTTTATCTCCAGTTCCATGTCTTTTACAACACAGCGTTCATTTATTAAATACTGGTACCATTTCTGGCCCTATTTTAACTACCCACAATGCACTGTCTAGAGCATGTGGTGCAAGGTAAATAAGAGCATGTCTTTCTTCATTTTGCTGGGTTTCAAGCAGAGTACAATCTGGGTGCAAAGTGAAGCACAGGCTGCAAAGAGGTCGGACTGAGTCTGTTGATAATTCAAAGATGTAGTTTGGATGTGACATGAAACAAATCTCCCAGCTCCCATTTTCTTTAAGATTCAGATGAACCTGCAGGCATAGGTATGTCACATGTCACTATTTGGATGGCCCTTCTACTGTAATACACCAGGGGTAAACATAAAACAATACAAAACAAACAGATAAAATTTGACTGTTAAGGCAGTCTTTCTCCCACTTTGGGGGAAAAACTGCCTCCTATTTATCATGAAAGGTCTTGAGTTTTGTCCCATGTAAACCTTGTCATTTAACGGCGTGAATGTTGCTAACAACCAATATATGCGCCTTCTCTGATCCTTTACAGGAAGCAAAACAAGGTGAGGAACAAGTATGGACTGTTATTCTGTGAGTTTGTGTCCTGTTTGGAGCATCCCTAAGCAAGCAGTGCATCAAACCTTTGGCCTAACGCCTTTGTACTAGAAAATCTTCTCCGACTCAAAGGTTACATCCATTTATTTTACTCCAAAGTTGGCTTAAAAAAAGTACATTAATTTCATAGAAAGGCTCTTGGAATACCTGAAGAACTTGAACAACCATATTCAAATCCTTTTAAGTCACTTTGAGCTGCAGCAGAGTTCAGGTCGGTGTCAGTGACTGAACTGCAGGATGTGTGAGTCGAGCCCTGTGTGCAGCTTTGAGTGTGTGAGCCGCTGTGTGAGCTGAGTGCCGTGCTGCAAATTGCATCTGTTCCTAATTACAGAGTGCTAATGAAAGCCTGTACTCCTGGTGGGCCTGCTGAGGACGGGGTTTGGCACCTCGCCGCCGCCGCTCAGAGGAGGGAGGAGAGTGATGACACGCTGAAGTCATAAACAAAATGAAATACAGAACAAGGTGAAGACTGACAGAGACAGAGGAGTGAGGAGAGGATTACTGAAGGACGGCTGCTGGACTCTCAAACTTTATCCTCCACGGTGTTAAATATAAGATCAGTCTTCAGAGTGAAGCTGACAAAAGCTTTGTGCGTTTAAATCTGGTTGTGTTTAGATGTTTTGAATGTAACCAGACTACTTGTCCTATTATTAAAGGAGTAGTTTGTAAAGCTGCTTCTAGTGGAGAAATGCATTATCCCGCAGATCGTCAATGTGAACACTTTGCTAGAAATTTTAAGAAGCAGTATTAAGTTGCTTATGATCTATGAAGCTACGTTTGAAGCTGAAAAGTGCCAAAGTGACTGCAAAAAAAATGCAGTTCCTTTAGTGTCCACTGGAGGCTAGCTCCAAGAAAGAGTCAATCCTCATACAGCCCCATATTAAGGTTCCTAACTTTGCAGCAGAATTTAACATGTTTACAGGCTGGTACAAAAATAAAAATATAATGTGAATTGTATTATACAGTGTCAGTCATTACATAGTGTGTAACTTGGTCTCGAAAATTTATTTAATTTATAAATGTAATTAATTTATAAATAATATACTTATTTGTTTTAAAACTGCTGTGTTCTCATAAAAGTTTATTTTGTTTCTCTAATGTCTATATTTGACTGAAATTACAATCTCTGGGGAATGCGAATCTCAGGGCTGACATCTAGAAACCAACAACCATCCACGCTCACATTCACAACTACTGGCAATTTGAAAGTGGCCAATTAACCTAACCCCACTTAGGCATGTTTTTTGGGATGTGGGAGAAACCCGGAGTACCCGGAGTAAACCCACGTAGACACAGAAAGGACGCGCAAACTCCACACAGAAACACCCTGACCCAGATTCAAACCAGAAAGTGCTAACCACTACACCACTGTGCCGCCTGAATTACAACTTTATACTGTTAAATTTACAATCTTAATCACAGCACATAAATTCACTTTATTTCTCATAACTTGGTCATCAAAAGACTACGTCTTCATTATTTTATGATTATTCATTCTCATTAAACTACAGCTTCAGCCTCAAAAGTATTACAAATCAATCGTCATAAATTAACAACTTCTTTTTGTAAAAAACGTATTCTCATTAAATAAGTTCTTGTTAAGAAACAACTCATAAACAAGCATATTTTCTTTTATGAAGCTTTTTTATGGAAAATTATGACTTTCTTATTGTTGTATGACTTTATTTTATATACAACAGCAACTTCATTTTTTGAAATCCCAGTTTTTTTACTTTTTCAATGTGACTCTAATCCATCTGTCATATCTGATAAATTGTTGACGCATCAAAGAGGATATCTGTTTTGTTCCCGTGTGAAATTTCATATTCTTGCAATCAGAGTAATTATTCAAGTGTTTTCTTACTTTAAGTGCTGAAAAACCTGTTGCAAGGGCACGGTACCTGTTTTCATCTTAATTATATGGTTTGCTTTCGTTACCCAGCATGCACAGGTGAGCACAGGTAAATTCAGCAGCTCTCTCCTGGTGAGTTCAGGCTCGGTCACAGTGCTCACGTTTCAGTGACTTGAGTCTGAGTCTTCTCTCCTCCACCTTGACCTTCTGCCTCTCTTCCTCCCTGATATTGCAGAGCCATGAGAACTTTCTGGAAGCTCTGCAGTGGGAGGTTTGGGGTGTAAAACTCAAGCAGGGACCCTGAATGTTGCTAATTCATTTACAGATTTAATTAGATGGATGGAGCCCTGGCCGTTATTAAAACAGAGAGGGAGAGAGTGTTGCCAGCTCTACAGGACTTTTTAATTACAACTCCACAGCCCCGCTCGCTGACGTCTGGGGAACCGCTTAATTAAAATCCTCATTATTTTACTTTTAATTAGTTCCCCCCTCTTTTGTTTCCTTGCGCCATATGGCAATGTTCCGTGGTCAAATCAACTTAATTGAGCTAATTAAGTTGATCAGTTTAATTATTCAAAGTATTCTGATTGGATGAAATTACTACCCATCCCCCCTCCCTCATTAAGCACCAAAAACATCCCCGCTCCAGTCTCTTGTTTTACGCTCTCCGCTTCACAGCAGATCCATTTCATATCAGAGGAGTTGAAGGACGGAGACGCTCTGATCTTTCAGCATAACACCGGCAGGATGTACGTTCGCTAGTAGCCAAGGACAAACGTGCTGCACCAACTTGAGCAATTTCCTCAAGGAGAAAAAAGACTGCAGACTCACAAACACAGGCACAAACTACAAAACAAATGCAAAAATGATAAAACCATGCTGCAAAACGTCAAAAAAAAAAACAAATGCATCATCATCGAGAACATCAAAATCCTTTTGTTGATGCAAAATTGTGAAATAAGAGGCATCCAGTTATCAGACCACATGAGGATGAAGCCTGCAAATTAGTTTTGTTTCATGTGATTTTGAATTTGCATTATTTCTGATTCTGCAGCCCATTTCACCCAACAGAAGTTCACACACAATATCGCACATATGTGGCCTCACACTATTTTCTCATGACATCTCTTATAGTTATCTCATAGTATCCTTTGACTCTAAAGGGAACATAAATAGTCAAAAGATGTTCTGCATTTCAAAAGATCTCATGTGTGAGCTTAAAAGAACTGCTTTACTTGATAACAATTATGGTTGTCAACTTTTATTCAGGGCTGTGTTTGTTCATGACATAATTTGCGTAGGCAGCACCACAAACGTCAGTTTGACTGAAAGAAAGTTCATGATTTGCATGCACCAAGTTCCCTTTTGCAGTACAGCCCTGTTCTGCGACCTCCCCTCCCTTCCATGTGGGTATGTGGAACGGTATTTACAGTTTCAAACGAAGAAGATCTGCCTCATTGATTTGCAGGACCAAAACACACACACATTTTCTTCTACATTTCATGAAGTCTTTGAATTTTAAGGGTGTGGAGTTTGCATCATCTGCAGAAATATCACTCAATTTTTACAATTTTGTTTGTTATGTATAATTGTACCCTATTTTCTTCCAGCATTGATTACACTTTATATGAACCCATCTCTTATGAAGCATCATGAGCACATTTATAAAGTCTTATCAATGCATCTATAAGGTTTTATAACAATCCTTATTCATAATATCTCATAACAATGTTAATGAAGTGCTATACCCAGTGAGCATCATTAGGCTTATTACACTGTGTAAATGTATAAGACACAGGTTCATATAAAGTGTTACCAAGTTCTTTAACTTTTTATGGTCCAGGGTGCAATATTTAGAGGTCTGTACGGGAAGAAATAGTACATAATCTTGTTCAACTTGGGACCGCTTCATTCATTGAGATTTATTATTAGTTATATTTGGTGGAATGTCTGATCTGAGGGCTCCCCTACCCATCCGTGTGTGTATGTAGAATTCCAAAGCTTGAGATGAGAGGAGCACCCCTCCCCTCTGTTTCTGAAGATTTCTGTGATTTCATTGTCTGAAATCACAGAAATCTGCAGGGACTGTAAATGCCAAAAGAACAAATGAAGCAAAGAACAGTTAAAGCTGCAACATGAGCTGAGGTCAGGGGCAACACCTTGTCTACCTATTTATTACATTAATTAACCTCACCGTAATCCTTTTAATTGCATTAGTTTTAGTGGAATTTTCCTCCTCAGTGCCAGCAGCTCTGAGTTTGTTGACTTCACACAAAGCCTCAGAGCTGATAGGAAATCAATTATTTACTCCGTGTCTGTGATCATGACAAGCATAAGACAAATTCATTAACGCATGCAAATGACTTTAATTGCAATTATCTCCATATCTTGATAAGCAGAGAGGGGGGTCTTCCAGTCTCCCTCCATGGTGCAAGTTTGATCCCACACCCCAACCAATCAAGCCTCATCTGCATTTATTAATTAGCCGACGAATTTGAGAAGTAATTAGCAAGAGAGCAAAGATACGAGGGGAGGAGAGTCAGAGTTTTCTAGAGGGCACGAACTACAGATCGAGTCATGTTTATACAACATTCAATAAATCTAAAAGTGATGTTTTTTTTAATGAACCACCGTACCCAACAAAATTCATGTTTCAGGTATTTCATCATTCAGGTTGTAGATCTGAATCTATCCTCTCAGGTACAACACAAGGATTCTTGAATTGACCCTATTTAAGACACTTTATATGACACTCTTTTATTTAATGGTGTATATATAATAGTTTTTGAATTGTTTATTTGTCCCAGTTGACTTAAAAGCAAGAATTCCCATTCTGTTGCGAAAACATCACAAATTGAGGATCTGCAGCCTCTCAGTTTCTGACCTCATTGTGCATGTAGTGAGAGGATGATGATGCTATGATGACGCTCTGTCATCATGCTGATTTAGACTGTTACTGACAGATGCAGAAGCAGAAAAAATCAAAACAGATTTTGTGAGCCTTCCAGAAGAACCTGCACTCGAACAAGAGGAGGTTACAGTTGAGATGTTACATATCAACTTGTACATCAGCATATCTCTGAGTGGTGTGTTAAAAATGTAAAAAAATGTTAAAATGTTAGAGTGATTCCTTACTGCTTTTACTATGTTACTTTCATGAGTAACATGGTTAAGTTAATATGGTTGACCTTCGTTACTGAAGTAGCTCAAAGTAAAGTGGTTGAGACAAACAAATTAGCTCTAACTGTATTAACCACTGTCTAACCATTGTTTTTGGTCCTCCAGTGTTGGGAGAAGTTCAGGCATTTGTGTAAGGTTTTGCAACTGAAAACACAGCGATTGGTGTGTGAGGCACTAACCTTTGTCACCTTGACTCTGCCACACAGAGGATCTGCGGCCTTTCGGTTTGCTTTAATGAGGCTCTGTACTGATTGGCTGCTTAAACGTTGCTTAACGGAGTAGAGTGCAGATTGAGACGGATGAATGCAGTGGAGGAAAAATGCCAAAACATGCAGAGTGTTCCAGGAGGAGCCACACCGGCGCCCTGCAAAATGTCTCGTTATTTACAGAGAACTCAATCACCCAGCAGCATCACTTAGAGATGGCACATCTACTATTGTTTGGTCATGGCTTATTGGGAAAGATCCTTTAATGGGGTCAGTGTGAAAAACCAAGCTTTTACTCTTTTTACAAGCTTTTAACTTGGCAACACCGAAGCACAACCCCAATAACATTGGTGGAAGTGGAATCACTGCAGGAGTGAAAGCAGTCTTAGCATGCATGCCTATGAAAATCACCCTTATTATATCACTATATTATCGAATTCAAATATCCTTGGAGAAGCTGGGTGTTTACAGTGGGTGAACTGCAAAAACAATAGTAAGACTATTTTACTTCTGCATTCTCAGGGTTACTAATCTGGAGGATGACTCAAGTTAACATTAATTCATTATTTTAAACCAGACCAGATCTTTTACTAAACCTTTTTGTGCCCATCTAAAAATGTAAGTCACCACACTTTCATCGAGTTAGGGAAAGTAGATCCTAGTTTAGGCTAAAACTTTCCCAAAGTCAATTATCTCTATTTCCAGCTTCTTTTGGGTCAATGGTAAACCACTTCCAGCCATGCTAGGTTTAAAGCTTACCCACTGTTACATGCCTTGGATTAGCCCCTGCTCATCACTTTGTGGTGAGTCTCAGTTTCGCTGTAAATAGCACGCTATGCAGAGGTGTTATTCTGGGTGATGTCAGGGGTGTGAACATTAGGAAGAAACTGTTTTTTCACGATTTTCTTCAATAAACAGGTCTTTAGTTTGCTGAAAAAAAAACATGGTGTAGATTAATAAAAGGAGTAAGAACTCAATCTTTGTCAGGTCTGTCCCTAAAATGAGAGGAAAACTTTTAAATGTTTGTCTGTTGAATAGAAGTTAAAGAAATCAGTGTTGTCAATGGGATGTCATTACTGTGGATTGTGTTCCTCCTGCTTTTGCTCTCCATACAGACAATGAAACCTGCCAATATCTGATTGGTCAATGTACTAAAAACTAGGAACCAGAGCCATTCTCTTATTAAATTCAAGATCTCAAGCTGTAGTAGTTTGTGATTTCACCTTTTCCTGTTGACACTGTACCAAAATCGTTGGTATATCTATAGTACAGTTAATCTCTCAAATTACTCTGAGAGCCTAAAACTGTGGGTTTGTTGTTATTGCTGACCTGTTACCTGCACAGTAGAGAAGACAAAAGGAGGAAACCTATACAGAAATTAGCATGGGATGTTGAAACACACTGTCTTTCACTTAGGAGCTGTATAAAAGAGACATCTACCAAATTGAAGACAACAGACACAAAGCAGTGCTGTTGTTATATACAGTGTTTACCCCACAAGTCTGCCTATAGCAGCACTGTTGTCAATGAGTTTAAGAGACATTTTGCTTTTGCTGTAAATTAATTTTAAATCACTAATTTCTTTAGATCAATTATCAACATGTTTATATCTTTAGCTGATAATAAACGGGATATTGTAAAATGAACAGGACCCCTAATGTTGGACCAGAGCCGGATCCATTAAGACATTTTGTGCAACATATTTGCATCTAGTTTGTGCTTTTATGTAACAAGTGCCTACAGACTGTGGAGAAAATCATACCTTTATTTTACAGGTAATGAGTTTCTCCTCCACTAAAACTCTGGAAATATTCACAGATTGTGGTTGTTCTTTCTTTAATTCACGATTGACTGAGAATCTTCTAATAGCAGAGCAACAGTCGGACTAAAGTAAAGCAGTAAATTTGTTGGAAACTTTGTGTGAGTCAGTTCTGGAGTCATGAGTGAAGAAGCAGAGGAATGTGTTGAGCTGCCGTCGTTGTGAAAGAGCACTTTGAAACAGGACCATTAAAAGCCTCATTGTTGCTGTGAATGTGAAGCTAATTGGACTAACCCTGTGAGAGGAGCCGCTCAGCTCTCCGGGCCACGTTAATTTGAAGAGTCACAGCTGGCTACTCATGTGTGCTTCAGTCTCTAATTCTGTTCTGTGGAAAGCCACACAGACAATATGGAGCAGGAGTGATCCTAAAATTAGCGAGGAACAGATGATCCTGCAGTTTCCATGCCAAACGTACATATAAAAAACAACAGGCTAATTAAAACGAAACAGAGTTCATGCCAGAAAGCAATCAGAGAGGAGAGCTTGGAGAGATCAGAGAGCAGCAAACATGTTGAAAATGTCGAGTAAAATGTTTTAATTTGAAAGGACAGTGAAGTGAAAGAGTCTTTTATGGTTTGGACAATGCTTTTTTAAGATTTCACTTTGTTTTTTCCCCTCAGACAGCTACAGGGAGCAGAGAGCGTCGCTGCCTGGTGCCCACAGGAAAAGGCTCCCTCCCTTTTAATTAGACCAGCTCACCAGATTAGGCCTCATTAGGCTGCAGCACTGGAGTGCAGCTAAAGCCCATGCAGGCCTGCAGCGCATCCCGCTTTAATTGCTTCAGTAATGGCCTCGACTCAGGCCTTTGAAATCCCATTCCTGTGGGTAATCAGCCATGTTTGTCTGAGAGAAGAGGAGCGTCTCTTACCTCTTACTCAGGCTGCAGCGGCTAACTGTAACTCTGCTGCTTACTGTAGCTTTAGACAAATCCACTCATTCATCATATCACACAAAACTGAGTTATTTTGTGTAGACTTTTTTCTCTCCATTATAGAGCCAGAAATCTTGGCTTGATAGGAAAAAAAAAACACCAAAAGCAACACTGAAAACTCGCTGCAGCACAGAACACAACAAAGTATAAGTGCATCTTAAACACATTTGCCCAATTGTCCTTTACACGGTCATTAAATATGGACAGGTGAGTTGAAACCTCAAAAACTTTAGAGGCCCAAAGCAGACATGCATCCAGATATTTGTTTATGCTGAGTTAATTTGCATCTGTTTCCAAAACTGGACCCATCCTCATCATATCCCCAGACTTGTAGAAGTGCAAAACACACATCTAGTATTAACAAACAAAAAAAAACTTGAGTGGGCTGCACATGTCCACAAATTTACTCAAACTTTTTCCTGCAGACATTGAAGTAAAATTTCTGCAAGAGGTCAGGTGATGACATTTATGCAACTGATGCATACCTGGAAGACCAAACACATAAAAGGATGACAAGAAGATCTAAGGTCAGGGTGCTGGCTGCAAAAGCACTTTTCTATTTCTCTTCAGTTGTTGCTTAAATAAAAGTGAATATACGCCAAAAATGTACCTTTAAATAAAAAGAGACCATCCAAGGTCAAAGGAGAAACATTTACAAGAAAAGAACAGTGAAGATGTACACACATGGGGGCTATCTAAAGTTTTCAGAAGTTCGAGGCTGTAGAAATAGGCTGAGCTCCAATTCCTTCAAAAGGTTGAATTTAGAGACCAAATGCCTCACAGCAGCGCATTGAGGGTGTCCCATTTTAAAGCCTCCTCCAAATGCAGCCGACAAATGTGTCCTACTTTTTCTGGGTTTCAGTGCTGTACTGTTAAACAAAAGTTTTAGGTTTTAACTCAGTAACAAGCTGTACAAATGTTGTAAAAGACAGAGGCACTGAAATATCAAATTATCTTTAAATTATCTTGGTGATGTTGTTTAAGTTACACCAGCGATGCTAGCTGGTTAGCTCGTCTGTAGCTAAGCAACACCATTTTCTGGGTAGTGACATAAGCACACAATCCTCTGAGGTGCGGACAGTCTCAATTCAGTTTGGCCTCACCAGTCTACATGGGCCACATTGGCTGAGACCTTTCATGGGTGCAGCCTCTGGACTGGGACACAGCTGTAGTCCGAGTTAGGGTGGACCTAACTCAGTGTTAGGGTATGTTTGACCATGGCTTGAATTTTTGCCAGAATATCCCTTTAACCTATCAGTGTAAGCCATGGCAGCATAGTGTGTCACGGTCTGGCCTAGCTTAGTAGCATACTCCTGCTAAACACAACAATGCTGCCTGCAATCAACCTTTTGTTGGGTGGGTTTCAGTGTCTTGCATCACCTCCATGTGGGACTACAGACCAGCATTACTGGTGTGCTATATCTGCTGCAACCATCTCTTCAAATATCATTTCACTTTAAATGATTAATGTCATTGCACACCGTCTCTGTTGGATAAATAAACTAAACAAAAACTAAAGAACATGGGTGAATTTTCAGTTGCATCAAGTGGGGTCTGTGTATGATGGTGGCAGCTGCACTGGCACTTTGTTCTGTATCACAAAGAAGTGAAGTTAATCAGATTTATGGATACATGCCTGCTTTGGACTTCCATTAAAATCGTGAGCATTACTGCACCTAAAAGTTCAGTTTATATAACAGCTGCTTTATCTTTTGTAGCATCTTGTTTCCAAGCATACTTGCAAACCCTAAAAAGTGTCCATGATGTCTGAAGCTACCTTTGACAGCTGCAGTAAAAAAACAGGATCCAACTTGGAAAACAGTTGTTCATTTTTTTAAGCGGCATAAATCCTCTCTGCCTTGTGATGTTGTGGCTGCAGTCCTTTTGAAGTCAAGCATAATTAAACATTACGCATGGGTCAGTTTTGTTGAAATTACTCCAAATTCATGAGCATTAGGGGCTAAACACTTTCATCCATGGAAAAAACTGTCTTGAAAAAAGGCTGGTTACCTCTTATAGAAATAAAAACGCCAGACTCCTTTGGAGAGGTGAATTTTAAAAAATATAACATGGGTCTTCATTCCTGCAGTGAAAGGTGCAAAGTTAAATTATGATGGTAGCAGTAATGTCAAGAAGAGACTTGCACTTCCCAAACACACTGTGGTGAATAAAACAACACTGATACAAACATGATTGTTGAATGTTTCACAATAAGTATCATGAAAAATGTTCAGCTGCCAGTAAACGTTTGATGGAGACCTCCAGCAGCTGAAGTCATGACTCAGTTGAGTCCATTCTGTCCCCTTATTGTGATTTTGGAAACATATTTCTGCAGGAGAGTCCAACAGCTGTGATTATTCTCTTCTTATTTATCGTCTTCTCTGTGTTGTTCGCTGGTATCATACAATAAATCCAACTCTGTTTCCTGTTTTGTCTCCATTACCTTCACCAGTTTGTGTCAGTAATTTTCACTTTAGAGAAGCTGTATAAATAAACTTCACCTGTCCTCAGTGTCCTCCTCTAAACCTGTCCAGTTTACTTCTCACAGTATATTTACAGGAGCCAGCACCTGAACCAGCCAATCAGAGAGGCGAACTGTCAGCCAATCAATGGCAGTGTTCAGAGGAAGAGGAGACAAATGTTGAAGATACAGAGGAGCAAGGATGGGGAGAAGGCACCAGTTTGATTTCTGTCCTCTTGCTCAGCAGACCTGTGAGGAATAAGGAGAAGTGATGTGTGAATATTACCTTCAAAGACTAATTTCAGTTTTTCATATCACAAAATAATTGAGTTTACACGAATATCAATTTTAGTACACAGATGAGCCATGCACATAAATGAACACAATCTTACTTAAAGTCTCTGATTGTTTCTGATGTGCACAGGGATTGTTTTAGTAGACAAAGAGACAACACATGCATCACACAACTCAGACAGAGATCTGTGACTCTCAGAATGTATAGTGGTGAAAACTCGGCATCCCTCTGGCTCTGATAAATGCATCAACCTTCTCCATCCAAACTGTGTCCATGACTATCTCACCTTCTGGTCCGACATCATGCTGTTGGGCTGCAGTGATGGTGGATGTCCGCTGAGCAGTCCTCCTCCCGGTCGGTCGTGTTCACAGAAAATTGTCCCGTTAATGTAGTGGAAACGATCTCCAGGGACAAGGCGGTTCCTGCAGGTCGCACACGTAAAACACTAGGAAAGAGAAAAATTACCGGAGTCACATCAGCAAACTGAGCTGAGACGGGAGATCATCCTCACACGGTGATATTGTGACACTCACCTTCAGGTGGTACACGTTACCCTGTGCTCTCATCACCATCTCACTGGCAGGTATGGACTGTCCACATGCACTGCAGGCTCCACTGTGACCAAACAGTCTGTAACAGAAACCATGGCAACAGACAGTCAATGTAAAAAACAACAACCACAAACTCACAGCAAGGACTTTTCATTACAAACATGAAAGTATACACTTCATATAATATTTGCTGGTACAATCTGGCATCCAAACTAGACACTGTAGATCACACAGAGTTTTATGCGGAGTTTCAAAGAGTGACTGAGCCTCAGGTGTAGAGAAGATGAGGCTGGCTAGACAGATACAGTTTATTTAAAGTACAATAAGTGAAATAAAAACACCTAACAGCAATTAATAGCTGAAAATATACAGATTAATTACTTTTTGACCCATCAGCTATTGTCTGATGTAAATATGTGTCTAACGAATCATGGCTGACCATTCAAACATCTCAGTGAAGTCAAGGGTTGGTGATAGACAACTGCCAGCTATCACTTCCTTTTTTACATGCTGCATTGTTTACAGTCCAGTACACAATCTGAGGAGCTACCATGTGTCCTGATCAAAAGCTAAAGGGTATGTCTGCAAAATAAACTCTGTAAATTTGGGGTTCATTACAGCCTTAACAAGTGCCTTTGCAGTCAAAGCAAAGTCTCACAAAAGCTTCATCTTACTTTTCACCTGTTTCTGGTCAGTCTCAGTTTTTCCTTTTATAATAAGTTAAACAGAGGTTTCACTGTCTTTCTGTTCCTCTGTGCTGAGGGTCAGTTTCATTGTAAATAGAAAGTTACAGAGGCTTTATAAGGGTTTACAGCTGTGGTATGTGCCTGTGAAAGACACTGAATTTCTTGTGATTCGTAATTTGTGATGCATTCAGGGAAGTCAGGAAATCTTAACACTGATTGTCTTCAGTGACTCAGCATCAAGCATGTGCCTCAGTGTAAATGTTTGATCTAAAACAAACTTTCATGCAGATATCTGTTTATACAGAGAATCCTCCTCAGATTACCAAGTATGGGAGCTGGATGTCATTATGGTGACTTGTGTTCTGCCTGAATTTGCTCTCCATACAGACTGTTTTTCCTGTAGACACCAAAGCCTGCTGGCATCTGATTGGTCAAGACGACTTGGGTTACAACAGGAACCAGAGAAACTCTCAGACCCAGCCCTACATTTTTATGTATGACCTTAAATAGAGGAAACATGTCAACTAAACCACCACCAGAGCAAATAAAGGAGCTGAAACTGAACCAATCCAAACAGGTCAGTAAACATAAAGCAGTGCAACTGTTTCTCAGGTGTTTTTCCTCACTATTGCAATCCAACCTCAGTACCCCTGACTAATTTCAACGGATGATTTAGGGTGTATTTTACACTTTAATTTATGAGCAAACTTTAGTACAGCTGATGCAACAGGCTGCAAGAGCCTCTCCACATCCAGCTTTTGATTTTCATAACACAGCAATAACACCACATGAAAGTTAATCAGCAGCACTTATAAATCCACCTGAACAAACATCTGCATTACTGTCCTGTTCAACTCGAGGAATAAATGTGGGACTTCTTGGAAACTCTGCAAGCCTCCTCTAGCTGTGCAGTAAATCCAAAATTAGACAAATTTATCTCATGAGGGTTGTCCTGTAAAGCTGCTGTATTATTCCTGGACTGAGATACAAAGTCTGCTCTGTCTCAGTTTCCCTCGGCAGACCTTCAGCTGTGGTTTTCCACAGCCAGATCTGTGTTTGCCCCGGAGATGACGGCGGCCACAAAACCAACGTCTATATTACACCGATGCACCTCAAACTCTGAACAGCACACCGACTGTGAATGGCAGGAGCCAGCAGACACACGTTTATTTAATCCTAGCTATAACGCCATGGCTACTGCAGCATTTGAAGCAAAATGAAAAGAGTCATGAGCTTTTACTCCTTTCTTTTCCTCTCCCGACCAAATGATCTCTTTCACAAATACACAAAGTAATAATAAACTTGATAAAGCTCAGCGACAGGGGTAAAAAAAAAGACAAAAAAGACAGACAGACAAAAAAAAAAGGTAGATTTAGATTTTTAAGGTTTGGGGCCAGAAAACTGAATGACAGCTGGGACAATATAAAGAATCTGTACGTTAGAAATATTATTTATGTTCGGTCGTGTTATTTATTTGTGTTAGTTATGTTCAAAACTTCCAAAAATTCAAAGCATTTAGTTATGGTAAATCATATTTTTAAGATTAACCAGGTTAACTTACTTCAGTTGTGAAGAGTTGCATTAAAACATCATCTTTACATGACATTAAAGTGCAAAAACAGGTAACCAGCTCCATTTTTACAATGCTGTTCCTTGAGCTATTTATAAGAATGTCGAATTTTGGCTGGACAGACTAAACAAGCAGTGAAAAGACTCCACTCAGGACTCATTGGGAGTATTTTATAGCTGGTCAACCGCTCCTGCTGTCTGACCTGATGTAGTCGTTCTTGCAGAGGATCATGCCTCCTTTGCTGTAGCAGGTGCTGCTGAACTCTCCTAGCTGAGCGTGGCAGCATGAACACTTCAGACAGCGTGTGTGCCAGTAACGCTCCATGGAGAAGAGCAGGAAACGGTCCACGATACGACCTCCACATCCCGCACACGACCTGCCCGACGTCCCCCCGACTCCGCCCATCACTGCTAGTGTGGACGCCTCCACCCTGCTGTTCACCATGGCAACTTGAAGACACAGAGACAAGGGAAAAGAGAGAGAACATATGGGTGAGATCTTTAAAAAACTACATATTTAAAACAAGAAAAAAGAAAGCTATGAACCAGCAGGACTCAGAAAACAGCATTACTGTAGAACTTTTCAGAGTTCACACACAAACTAACAATTAAAACAAACTTAAACTAAAAATTCTGAGCACTCAATCCTTATTACATCTCCTACAAACAACACAATGAAAGTCCTAGGATTGTAAAAGACAGGAACAGTCCCTTTCCTCCTTCGTTTTCCTCCTGGCACCAGATCCAATCGATTTGTTTTGGGACTTCCTGCTAAAAAAAGGCTTCAGGCTGTTCAGATGTGGGGGTGTGGGAATGAAAAAAGCTCCACAGAAACACACTCCTATCAGAGAGCTGGTGTTTTGGACCAAGGAGTTGTGTCGAACAAAAGAGCACACTCTCCTTTTTTGGGCCTCAAATGGCTCTTATTTTAACTTGATAATTCATCCCATGAGACGGCTCTGAAAAGCTATGCAGAGTTCAATGCTGGCTGCTCTAAAAGAGGAGACCGAGACCTTTTCTGAAATATGTGCTTAATCCCAACATGTCAAATAAAGCAGTTTTGTCTTTAGCTGGAAAATATGACAATCTACAAGTTTGACCCTGATGAAGGCCACAAGCCGAAACTGTTTTCCTGAACAACAGGTGTTCCTGGAGCTCTTTTGACCTCTTTCAGGGCCTTTTTCTCCAGGCACCTTGGAAGTTGGTGAAGTTGAGCCAGAATTTTTGTCCTCCAAAATCTACAAGTTTGGACATGATTTAAAGGTCAATAAAAACATTTGGGATGGTTTACAAATCACTGATTAAAAGGTACATAAACAACACATCAAATATAAAAACTGGCATTGATTCAGGATGCCAGCAACATGCTCCTAACCACACAGGTAATTGGTTGTGTAATGCTAAAAAACAGCTAGAGGAAATAATGAGGTTAATCTCCAACAGGTTAGAAACATGACTGAGTATAAAAAGGACATTCAGAGAGGCTGAGGGGAGGAGGTTCACCACTCTGTGAGAGACTGCGTGGGCTGATAGTTCAATAGTTTCAGAAAAATGTTCCTGAGTGTCAAATGTGAAAGAATGAGTGGATTTTATCATCTACAGAACATAATATCATTAAAAGATTCAGAGAATCTGGAGGAATCTCTTTACTAAAGGGACAAGTACCAAAACCAAGACTGGATGGTCCTGATCTTCAATAGGGATCATACTATAAGTGTCTATGTCATGGTTATCTCCCATATCTGTGAAGGCTTCATTAATGCTGAACTATATCTACAGGTTTAGGAGCAACATGTGCTGGCATTGAGACAAAGACTTTTTCAGGGAAGACCTTCATATTTCAGCAAGACAATGACAAAACACATTCTGCAGGGATTACAACAGCATGGCTCTGTAGTAGAAGAGTCCTGCGGCTAAACTGGCCTGTCTGCAATCCTGACTTGTCACCCATTGCACTCGTGACACATTTGGAGCATCATGATATAAAAAATAGGACAAAGGAGACCCTTGGCTGTTGAGCAACTGAAATGCTATATCATGCAAGAATGGGACAACCCATCCAGTCCTTTATTTTATTCAGCTTCTTCTCTCAAATTTCATGAAATCTGAACTCAAACCCAATGTCAGACAAACTGAAGTGGTCATGAGTGTAGCTGCTGCCTAGATACATGTACGGTACTTCAGCTCTCTTCGTTTTTCCATTACAGAACCGAGCTGATTTCATGCACAGCTGGGAGTAATATAGTTTTTTTAGTACAACCATTGCTGTATGTGTGTGTGTGTGTGTGAGTGTGTGTGTATGCAGCTCAGCATGAATGACTCAGCACAGGGCCTCTTCAGCTGCTTCCAGGATTTATAATTAGCGCCAACAACAACATAAAATAATTGCGGGTCTCTGTTTCATTTTCCAAACGAGCAGCAGCAGCAGTGTTTGTCCTCTCCGAGCGTCTCGTTTCAGCGCCGGTATGTTGTTTAGCTTTACGATCGGCCTTCCCACAGATTATGTGAGCCTGCAGCAGCTGGTCTCCGCAGTGAGGCGGGCCGCCCTTAGTACCCTCGCTCCGCAGACACCTGGCTCTAATCAGCCGCGGGAACACCGTGTTAAGGAGCCCAAGGCTGCTACAAACCACAAACAGACTCATGCACAAGCACCAAAAGCTCCCTATTAGAGGAGGATTACTCATGAATGAGACGATTTATGAATGACTCGAAAAAAGTCCAGCAACTTTACTCAAGTACAAAAGTTTAAAAAATAAACTACATGAGTAATGATGATCCTGCTGCTTATTCTTCACTTCCACGTATCCCTGTCTGTATGACTTCCCTTCTTCTTCTTCTTCTACTGTTGAGGTTTTGCACATCTATGCAACTTGACTTCTGCGTCAAAGCCAGTGAAGCCTACTCAGATTGTCTAAGCCAGTTTCCAGCCTGATTGGTATAAGTACAGTATGCAAGAGAAAATCAGTCCCCAACTACCACATTTTTCAGGTATGTTACACTGCAACAGCCTCATTGGTCAACAGAGCTGTCAATGACAACCTCACATCCTCTCTTCTGGATATAAATAACTCATCAAAACTAACCTTCTCAAAATAAAAAAACTAAAACACTTTGATGTAAATCAGCATGATAAGAATGAACATATAAGCTAGAGAAACATTTATTCGACATGTAATTTCCTCTTTTATTGTCAATAAAATTCTCATTCGTTGACATGGAGAGGGTGGGCCCAACAACCTGTACTGCAGCCAGCCAGTAGGGGGAGCTCTAAATATTTTGTGCTGCACTTCTTAGGAGCTGTTGTGGCTCCTTTTTTTGTTATGAGATCAGAGTCTAAAATATGCCTCAGACTTGTCTTGAGTTCTCCAGGGACAAATTTAACAAAAAAAAAGGAGACGGATAAATTAAACCTGGACTTTACTCTCAACTACATTTCCCATGAGCTTTAGAGGTTCCCCTTGCTGGCACTGTGATGTTCGAGTGCTGACATCTTTTTGGAGCACTCAGGACCAATACAAGGCGACCCTGTCTTTGAACGTACCACAAGTCTTCAAAAGGATTGATTCATACTCTTAAATTGATTATAAAACCATCAGGACAGACACAAACTTCAGTTTTAAATCTGAGCAGTTATTACATAACGTGAATTAAAGTTTTCACAGGGAGCACAGGATGTCTGATGTCACTCTGCGTCTCTCTGGACTCTGGCTGTTTTTGTCAAATCTACTTCCTGTCTTCAGTGCCAGATTCCTCTGAGCGGCACACAACCAGCCGAGAAATCAATTAGCGGGCAGAGTGCGGCAAACATAGCGGCTCCAAACGCTGTGAGCGAGAGATGGGGGCGTTTCAGCCTGAGTCAAACAGCAACACAAGGATCTCTGCTGTCTTTGCCTGACCTTTAGTGTCTCACTTTTATCTGTAATGCATCAAGACGAGCATTTCCTATGAATGTTTTGGAGCTGGTTGCATGGTCAGAGGGAAAAACTTAAGATGTCCTATTTTTACTTAAAACGTTTGGGAGTCAAAATTTAAAAGTAAATTAATCCTGTCTGTAAAACCAACATGAACACAAGCCGTGAAGCTTCAATATTCTGCTCCACATGTGAAACTAATCTCAGAAAGGCAGCCGATGTAATTATTCTGCAAACACCTGTGATAATTTTAGACGTTTCAACACATCTGCCAAACACAACTTGGATTTCCTATCCAATTAAAATGTAAATCCTTCATTTAATCATCGTCTGCAAAGTGGAAAAACTTAAATGGTTCCAGTCTCAGAGAGGGAGAGAGCAGTAGTCTTATAGTGAGAATGAACAGTGGGACTACAGTTCATCAGCACTTTCAAAGAATAATTTCACATTTTTCAGTTGTCTACAGTCTGTGTATCAGACTTTAAACACGATAAAGAAGTATTTCTCACTCTGGGCTCATCTTTTCCTCTGTCCACAGGCAGCTGTTTGATAATAGCTGTGCTGACTGGTGCTCAAGTGTAGAAAAACACTTACTCACTGATCCTCTCTATGGCTTTTTGCAGGTTGAAATTGATGAGAGTAATCCACCCCCTTCCCCTTTGGGAGAAAGCACTTCATCTAAATTAAATGATGGAAAATGGGACTTCTAGGTGTAAGATAAGATACTATTTAATCATAATTGAGGGCTTAAATCTGATTTCTGGTTCGGCAAACATATGATAATGACTTTTATGATCAGCGATCAACAGCGTAACATTTAAAATGATCGTGGTTGAAGGGTTTACATGAGTGTCTTATCAGACTGCCTTTGTCAAAGCGGATGAATGATCAGAGGAGTCATCAATTCACATCACATCACTCTGATGTGTATTTCAGCTGCTTCACCGGAGTCAGGTCATCAGATTTAGACAAAACAAAACAAACATAACCTTGACGCTATCGACACACTTACTCATGATGAGACGGAAGAGCTCTGAAACAAAAATAAGAAGCTGTAAGGTTAATTTTGCTTCACTTTAACAATATATAATGTTATTTTGAAGGGGACACCTTTGCTTTTGTGAAACTGACTTTTACAGTATAAATGAGAAATATATATGAGATGTGAGAAGGAAAAGGTCATGAGTAATACGTTGAGTCCCAAAGAAGCAGCTGTACCTTCTGCGGTTAAAGAGCGCTGCACTGAAAACTACACACTGATATGACAAAAGGAAAACTACAGAAAACAACCTCAAGTGATGTAACCTAAGCAGAAAGATGGGGTCATTTGTCAGGTTTGATTTATCTATTTTTTCTTGAGAAATTGCCAATCATTGATCAAAAAAGCCGTATTATAAGGGTTTCTAAAATTAACTGATTGATTGATATTTATATATGGTTTGACATCTGCATCACACACCCTTTGAGCAACTTAAACACCTTTTTAAAACCTAAAAACTCTTAATTCTTAGTAAAACATAATAAATCATAAAATGAACTGTTGAAGCTACCTTTTTTAACCAAAGCATGTCTGTCTGTCAAACTAGTTAATATACATAGAAACTCTTACGTATCACTACTGAGGGAGATCATGCATCATATCTTCACTTTAACAGCTTTGGCTTAAATTTGGTGATAATACTCACTAGATTTAATGTCAGATTTTACTTGTACTAAAGTATTTTTGAACTCTTCATTCAATGATTAAGATGTAACATCAACACAGCAGGTAAGACAATTATGATTCAGTCTCGATTATCATGTTTTCATAATCATGGGGGGCCAAAATAGTCACTGAAATTAAAATCTGATTAATTGCCCAGCACTAATTTTTATTGACACGTTTTTGTGTTTTTTTTACAGACCATCATGTTTGAGTTTTCAACAAAAATTAAATAGTACTGTTTTTTTTTTCTTTTCATTACAGCTATTTAATCGCAAAACACCCTGAAATTCCTGTTCACTGCTATTCATACAGACGGACTTCTTTTATATAATTATTTATGTATTTGCTTCCAAATGAGGATCTAATAAGTCTGGTGCACAGAGCTGTCAGTGGTATAGCGGCAAAAGAAGCTGCAAAAGCCAAATACTAAACCGACAAGCCCCTGATTATTCTTTGTTATCAAGACGAATCTGGAGTTTATGAATAAAAATGAGAGGAATCATGGAGGCAGAGAGGAGCCATACCTGCAGTACACCTGTTACAGACTGTCCAGGAGCTTACTGATACCCTGATCCAGGTCACATCTATAGGGACACATCGGGAGCGTGGTCAGACGTTGTAGGGAGTGCATACAGGCCATACACACTACTAAGCCACATTCTGAGCTGTCTGGAGGAAATTCACATCAGTTACATCAGCCTGTTGGTCTCATTTCTGAGAATGAGTCCAGTCCTCAGTGGGTTAATGACTTTGAATGATGTATCCAATGTAAAGCGCTTTGAGGGTCTCTGATAAAGCGCTATATGAAATCTGATGCATTATTATTATTATTATTTGATTCCCACTGATCCTTGTCACCTTATTTTGTTCTTGACAAACACACTACGTCACTGAGATTTTCACCAGAAATATTTCATTTAGATCTAGGATGTGAGGTTTAGGTGTTTCCTTGTTTAGATTAAATATCTTTTAATTGAATAATACTGCACTTTGTATAGGATAGTTCCATATATCCTTAAATAAAAAGCGGGTCCTCAATTTGATATCATTTAAATCAGACAGGTTTGTCTCAGAGGTGAACCTTTATTTAAAATTATGTCTCTGGGGAGTACAACGAGAGATTGCATGACTTATATCCTGGACAATACAACACTGTTTAATTCGAAAAGCATGTGCACAAGGTTGAATACACCTCAGGCTGTACAGCGGGGCAAATAGAATCTGTGAGCACCAGTGTTTTTTGCATATATTTAAATAAGTTTTTAAGCATTCATTTGGAGCAAAACATACCCCTACCTACGCAATGAGACTAGCTGCAAAAATACACCTAATCCACAAATACTGGCTCTAACATCCACCCACAGTTCCAGTGAGATCTTCACCATCTGCTAAGAGTTGGTGGTAATAGTGCTGCAGTACTTTAAAGTGCTGTCACACCCAAACCCTGAGGTGATCATGAATACAATAAGATGATCTATAAACATCACATCTGTCACATTGTGTGTTAATACTTCTCGATGACATAGTCCAGACAGAAGCTTTCTATCTGCTGTTCTGTATGTGTGGATATAATTTACCGCCGTCGTGATGAAGACGCACAGCCTCCGCCAATATTTCTGTAATCACTAATAAAAGACAATTAAGGAGCTCCACCACGGATTGAATAGTGGTCTGCGCTAAAGATTTCTAATATATCTTGGTGTCTGTATTTATAGTTTTTTAGTTTAAGTCTTCTCTTGGCTTTCAGTGGCTTATTTTAGTTTCTTTAAACCTTCGGAGGGATGTTCCGATGTTTTGTTTGAATCACTTCTCTGTTGAAATTTGCTTTTTTAATGAACTTGTTTTGCTGTGAATGTGTTTTCCTCCCTTCTCAACACAAGTCAAAATAAAAACGAGTGAAATCTTCCTCAGCTGCTCAGGAAAAGTGTGACTGACATTTATTTTCACTATTTGCCTTTTTTATGGTTAAATTCTTTTAAAATGTTGGTTTAACACGTAATTTAAAGGCCTGACTGATGAGTTTGAACCGTCAGACACTTCTCCATGATGTACCTGTGAAATTCATGCAGGACTTGGTTTTAATTTACATCTTCATTTTCAGCCTGTTAGAAACTGAGCAGCAGAAATTTAGGCACAGAGCCCGTCATTTTCCAGAAGTTATTACCTCCTTCCTCCTTCTCTCATCCACTAATTAAGTCATGGATCCTCCACACACACACATACACACACTCTCTCTCTCTTTCTCTCTCTCTCACACACCCACACACTGACACACACACCTCTTCTGAGGGATAATTACCAAATAACCTCAGCTCAGTCATGTCTGAGGGGAGCTTCAGACTAAGTAAGCATGACTGCAGGCAGCAGAGAAACCACAGCATCCAGTACCAGAGAGGACTGGTCAGTCTGGGACGACACTGATGGAGCTGATTCAGTTTCCTCCTCTGAGGGAAGAGACGGCTGTTTCTTTTTTTAATTAATACAGAGAGCTCGGAGTCCTGATGTAGAAGGTTCAGCCACAGTGAAACTATGAAGATGCCCTCACATCACTGCAAGAAAAATGGTTCCTCCTGAAAAAATTACAGCTGTGTTTTCAAATCATTTAAAGCCTGTATCAAATTTAAAAAGAGCAAATAAAGCATAACAAATGATGAAACAGTTTTTAAAAATTGTTTTGAATAAAAATGTATTCTCACCCTAAACTTGATGCCAGCAACGTGTTTCTTAAATGTTCTAAAAGGAACAACTCAACAGGTAAGAAGCTGCGCAAACAACAGCTGGAGGAACATCTCCCACAAACAAGGTTAATTTATAACAGGTTAGAAACATGACTGAGTATAAAAGGACATTTAGAGGGGCTGAGCTTGTCAGAAGGAAAGATGGGAGGTTCACCACTCTGAGAGAGACTGTGTGAGCTAATAGTTCAACAGTTTCAGAATAATGTTCCTGAGTGTCAAACGTGAAAGAATAAGTGGATTTCATTCTTCGACAGAACATAATATTTCAGAGAATCTGGAGAAATCTCTGTACAAAAGGGAAAAGGACCAAAATCAAGACTGGATGGTCCTGGTATTCAGGCCCTCGGGCAGCACTGCACTAAAAACAGACAGGACTCTGTAGTGGAAATCCCTGTATGGACTCTGCATCACTTCCGAAAACCATTGTCTGTGAACACAGTTCATCACTGCATTCACAAATGAGGTTAAAACTGAACCACGCAAAGAGAAAACCAAATAGAAACATGATCTACAAACACCAGAGACTTCTGTATGCCGTGGTCTGAGGAATCAAAAACTTCACAAGGAGAGGGAACACTCTGCTCCGAATCACCACTCAGTCTAAAGTCAGAATCCCTGATGGTATGGGGATCACCAGTGTCCATGTCTTCCGTATCCTCCACATCTGTGAAGGCTCCATCAATCCTGAACAATATATAAGGGTTAAGGAGCAACACACACTGCCATCCATACAAAGACTTTTTCAGCTGGGAAGACCGTCATATTTTAGCAAGACAATGACCACATTCTGCAGGGATTACAACAGTATGGCTCTGTAGTAGAAGAATACTGTTGCTAAACTGGCCTGCCTGCAGTCCTGACTCGTCACCCACTGAAAACATTTGGAGCATCTTGATACAAAAAAATGGACAAAGGTATCGTGCCCCTACCTTTACTGTTAGAACTGTGTTACTGCCATCAAATTCAAAATAAGTATAGATTTGTCATTTAAACAACATTTTTCAGGGTCAACATTTGATGTTTTCTTTGCACTATTTTCAACTGAATTCACTTTTTCAGCCTCCTAAAATTTTTGGAATCAGGGGTAAAGCCCCACATATGGAAAACAGATGTGAAGAATTAATAAGAAGTAGTGCAAAGAAAAGTTACTGTCAGAATCAGCTTTATTATTGTTGATACTAATGATCCGCTTCCTCATTCTTCCTGATTTCCACAATGTGTTGACTCATACTGTTAGGACAGAATAATATCCTGCAAGACAAGCATGTGGCTTGTTCAGTTAACCCATTGAAAGGGAAAATAAACACAACACAACAACTATGACACTTTGATAAGGCTATGACTCAAATGATGGGAACAGTTCGGTTTAACATCTTGATTAATCATGAGTCTGGATCTTGTAAAGTTAATTTTGAAAACCAGATTTGTTGAAAGAGGCATCTGCAGTACTATATCAAATACCAGTTTCCTGTCACATTTGACCTTTATCAAGGAACTGAGGCTGCAGTCATCTTAACACACAATAGCTGTGACAATTATCAGCCAAAGGTCAAAACTTGAAATGCCCTATAAAAATAGTCCAAACCAAAAAAAGAAAAACCTTCATATATTTAGTTTGCAACAACACGTGAAATAAGAAATAAAAGTAAGCTGCAAATACTCATCTTGGTGAAGTTGCACTCAGGTGATAACATTTATTTTATTTAGGTTCATGTCTGTCATCCTTTTGACTTAATAAATGTAGATTCAGTACCTGTGTTATACTGTGTGTAAGTTATGCATGAACTGTGCTGATTATCTCAGTACCTATACTATAACCACTGTTGGTGTTTTTGACCTTGTTATTCTGGCTGTAACCATTTCAAGAGGAGAAAATGTCAATAGTTTTCAGTTCAGTCATAGTTGGCCACCAAAACCAGGGAGAAAACGTGTGTGAAACCCCTGCAGCATGTTTGACTGAAGTTGCAGAAAGGTGTTGAACTCACCTTCCTAAAGTGAACTTGTAGATCTGGTTGGAGGTCTACTTTCTGGCTCCGCAGCAGCTCCTCTCTGAAGCAGATGAAGTTCAGTCAGATCCGGACGTGGCAGCAGCAGACAGATGGAAAAGTTTTCAGCTCTTCAATTCTCCACCGACCTGTTTTTTTTAGAAAGCCCGGACAGAGATAAAACTCCTCGAAGCTCCGTGACAATCCCTTCCCGGTGTGTATCTCCTTTCCTGTGCAGATCAGAGTACGGGGGGAGAGGACAAGCAGTTAAACGCGCTTATAACCCACTCCTCCTCTGACGTCGAAGGGGGCGTGGCCTGTGTTTCCTGTCATGATAATTGATGACTGCAATAGAGAGTTTCTCCTAATTTGGGATGTTCAAATTAGAGCACAAAAGTCTTCCTTTTAGCTGCAAAAATAGCGGGGATTTTTCTTACAATCTGTGCTGAAAGGATCCATTTATAATTCATAGCAAAACAACTTTTCTTAAAGTACATTTTCAACCACAAAATCTACTTACAATGTGCTGTCATGTGCTGTAAAGATTATTTTCTTTCATTTTCTTTTTTCTGTAAATTGAGGAGAAAGTTTAGGAAGCATGCATAAAAAAATTATTTTACTTAAGGCACCAGATAAGACAACAGTTGGCATAGTAAAGCCTTTTGCATTTTTTTAACAAGTCTGAATCCTGTGAACCTTTCAAATGCACATCACCACCTCCTGTTTATCCACTGCATTATAAAACAGACCTCAAGGTCAACAAAGAGTAGATGTATTCAGTTTATTCTTGAAGTATGCTCAAGAAACAGTCTTTACTTTTCCTACTGGAGGTTATATTTTCACTGTAACAAGACATCAGGAGGAGATTTTGATTCAGTTAAAACTGCTTTTATAAGGATGAGGCAACATTGACAACAATGGGATAGCCGCTGATTATGTGGACTTTTTAAATACCTCTTGTGGTCCAAAACTTCAGTCTGAACTATGATCACACACAGCAGACCTGCAGAGATTACATTTTACAGCTGCACAGTCTCTCAGGGTATCTGGCAGTGGTAATGATCTTATTAACCTGAATAAGGTTGTTTACAAAGACACAAGGGATGCAATCTGCTCAGTTAACTTGCTGTATAAATTCAGCTCATGTTAAAATGCTTCAATGAGTTTTTGACCCAAATGCAAGAAATCATTACGATGTGGTCTGACTTTAAACCACATACAAACAACTTAAACGTTCTGAGTTGCTTTAGCTCTAAAGAGTGGATGTGTTACATTTCAGCTTCATTTATCATGTCAAAAAAAGGCAGAAAGCTGGAATTGTTATCAATGCCAGATGTTTGCATGATGTGGTTCTTATGTAGAGAGTGACCTCTGCTGGGATAACTATGGAAATACAAGCCATGAGCATGATTAATCAATGCCTTAATAAAAAAATTAACATTATAAGTTTGGAATTGATCTGGAGGATTAAAAATAAAGAGGATTAGATTAATATTTATTGTATTTTATGAGTAAAAGTCCTGAGCATCAAACTAGAAGTGTTGATATGCTTTAAGGTGCTGAGTGGAGTGCAAACAATTACAAAGTCTGAATAACACAACTACATTTACAGCGTATGTACCAGGAATAGAAAGTTTGTAATAATGGAAGTAAATAAGAATGAAGAAAGCTTTTTCTACATTAATATGTGGGCCTTACATGAGACATATGTACTTTTTTCTATACACATTTACATAATTTTTCTAACACTGTTCATCTGTTAAATGAAGTAAAATTATTATCCACACAGACCATAGACTGTACATTATATAGCAGAAACACAGTGGACTTGCTCTTCTGTGGTCCTCCTCTACATGCAACGCACACCTTTCAACTATAGGGGGTGCTGTGAAGTTTATTTCTAGCTGTAACCTACCAATAACTGGAGAAGAAGATGGCTGCATTTACTGTATTTGTTGTGGTTTGACTCGGTGGGGAAGGTGAATCAGCTGGATATGACTCATGGAAATTTTATTTTAATTTTACTTTACTAATGAAAAATTAGCAAAGTAAGGTAATAGAGATTTAATAATTTTCTTCGCTCTAACGCCTGACTCGATTATTACCAACATAGGCTACAGTTACAGGATAACGTTAGCACACCGAGGAAGTGAGCGTTAATTCTTGCCAGATATCCTGAAGAGAGAGGAACAAGATTCAGCCTGTAAGTATGAAATAAGGGTTTAAATTCACTTTATCTCATCGTTATAATGTTGTAATGAGGCTTTCTGTTGTGTAGGTTACATGCTAGCTGGAGAAGTTAAGAAGCAGACAACATTATCAGCCTAACATTAACAAACATTATCATCATTATCGAGCAAACGTTACATATAGGGAGATAATAGGCATGTTTTCGCAGTTATTGTTAGCACACGTGGCTTTTGGTGGTTGTTTAAAGGTAAAATGTGTGGCTAGGGAGCTATAGTTTTAGCTGCGTAAAAGATGTCCTAATAGCTACGTGGTTTACGGTAAAACACCCCACCCACCCCGAACCGACAATACCCCTTTAAGTGACACCGATTATACAAGCACGTTTCATGAAAAATCAATCCAAAAGGGGTTAAAGTGGGCTGATAAAACTTGGAGCCAGGATGGAAAAGCAAATCCTGTCAAATGTAAGATAAATGAAGGCTTTAACAGGTTCGGGGTAAAGATCTCTCATTAAGAAAGGCAAGTTTGTCTTGTAATAATTTATGTTACCACCATGAGAAGTGTTCTTGTGATGAGTACAACAAGATGATCTCAAGATGTCACTGTCACTTTACCTCTGTCTTTACTAAATGAAAAGCTCTCCAAAGCAAGGCCAATTTAATTATATGTCACGTGATGGCAACAAGGCTATTAACCCTTAGATGCATAAGTTGGGTCAAAAATGACCCCAGCGCAATTTTTTTTTGCAATATGTTTGTAATTTTTAATTTTTATCATTTAATCTTCCGTGTATTCCTCAAGTAGGTTCTTTTTGACATTGGGCAATTGATATTTTCCACATCCATGGATTTTGTGTGAGAGTGTTGTGATATCATCCTCAAATTACTACTTTGGAAAAAACAGAAGATCCACTTCTGTAACCACACAAATGGAGGTGTAGAATAGATATTATAGACCAGATGTTTGGCACCTACACCTGTAAATACCAAATGAAGATGTGGCCCATGCTGCTGTGGTACAACGTGATTAATATTGCCACCCTGAATGCCTACTCCTTTTTCAAAGCTTAGCACCCTGAATTCTATGCAGGTATCACTAATGTCCGATGGCGCTTTCTTATAGAGCTGTCACATGAGCTTGTGACGCCTTATATTTAGAAGTCGACTGGAAGGTTACCCATGCCTACTAACCTACATCACTACAGCAAAGGAAAGGTATGGGAGGACAAAAGCTGCAATCCAGCAACAGAGCATAAACAGACAGGGCCAACAGAAGAGGAAGAGGTTTAAGATGTGCCCAAGAAACCAAGACCGTACGGCCAGCAACAGTTGTTGGAAATGCAGTGACCCTGTGTGCAGTCCTTACAGCCAGAGGAGGATAGGCTACTTTAAAACAGTGAGGAGAGAGTAGACAGTGTGTGTTTTTATATGTTGTTTAGATGTGTGACAAGGGGGCAGAGAAACATTGAAAGCTAAAGTCTTGATAGCTGTATTGATAGCAAGTTTGTGTTCAAATGGGGCCTCCTGTAGAGGTGATGGGGGACAGGAGGATGATCGCTAAGCTATCGTCACTCATAAACAATGTTACCCACCCCCAGCAGAGCACTGGAAACAACACTAGGCAGCTCCTTAAGTGACAGGCTTCTTCACCTGTGGTATGTGACAGAGAGATACCACAAGTCCTTCCTTCCTGCTGCTATCAGACTTTTTGAAGCCAAGGTATCAGAATTTCTATGTTGGTGGGTCAGTGAGTCATGGAAAAAGGATGATGTGTGTCCTTTTGTCATAACTTGGTTTGTTAAGATTGTACCTTAAATACATGTTAACTACAGTTTATGATGTTTGCTGCATCTAACAGGCCCTCAGCCAAAGATCATATGTTCATGTTTATGATGTAGCAGAGGTTGTGTTTATTTGAGAGAAAAGATGCCCTACTTTTCCCATGACACACTTTAAGAACTTCATAAAAACAAATGTGTAACTTAAAAAACTTTATCAGTTTGGCTCATATACCAAAGGACTGTTTTTCCCTTTCATTAACAAAGTTGTCACACTCCATCAGACCCCTACAGTTTCTTTGAGTTACTGAGATGTCTGGTTCCACATGCAGCTGGTTTGAGATAAAAAGTCATGAAATCCTTTTTACTTCTCAGCTGGCAAAGAAAGTCAGAGAAAAGCAGTCCAACATAGTGAAGCATTTGGCTGTGAAAGAGATGGATAATGTCTGTGAGAGCTAAAGGGGACAAACACTGCTGGACTTCATCAGACAGCCAGAAACAACACTCTGACTGAATGCTAATGTTGCTGTACATTTTCTGAATGTGTAAATAGCCAGTTGGGTGCTAAAACTCAGTAGCTACTTCTCACTGTGATTGAAATTCTCGGTGTTTTTGTTTTCCGCTCTTTCTGTTGATGCAAAATTTCCAAAGAGGAGTCAAATCAGCTTTAATGCGCATGATTTCTCTATTGAATTATATTCTTCTTCTTCTTCTCCCTCCATAGTGTGTCTTCCATCAGTCCTCTGGAGTTAATCTGATTAAAGGGAGGAGGAGGAGGCAGAGGAGGGAAACCCAGCAAGTAGAGAGACAGCAGGACAGGCAGGATTTATGATGCCGCTGTTCTTCAAAAAGAGGAAGCCCGGTGATGACTCCCAGAAGAGACTGGAGTACCAGCTGACTCTGGTAAGAAGAGTGTGTTCATATTGCAGCATGAACAAGTTGAACCTGCTAAAGGTGCAGCAACCTGCATGATATCAATAAGATGACCTGCAGCAATGATGATAACACAGTCTTTAATCTGTCAAAAATGCATCTCTGCAACTCTGGTAGTGTTTTCTCTCTCACCATAAAAAGATGTATGTCTTCCAAACAAACTCAACTCCTTCTCCTTTGTCCTGCAGTCTAAGGAAGCTGGCGCAGATGACATCCTGGACATCTCAGCGTGTGAGCTTTCAGAGGTGAATTTAATCCTGTCATTGACTTTCTCTGATCACTTCTCAGTTCCACTGCTGGTTCAGGCTGTTGTTGTGATGTGACAAAATGTTAATTGAAAGTATAACTCAAGCTTCTTGTCAGGATTGATTTATGATTTTTGTAGCTGTACACAGTACAGACACTTTGAGCCTACAGCCTGACATTTTATTTCTCCTTCTTGTTTATCTGCACTTAGCAAACATAGCCACAGCCTGGATGTCAGTCAGTGTGTTTATTACTCATTTTTATCGTACAATTTGATGTTGCATAGATGGTGCATATTAATACAGATTCCTGTAAATATGGAAGGTGCTTGTTTATACTGAAGTAGACAGGAAAAAAAGATAAAAGACCCTGTATTAGTTGAGATTTCACCTTTTTCTCTTTGTTCTGACCTCTATCTGCAGTAAAATCTTGCCAAAGGTACTGTTTAGTTAAAACTGCAGGTAATTATATCCACCATCTGCTCTCCCACAGGTTCCCTCAAGTGCCTTTTCCATTTGCAAGGTGCTGCAGAAGAAGGTGAGAAGATCTAAAATCATCCTAGGTTCATGTTAATTGGCAGTTTGGTGCAAAGACTGCATCTCAAGGACATGCAATAAAAGGATTACATTTTAAAAGACACTTAATTATGGTGAAAGCATTGTCATGTAAAAACAACAGAATTTAAAAATGACGATGTTAATTTTACAAACAGACGTGCTAGTTTATATCCACTCACATCGATGGGATAAGTGGTTGAATTTCTTCCAAGTAGATAAGTTTCCTAATTCTGTTCATGTAATAAATAATATTCCATTGCAGCATTTCTTTGTCAGTTGTGTGTGTCTCTAGTTTTACTGTCATTTGTCTCATGTCCTCTGTTGCTCTCCTCCAGGTCCTGATCCTGCATAACAATGAGCTGAGGTCACTGATGCCCAAAGGATGTGACGTCAGTAATCTTCTCACTCTAAAGGTAATGTCAACCAAAAGACATTTTTCCCATACTGAATATTAAAGCTTCATTTCACTAAACTTTTGGCTCATTTTGAGATGGTATGCAATTTTAAGGGTTTTAAAAGCTGGGAAAGCTACATAAGTAACAGATCAATACTGTCCTTTAGTGAATCGTGACTTTGTTTCATGGACTTCTTTATTCATTTAAGGGCTTCTGGTGTCACCCAAGGTTACTTCAATCATATATGAATATAATCTAGTTTAAAAACTAGATTATTGATACATAGTCACCAGTTGTCACCAACAAAAGTTAACTGTAGACTTGAAAGAAGAGCCATGCAAGAATTTTCTCTTATCAAACACCTTTCTTTGACACAGATTAAGAATAAAAACATTGTGTCAAAACAAAGACCGTCTCTTCACAGAATAAAAATATATCAGGCTTTTGTTTTGAAGAGTGCTTCCACACTAACTTTTTCTTGCTTGTTACATAAAAACAGAAATGAAGCAAATACAGCCCTTAACACTAATGATGCCCGGCTCATGCCTGCAATATGAGCAGTCCAAGTAGTTGACATGAGCGCCAAAATGAAAATCAAGCTGGCAGACTTCCAGCATGAAGCACCATGGTACAGTTGGCTGTGGGGATGAGAGCAGTATCAGGGTTTACTCGACAAAACTGTGCCAAACAGAACTGGAGTGCTTGGTGGATTTACACAAAGACTGATAGGAAGTTTGCTTACATTTTTTTTCAACTGTCGGGCAATAAACAAGATAAGATGAATTTTTATACCTTCTTTTTCACTGTGTAGATACAAATGTCTCTTAAAGGTTGTTTTCTGTGATGATTAACCCAAAAGAACAGTTTCAAAAATCAAGGATCCAGATACCACCTTAGATTTCATTTTTGACTCGTGGCTGAATGTTTCTGCTTCTTAAGGTTTTGGATCTGCATGACAACAAGCTCACCTCCCTCCCAGAGGATATCGGGAAGCTGACTACACTGCAGGTAAACCTTTTTTGAGGCTGAACCTCGTCTCAGAGAAAATAATAGTGTTTCAAACTTCATCTAAGTGTGCTGGTGTCTCCTGTCAGATTCTCAACGTGGAGAAAAATCGATTGAAGACACTCCCAGACTCCATCGCTAAGCTGCGGCTCCTGCAGACTCTTAATCTGAAAGGTAACATGCTTCCTGCTCCCTGCTTATTCTCCAGAACATGAACAAGTCGATTAACATTTGTTTTGTTTACACCTGTGCAGGTAATCATCTCTCTGAGCTGCCAGCCTCAGTTGGTTCACTAAGCAGTTTGAGGACTCTGGACATTAGTGACAACCAGATCATCCTGCTGCCCAAAGAACTGGCTTATACGCGCACACTGGAGGTTTGTGTCTGTGAAATAAAACCTACAGAAAATATAAAAACATTCATTTGATTTTACTCAAAGCCTATATGTGTGTGTTTTCACAGAGTTTGACGCTCGATGGTGCCTCTATGACTTATCCTCCCTCATCTGTGTGCACGGAAGGAACAGAGCGCATCCAGCGATTCCTGTGTGACGGTGAGACTTCATCTTATGTTTAAAACACAAACATTTGTATTATGCTAAATCATTTAATTTACAAGAGGAAAACTGCAGATATGACTTCGTGAAAGTGTGAGGGAGTTGTCAAAAAGTTGCCCAGAGGCTCATAGTGCAGCATACGTAAGGCAGAATATTAGAAAGAAATTATTAAAGGTGTGAAACCATGATTTGTTCAAATTTTTTTTATGTTGCTACAAATATGAAACTTATGTAAAAAGAGACAGCAGCAATAGGACTCCTCAAATACCCTCCAATTTACAGGAGTATTCTATCAAAATTATAAGTTAAATCAAGAAAGATGAAGAAACCTGTCAAGGGTTGTTGTGTCACTTTGAATACCAGTCCTAAGAGCTCACAAGCGTCATCATTTGTACAGTTTTTTTTTTTACAAATTAATGTAGCAAGGGACTAATTGCAGAATTAAAGAAACTGATGTTTATTGTGTTCATAGTACATTCTTAGTAAAGGGAGCAGCTGTACATACGCTTAAAAACAAATCTTATAGTTTTAATATTTAAGTATGTGATGTGAAATGTAGAGGAAACTGTGACTGTAAATATGAAATAATGTCTACAGGTCACTATACAAAAACTGTGTGTGAGAATAATGTTGAATTTCTTGGTTTAATGGTTTTTAGAGCTGGGTGAGGAGTACTGCCCCCCATCCCAGTACCTCCTCCCTGTGCTGGAGAGTGACTCCGGCAAACAGAACACAGACTGTCTGGATGGTCTGGAAGAGGCCTGGCAGGTACTGTTCTTACACACTTAAACTACCACAGCTCAGCACAGGAGTTGTTTGTGTCCTTGAACCAGATTTCTTGCTGCTTTAACTTAAATAACTGATAATGTAACAAGAAGATTCATGAGAACTTTTTTTGACTTTCCTTCTCAGACTAAATTCAGTGACTATGAGAAGAGAAAGGTGAGTAACTCCAAGATATTTTGCAAAGTGTTGATGGAATTTGATGTGTCGACAGAACAAGAGAAGAGACCATTTGTACCATGAGCAGATGAAATACTGGCAGAGTTGAAGGCAGCTGATTTTCCCTGAGGGAAATTCTCATGAAGACAGCTTTTGGTGTCAGATTACTTAGAGTGCTTCTCAGTCTATCACATTATTGACAACAACACACTGTAAAGATGTTGACTCGTGTCCACAAAATAACGTGCAAGCACAGATTATTGAAAACTATCAAAAGTGTCTTATTATGCTTTTTGACAATACTTTTGAATGTATAGTTGCATGGTTGAGATGCAACAGATTGTTTAATTGGTATTTTATCAAAACGTCACAATCGTAAAGTATGTTGCTATTTTCACTCGGTGGCATGTCGTGGATTTACAGAAAATGTTTAATCAGTGAGTTATTTGGCTTCTCATTGTTTAGTTTGTTTTCATGCAGCTAAAACTTGAGTTGTGACAGCTCCTCTTCAGACTTGTCACAAAGCTGTTGAGACAAAACACACAGTATGAAATAAACATTGATCTGAAGACTTCTTTTTTTGTCCCTCAGGAGCAGAAGCAGCAGGAGAAACTTGCCTTTGAGCGCCACCTGGAGGAAAAGCACAAAGAGCACACGCAGCTTCTTCTCATGAAGACATCACGCAAGGAAGACATGCTCAACTCAGTGCGACAGGTTTGTAAAATCTTTGACCTGCACCTGTATGCAGATAAACATTGCGCATTTTTATTCTATGGTCTTGAATCTCCTAAAAAATTCATGAAGCACAACCCATCTGTGAACCATTGAGTCCTCTAAGATATTTACAGTCAACTAAAGGGAGCCCTTCAGCTCAAGTTTTGTGATGATTTCCGTCTCAAATGTGTGTTTACTCTGTGCTGTGTAGGAGCAGGAGCGTGTGGAGCATGGCGTCTCTCTGCAGCAGCGAGCTCAGGAGGCCGAGAGGCTGCTGGTGCTGGAGAGAGTCCGATGTGCTGAGGACAACATCAGCAGCCGTATCAGCAACATGCTGATGGACAAGAACAGGTGGGTTAGGTAGAGCACTCTGTGTTTTAATATGAGCTGTTTGTGTTCACTGTGACACATTATCAAGTCTTCATGAGTATCTGCTAAGTGCTGAGTCTTGATGTTGTTCTCTGCAGGCAGAAAAAGAGCGCAGAGTTTCTTCAGTCTATGGAGGAGGACCGGTGAGTGCACAGATTACTGATCCATAACGTCCAGATCTATTACGGCTGAAAGATTAAGAATCACTCCAACACAGAGTAGCACTCATCCAATCATCTATCACTTAGCAGAGTGGGTCTATTTATAGAACAACTTTCCTTGAAAGACTTTACAGAGGGAGGCCAACAAAGAAATCTCTTTTCTCCTGCCATAAGAGACACTGCAAAAAACACCATAATTACTGCCAGTAGCTTTACTGATTTGGCTTCAGCTTCAGGACAAGTTTTCATTTTTTTCCTCTATCCTTATGTAAATAAATGTAAAACAAATGGTATTAATAACTGCAAACTACAGGCATCCTAAAATGCTGTTTTTTTCTCTAAGAGTCTCAGCTGCTACCACTGAGTTAAACATTTAGGGTCCTTCTATGTAAACAGTGGAGCTATAATGTATGACTTGGATACTTGATTCTGATTGGTTTAAACCCCAAAACAACAGCAAGAGGAATTCCAGGGATAACTCAATCACACTTTTTAAATGTTTTATGCACTTGATAGGCGTCCTTTTTTGCTTTTTAGTCACAGTAAGAGAACCTAGTGGGCTCTTATTTACCTGACATAAACTGAAAAGGCATCTCAGTAGAACCTTTTTTGCTTGTTATCTACTGAACGGGTGTCTAGCAGATACTTTTAAAAAAACATATTTCATAATATGTGAGCCTCTGATTTTTGGTGATGACTCTGCTTTCCTCAGGATCCGTATGGAGCATCTGACCGCCATCACACAGGAAGAAACCAACTCACTGAGGAAGAGGGAGGTGGCAGGTGAGATGCTTGACTCATGTGCTTTACCTGTACAGCGTTAGGTCTGCAGTCTAATACAACCCATCCAAGTTTAATGACCCCAAAGGCCTTCAGCGAATACAAATACTCTGAAAAAGTTAACGGAAATAGTGTGAGGATGGAGATTATCTCACTACATCCATCACATCACTTGTTTCTTTTTTTTTTCCTGACTTTACATTTGCTTTCTCTCTTTCACCCTCCTCTCTGTGTTTCAGCGGCCATGCAGAAGATGCTGTCAGACAGCTATGCTATGAGCCATCTGCAGGAGGCCAGTGACTTCCGCAGAAGGAGCCTGGTAACTGAGGCCTGCAGGAGGTTAGACGTGCACCACACACACACACACACACACACACACACACACACACACACACACACACACACACACACACACACACACACACACACACACACACACACACACACACAATCTAGTGTGTTTTAAGAAATCACAGTGTTTCAAGTTCATCTGTTTGGTTCTGTCTCCTTGTAACAGTATGGAGAGTTTGGACAGAAAGTTTGATAAGATGCTGTCCCTTCAAATTTTGGACAAATCCAAAGCCATCGCTCAAATCTTACAGGAGGTAAGTGAAGCCTGGTTGGTTTTTTGTGCTTGTTTCAATCATTTTGAGAGTGCAGGGGACTAATCTAACTCAGTGTGAACTTAAATCACTTTATTAGAAACTATTTGACAGGATGTTTTCCATTCAGGGTCTTCTCCGATCCTTGAAAAGCCTTAGAAAGTCTTTAATTGGATTTTGAAAAATGAAAAGTCTTATTGTGAGAGGTATTATTATTGTAATTTTTTTTTTGCAGGAGGAGATGCAGAAAGTGGCCTTCCAGGCCCTGCAGTTGCAGAAAGATGCTGTGCACGGATACATCCGCAACCAGGTCTGTGTGTGGACTGGTGGTGGGTGGGTGGAAGTGGGTTGAGGGACACCAACTCTGTCACTGATCTCTATTTTTTTGTAAATAAGAGTAGGATAGAGCTTACTATCAAAGGAGAAGCTTTACAGTAAAAGACGTAGAATCCTGATTTTATTTCCTTAAAGTTTGAAAGATGCCTTGTTTTCGTTTTTTGTTTGGAGTCATTTTGTGGTTTCTTCTAAGTTCATAGTTTAGTTCGCACAGATAAAGAGGAACCAGTCATATGTTTAGCTGTACCCAGCTCCACTTTTTCACCAGTGTATTGAGCTTCAACTGTTAGACCTCAATCAGTGGCATTTATTACTCTACGTGAATTATTGTATTTACTTTAAGCCAAAAGGTTCCTTAAGAGTGTGTTTTACCAGCCAAGCATAGGAAAATTTTTGAAAACTAAGAAACACAAATTTAGTACGGTCATCTGTTGGCTCGAGGTTCCAGTTTAACACACAAACACACTCAGGGAAAATCTTAAAGGGCAATGTGACAAGAAATGGTTTCACATCCACTAAAATGAGAAGGTCAAAGAAACAATAACCAAACACAAAAAGGGAAGTTTTAACTTGCTGGAATCTGTCCGGATCTGTTCATAAAACTGATGAGCAGGTTACCAATGGAATGGCACCACCAACTATGCCAAAGTTGCTTGTACCATGTGCCTCCCCTTATAAATTCTGGTTGCTGTAAATCTGACTTTGGCTGCCAGAAAACACAGTGCTCAGTATCTCTGGGTAACTCTTGAATCCTCCTCTCATTCACTGTCTCCAAGGTGGAGACTCTGGGCTTGAATTTGTTTCTTTTTTTGTATGTGCTGTTTTATTCAGCTGCATCTCGCCCATAACTAATCCATTTATACTTACACCAGCTATGAAATAATTTTGAAACTTTTGTTGACTCTTTTGGTTAAATACAAAAAAAGTCATTTCATCAGTGTTTTCATCCTGACTCCTGCTCCCTGCTAGCTTCATGTTTGCCTCTCCACTGTCCCCAGATCAAACTCATAGAGAGTGAGTTAATGCAGCTGACTAAACTGGAGATTAAAAAAAGGAATCTGGACGCTGAGAACCTGCAGGTGGGTGTCACCGCCTTCTTTCTTTGCCTCTCCATATTAACCTCACTTTTACTTCTTGTTTTGTTCACCAACTTTCACGTCATTGCTCCATGGCAGTTATCACTCACATTTAGGTTCAAGAAAACAGTCACACAGAGAAGAGGGATTAAAGGAATGATAATGCTGAAGTTATATCAAGAAGTTTTTGTTGTTGTTGATAATTAGTGAGTATTGTTGCTCATACCTCAGCTGTTTTATGTGTGTATGTGTACATATAAATATGTGTGTGTGTGTGCAGGAGGTTCTGGTGGAGCAGCGTTCGGCCCTCAGTGATTTGTTGCAGCAGCTGTTGAAGCAGAGAGACCAGAGAGAGCAGGAACTGCGAGGAGTTCTGGTGAGGAAACGTCATTTCATCAAACTGCTGCAGAATAAACAAGTTTGAGATGATTTACAAACATCTTACTCTTCTGTTCTTGCACATCTGTTGATGATAGCTTTAAATTGAAAATGCAAGCCATTAAATAAAGGTTGTTTGTGTTTTTCAGGCGGAAATGGAGAAGAAATCAGAGTCCAGCCAGCAGAATTACTGGATGATTCAGTACCAGAGACTACTGGATGCTAAACCTCTGTCGCTTCGCATGCAGGTACAGTTACAGACCAGAGGGGGAGACACAGAGGCCTCCTGAAACCAAACTCTTCAGTCTCTAAACTGCTCTCTCATTGCAGGAAGCTGGCGTGGAGAAGGAGTTAGTAAACTTGTTGTGCAAACTGTCGGCTCAGCACTACCTGCCTATCCTCGCTCATCACAGAGTGACGACTGAGGCGCTTCGCCACATGAACTCTTCGGACCTCAAGAAGGTTTGTCTGCTCACTCACCACTGAAACATTTGCATATTTTCCTTAAAAAATGACCCTTTGTTGCAAAAGCAGGGATTTGTCCAGATTCAGGATTTTCTTAACTGAAAAGTCAACCCACAAGACACAAATCACCCACGGGGATGTTCATTGGTATTCGGGTTTCGGCACGTTAGTTAGAAAGGACAGTAGTGAGCCATCTCAGCTGTTTGTGGGCATTGTGTGTGACAAGTGTGTGTTTCACAGGCAGGGTAGAAGTATGAAGATGTTTTGAAGGTTAAATCCTAACATGACTGTGAATTATTCATCTTTATGTTTCGTTTCTTTCTTTCAGCTTGGTATTATGGAAATAGGAATCCAGAAAGCTCTCTTGAAATGGGCTCGAATTCATGAGCCTAAGGGTGAGTTTAAAGAATTCCACGTTTTTATGTGTTATACAGTTTTACTGGATAAATAAAGCGAACTGAAATGTATATTAGTTTTTATGATGCTAGTCTGGATATTGATGGTCACTGATTATCTTTTCATCTAGCAGGAGCATGTAAGGCCGTGCAGGATGAGGAGGAGGAAGTCACCCCTTCAGCTCCGTCTCCTTCCTCCCCTCCAATGACTGTCACCATCCCACCTGTCTGCATCCCCAGCCCCCCTGCCTCCCCAGGGACCCCTGTCACCCCCTCAGCCCCAAGCCCAGTGGAGGGACCAGGGAGCTCAGAGTGTGTTGTCTGCATGGAGACTGGGGTAAGTCCAAGTAACTCCAGTCTAATCGTGTGATGTACATCAATTCCTTGTTTTTAATATTCTACAATAATAATATTTGCCCCACCTGCACCACCTTCAGGTCTCTAAATTTTGCATGTAATATCTTAAAATAGAACCTTTCTTTATAGTTGTTGGGTGAACTTGATTTTTTATTTTTTTATTTTTTTGCAGTGTATCTACTCATTTAGCTCAGACGATATGAAAAACATTTGGATTAAATGTGAAGTAAATCACACCTGTATTTCAGCTCATTCCACAGTTTTCCATGTTTTACAGTTGATTCCATTTTCATTTTCAGTTACAATGATGAAATAATTAGTTTTTAAATAACTTTTTAGGTGAAAGTTTTAGTTGAGTTTTGGTTAATGGGTACATAGTAATTCATGTTCTAAATCTTGAATTGAATTTGGGTCCATTTTTCTGTTTAGACTTCCACCACTGCAGAATATTATGCTGCTTGATCCACATCTTTCACATTTATGATTTTTGCTGAAATCACTTTCCATTTTAATTTATAGGATATAAGTTGAGAGATTTGAAACCCTCATAGGTCTTTACAGTAACTGCTTGCACATAAATTAACACCCTCTCTTCCTCTCGTTTCTCAGTCTCAGGTGATCTTCTTGCCCTGTGGCCACGTGTGCTGCTGTCAGGTGTGCAGCGACGCCCTGCAGACCTGCCCTCTGTGTCGTAGCGACATATCTCAGCGTATACGCCTCTATCACAGCTGAACCCCCCCCATCACGGTGCTTCCCCTCTTTCTCCTCTTCCTCCTCTGACCGATGCTCTCTGTATCCATGCATGATCATAAAGCTGCTGAGGTAACCCATCGTGTGTAGAAGAGCTTTTAGCTGAGCCACTTTCCTGTATTAACCAAACCGTACTGTTCAATATCTGTGCAGAAACAAGTTGAGATTTAGTATTTCTATATTAGTTTTTACTGCCATAAGAGTCTGTTGTGATTTGTTTTTTGTTTGTTTGTTTATGGTTTATATATTTAGAGTTAAGTGTTTCTCACTTTTTAAGGACTGACTCCTTTTTGCCTTATTGTAGACTCTTGGATGATGTGTGCCTTTTTCTGAAAATCACAACAAAAAAAAGTATGAATCTGATGTGAACCAAAGTAAAAATCTTTGAAGCTCATGCGAGGAGTTTTCAGCTGATAAATCATGAGACCTAAATAGATAAAGATTTTTGTGTACAACATAAAAAAACAAACTAGAGCATCAGCAGCTAGAACTGTTATTTTTAATTTCTGAAACTGCTGCCAGACAAGCCTACCAGACAGTAGGCTCCAAAAACACTTTTTCACATTTCTGAGTCACACTTCAAGCTATTAAGTGAGAGTAAAATGAGATATACTGTTAAAAATTAGTCAAATATAAACAAATATAAACAGGACAAATTTTAAAAAGATGTGTGAGGCAACAATGTCCATAGGAGGCACTATAACCAACACAGACTAAAAGATCCATAAGGACATCAAATAGTATGGGATATTGGAGACCAATTGATGCTTATGGTAAGGTTAAAGTTACAATTGAAAGCATGGCTCTATTCGGGGAGCTCTCTGCCCTTCTTTGTACATCTGGAATTATGAAAGCCTGTGGCAGGGAGAGCAGCAGCAAAGACACTGAGGTACCGAGCAGAGCACGCATCGGTAATAGTCTATGTTACAGTTTGAAAAGAGGAAGCCAAGTGGATGTGTAGAAGGTAAACAGGCTGATACGGGCTGCATAAGGATGAGCTGATGTACAGTGGGACTGAGCCCGACTGAACTAGCTCTAGTTTTCGGGAGACTTTTCTGCCTATATGAGACAGGACAGCTGGCAATGATAAAGTAGTATTCTACTATTATAGCTGTAATGCGAAGCTGAAAGGAGGGAGCGCACACTTCCTTCTGTTTTATGTGCATTTATGAGAAGTCAAGACAGAGAGAGCGTCAGTAAAGAGGGTACAAAACAGAGCAGGCTTTAGTATCAACAAAAATGAAACTGGTTAATCCAACTCTGTATAAAAAGAAAAAGCCAAATGAATGAGTAGTAGTGGTTGAGCTGTCAGCTGATAACGGTTGGTGTACTGTAGGGCTGAATTTGACTGCGTAGCCTGCCTGAACTAACACTGTTTTGGGGGATTTTTTTTTGCCTTTATGAGATAAAACAGCAGAATATAGACAGAAAATGTGGAGAGTGGAGAGCTGGGAATGACATGCAGTAAAGCAGTGTTGCTGGGAGTTAAATCAGCCTCTGCATGTGGGATGCATGCTGGAACCCCAAGACCAACCAGCGCCCTCAAAAACAGACTTATGTAGCATTACCACAGCCAAGATTCTCTGTGAATCGTACCTTTGACTGTAAAACAACAAGATAGGACTCATTGTTAAAATACGCCATAAACGTTTTAAGAACAAAATCATGATGAGAGTAAGAGGTGCGGCTTTGTCCACAGGAAAGCTTTTCCCAGGACAATTAACACGAGCCCAACTAATCGGGTTTATTTCAGGTTGATATGCTGATTTGAAAGGGAATTCGCCATTACAGAGAATATTTAAACTCATTTGGTAGATTTAGCGCTGATTTTGCACCGATATGACTCTTACTCAGAGGGCTGCTGTTTTCAGTGAATATCTTTATAAAAAGATATTTAACATGCAGACCACTTTTACTCAGCTGTGATCTGCTCCATGTTTTGCAGACAGTGCTGAGAGGATTGTAAAGTATTTATTCCAAGCACGCTCTGTTTCATAATCTACATGAAATCGTCATTTTTGATGCACCATAAGCACTGTTTTCTGTCATTTATGTTCCATAGAAACATTTCCACAACCAGAAAATCTCTGTATATGCTGAAACAGAAAAACGTGTCCTGAGCCTACTAATGTTTTTCTTTTTACTATCTCTACTATGTGTCTTTGCATCACTAATGCATCCATGTTTTATGAGTCTGTTACTGTACAGCACCTGTGTCTTCCTTTCTGTCAGAGGTGTCTTCATCCTCTCATCCAGGTTGCTACGTGGCTAGAAACATTAATCAGTGGTAATATTTCTGACATGGGTGGACCACAAGTCAATGACTATCCAAACAATGTTCTACCTGCACCCCAATTGAGCCGCTGCAGCTCTTGTCAGCACCACCCCACCCCCATAGTTATTTTTATATTTTGTTGAACTGTGATTTCAGCTCAACGTCAGACTAAAGTAAAAGGCTGCTGTTTGTTTAGTGTGAAAGTGAAACAACAGAAAGTAAATATTTTGGTTTAGCAGCTCCTCATGCTGGAAAATAACTAAAATAGTTGTAACTTCTGCCAAAGGAGTCTATTTCTTTATTCGGCTTCATTTTATTTTCTTTTTTTGTCAATTTTATTAATTTTAAAGAGGGAGCTCTGATTTATGGCAGTGTAGCATTAGGGCCACCTATCAGCCAATAAAGTGAGCTTTTGGCACTTAATTGTAAAAAAAAAAAGTGTACATAAACAAAATTGAAAAAGGGGGGATTTAAACCCAGAAAAATAATTTTGTTGAGAAAATTACAAATTTAGTTTGATAAAATACAACTTAGGAATATATTATCTTAATATCAGGGCTCATATATCCCACAATTTGATATTTAAAATATTTTCTATTTTTTTGTGATTTCATTTTTACTACACTTTTCCTTCAGTCTTGTTGATTTAAAAGAAGCTGTGAATTTAAGAAAATGAAGTGATATGTTATGAGAATATGGAGGTAATATTATAAGCTGTAGAGGAAAATAGTTTTATTTTTTGAGACTTTTTTGGGCTCTTCTTATCAGCTAGTTCTCTGAAATATACAACTTCTCGCTTGTTTATTTACTGCTTTATTCTGATATTGAGACTTATGACTCCTATTTTATAATTTTTTTTGCATATTTTTTTGACTCTAATATCGTTATAGCGCAACTTATATCTCATAGATTTATTAATAATACCCCTAAAATTATGAGAATAAAACTGTAAAGGATTTTTTAGAACAGTGGTAATATATGACACCATTATAGTATATTTACCTCTTGATTCTTGTTCATTTTTGGCTTTATTTGAAAATTTTTCTTCTTGTGGCCCCAATTCTCTGTCGTACATCGGTGTTGCAGGAGTTCTTGATTTTTATTCCAGATTTTTTTTTTTTAACCCTAATTTATTTTACAAAGGAGCTTTAAGACATTATTTCAGCTAAAAAAATTTGGCTTTGATTTTAGAGAAGGTTTGTAAATGCCAGAGAGGAGAACTGATTATAGCCTCCAGGCAGGATTATGCATGTGGAGCATCATGGGAATTATAGAACTCAGTGTGATAGATCTTCAATCAGGACTTTTTACGGGATCAACTGTGTTAATGTTGGTATTTTATCATTACCCAGTTTAATGAATGTGCAATACTAAAATTGTGAAAGAGTCCTTTAAATTCAAGACTCATATGATCCCTTCATTATTTTCTAAGATTATTTGGGAGGTTTCATGCCTTTTGTGAGATAAGCAGGAAGAGCCTCAGGTCTGATTTGAACCCAGACCTTTGAACCTGCAGACTATAATCTTAGACCAGACTGTTCATATGTTCGTATCCTTGGAGACAAAGTCACAGTCTCTCATATGATAACAATCATTTTAGTCAGTCTAGCTGGACCTGTTGGACTCTCAGGGGACTGAGGTCTGAAGGATTTACCCTGATGTGATCCACCCCCAAACCTCACTGTAGCTTCCTTTCACTCGTCTGTGACATTGTCTTTTGAAGTGCTCTATGGTGCATTTATAACCACTAATTAACACGCTGCCTGCTTAACCATCACTAACGCTACTATATCCAAGTGCTCTTAACTCCAACATCTCAGTATGTTTCAGGAAATATCTTTGTATATGTGTCTGTCTGATGTGTAAGAGGTTTCACCTCTATATAAAGCTGAATATACAGTATGTATTCCTTTCATATACTCACTCTGTCATTCATGTAAAAGCGTTGTGTTATTGTAAAACATGCACTGTTCCTACACAGCAGACGTGTCTGCAGATCTACTTCAATAAACACAATATAAACCCGCTGTTGGTGATCTTAATTTTTTTAAGATTTATAAATGTGTTATCTTATGATATTTAAAAATTACTTGGAAAGATTACTTTAATGTTTAGGAATCAGCCTAATTGAATAGTTTCTCATGTATTAAAAAGTTTGCTTGCAATCATCTACTGTTTCAGAAATATAATGACTGTTTTCTGTTGTTTGACATCAAAAAATAGTTTTATTAAAGGTTTTCAAACCAGGAATAATAAACCTTATTTTGAAGAGCACTTTTCTAAACTCAGTATTTTATTTATTTATTTATTTATTTAAACATGTTCCTGGATTCACTGATGGTTATTACTACCTGGACAGCGTTTGCAGGTTGAGGAACCCATATTTCCATTTTTCTTTGTAGTACCTGAACGTTCCATCAACGGTGGAGCCAATCACAGCGCGGAGCGGATGCGGCTGCCGTAAACTGTAACGTTCATGTGTCACAGGAGAAGTTCCCTGCCACAGTTAATGAAGATTTCGATCCGTTTTTAAGTATCGATTTAGGCTCCTGTTTACAAAGACAACAGCTGTAAGTATTTTCTTTACTCTGTGTTTGGCGAAAAATGTGACTTACGCTGGAAAAAGAGTAAAGACTGATATATTATTGAACATATTTTCTACCAAGCGTGTTAGCCAGTTAGCAGTCCACCCTGGAGTCATGTAATGTCAAACAGGAAAGAGGTGGAAATGGACCAAACTGTTTCAATATTCAGCGAAATTTTTCACGTTACAAGTTGTAGATATGTTTACTTTTTAAGCTTGTTTGTGTACGCCCCTGTAAGATTAGAAACACATATAATTCTTTTATTATGCCTATCATGGAGATAACGGCATCAAATCGTTTATTATTAGGCGCTTTTGGATATTAACTCAACTCAACTCAACTTTGTTTATATAGCACTCTAAATACAACCACAGCTGACACAAAGGGCTGTACATAATAACATAAAACAACAATAAATAGTTGTTTTAAAAGTCAACTGATCAGTGATAGCCAATATTAACAGCAATAACAACAATAATGGTAGTAATAATAGGTGCTTTGACATACAAACATGGATACACAAAACAATGACATAAAGGTTATCATAAAGGCCTCATCTTCTAATCTTCTAATGCAGGTCCTCTCAAAGCTGAGGCACCCTGACAGGAATGGCCAAACATCTCAAACCTGAAGCTGTTGCAGATACTTACATCATTTTCATGTGTTTGAGATCAGGTTCTACTGGCCCCTTCACTGTTTGATGTCTGTGTCCTTCTGAAATAGCAGAACAGTTGGTTGTTTCTTTTCTGGCAGTCATCATGTCAAACCCGACTCTGCTGGTCCTGTACGGGAGTCAGACCGGGACGGCTCAGGACACGGCTCAGAGGATCGGCCGGCAGGCACAGAGGAGAAGAATGAAGGTTCAGGTTCTGCCTCTGGACAGCTACAATGTGGTGAGTGATGTTTCTAGTTAAAGACAAGATCATGCTGGGACTGAGACGCTGTTTTTGAGGGTTTAATCCTCTCTGCATTTGGTTGTTTTGAGTCTCTGTAAAGTACCAGGATACATCATGTGTTTTTGCTCTCATCAAACAGGCCAGCTTGATCTCAGAGTCTCTGGTCGTCTTTGTTTGTGCCACCACTGGACAGGGAGACCCTCCTGACAATATGAAGGTAACTTGAAGAGGTTCAACTCTTTCTTTCCTGAATCTCCTTAGTTTTACATTTCTGTCCTTTTTCTCCTGTCTTTTTAGAACTTCTGGAGATTTCTCTTCAGGAAGTCTTTACCTGCTGGTTCTCTGAGTCGGCTGGACTGTGCTGTACTGGGTCTGGGGGACTCCTCCTACCCAAAGTGAGTCCTTCTCAGGTCTAGAATCCCCACAGCGAACATACATTGTCCTGTTTTTCATTAAATGCATCAGCTCTTTTCATCCTCAGGTTTAATTTCGTTGCTAAGAAGCTTCATAAGCGCCTTGAGCAGCTTGGGGCAAGTACGCTGCTGCCTGCTGGACTGGCAGACGACCAGCATGACCTCGGGTGAGAGACTCCTCTTCTCATGACTAGAGGGGTGAAAATAAACTGAAAACACCAGCAGATCCCCTTATACTGAACAACTGATTCCCACCTCCAAATGTTCAGGATCTAGAAAAAGTTTTCTCTAACCACCCAGTGTTATACTATCAGGTCAGACGCAGTGATCGACCCCTGGCTAACGTCGTTCTGGGAGAAGGTTTATGCTCTGTACCCGTCTCTGTCTGATGTGACTCCTCTTAAAGAAGATGAACCGTGAGTTTCACTCAGTCTCACTCAGCTTCTTGTTTATTTGTGAGGTACTAATATCTGTTGCTGTGGAATGACAATCAAAAGGATTTATTTCTTCTCTTGCTTTTTTGTCAGGCTCCCTCCAACGTACACTTTCCACTTCTTGAATGATGTGAACGAGAAGATGGAGGACAGGCTGCAGAGTCCTCCTGCCCCCTCTCAGCCTCGCCCCTTTCCCTGCAGAATCGTGACCAACAGGAGAGTAACAGACGTGTCTCATTTTCAGGAAGTGAGGCTCATCGAGTTTGATATCACTGGATCCAACATCGAGTGAGTAACACAACATAAACCTATAAATAAAGGATGCCAGACTTCAGGAAGCTGTAACAGGCTGATTCAGTTGGGAGGTGCAGCATGTATTTTGTCACTTATCTGCCACAAATGTGCTGCAGGTACAGATTCCTCCATGCATCGCTTTTGTGTTTATTTTTGATTCTTTTTATCATGAAACATTTCTGTAACAAAGACACAACCACTAACCAGGGGTGATAACCTGGCCTCTGTTGCCATCACTCTAATTTTTGAGAAGTTCCTCACACAAATACTCTTTTGAACTCTTGATGAACTGTGGTTTTGCTGTGCAGGTTTGCAGCCGGTGACGTGGTCATGATGTATCCTCAGAACTCAGCTGAGGATGTTCAGCAGTTCTGTCAGTTTTTAAGATTAGACCCAGAGGCTAAATTCACTCTCAGAGCCACAGATAACACTGCAGGTAGGTGTGTGGTTGTTATTGCGTGCATTGTTCGTCATGACTGTTTTTGAATCATTGAAAAGAAAGACATCAGTCTGGGGTTGCTATGAGCTGTAAGAGTTCATTTCAAGTGAGAGGTGGTTTAAAGCACCGTGAGACAACAACCTTCCCAACCACAGAAACCTTTTTTCTTTAGACAGTTTTGAGGACCCAGTGTTTTTTTTTATTTAAAATGAATACATCAAACATCTTATTTTGTTTATGATTCTTACTGTAATATCAAAAGGGATTACATTTCAGATTCTTCTCTTTTTCCTCAGTCCCATCCAGGCTTCCTCAGCCATGCTCGGTGCACCACCTGGTGAAGGAATACCTGGACATTGCTGCTGTTCCTCGACGCTCTTTTTTCGAGCTTTTGTCCACCTTCTCCACCAATGAGCTGGAGCGAGAAAAGCTGCAGGAGTTCAGCTCAGCGGCCGGACAGGACGATCTACACAGCTACTGCAACCAACCCCGACGCACCGCACTGGAGGTGAAAAATCAGGGTTCCCATAGATCCTTGAAAAGTCTTTGAAAATATAGGGTCTAAAATGCCTTTAAGAGTCTTCCTTTTACTTGTCTTAGATTTAAGGCGTCTGAATATATAATCAATTTTACTCTGTCAACGACACAAATATCAAAAAACCCCAGAACGTTTTATAACTCATGAACATGTCTCAAATAAACACAACATATATTTAGGACACAATAATTAATATTAAAGACATTGGACATTGGAATAAAACATTTTTTGTAGAAACCTGAGCAAATTTCAAAAACATCAAACAATTCTGGAAGTGCAAAAACTTTTGAAAACACAAACATTAAACACAAATCGATGTCAAAAAATATGTATTTGAACTCAAATAAAACTTTATAGCAAATATTTTAGATATTTTAGAATTTGAGTTTCCAAAATTTTTGTTTTCAAGATTTGCATTTTTGAAATAATACATGAAAATTTTGTGTTCATGTGAAACATTTTTATGTTTTGTAAAACGTTTGTGTTTTATGAAATATTCTTTTTTTTTTTTTTGCCTTCCTGAAATATTTATACCTTTTAAACCTTAGAGCCACCGTAGTATACTTAACCTGCCATCATGGAATCAGCTCTTTTAATCACTCCCAAACCCGTATAAGGTTTTAGAATCCTTTAGAGCAGAGCCAGTGAATTCATGCAGCAGCTGTTATTGAACTGTCTCATTGGATGTCTGGTGATCTTCTCTCTGTTGCAGGTGTTGGCTGATTTCCCTCACACTACAGCTGAACTCAAAGTCGACTATCTGCTGGATCTGTTCCCTGAGATTCAGCCTCGTTCGTTCTCCATCGCGTCCTCTCTGCAGGTAGATCATCATTCACGGGGACCGTTTTTACAAATTTGATGTCTGAATGGCTAATGAAATGATGAAACAGACATATTTCATATTTTTAACATATTTGAAGTCTGTCCACGAAAAGCTCTTATTTTGAGCTGTCAGTTAGTGCAGCGGTTTAACCGTGGAGTAATGGCAAAAACTGCCTCTATACACCAGTATTTTTTGGTGTTAGTGTGCTGCAGAAGTCTTTTGTTGGATCAGAAATCACAGTAAAACCTTGTCTTGTCCTCTCTCGTCCTCAGGCTCATCCAAACAGGCTGCAGATCCTGGTCGCTGTAGTTCGTTACAAAACCAAACTTTATAATCCAAGAAGAGGTCTCTGCTCCACCTGGTTAGCTTCCCTGGACCCTGAACAAGGTCTCACACTCACACTCAACATTATGCCACTTTTTATATTTATAACACAAGGCTTTCACACAGAGACATAAAACTTTTTCTTTATCTATTTGTTTGCACTGAAGAATTTCAAAATGGATTAAAAAAAGTAAGAATAAGTAGTATTAGTGCATATATAATAAATATTTTAACAGAAATCATACAAATTTTTCAGATACATGTTTTTAAGAGCACATGTGATTTATTTGTTTGTTGAAATTGTTTTTATTCAGAGGAGGTTTTTGTTCCTCTGTGGGTGAAGAAAGGCAGTATGAAGTTCCCCAAAGATCTGGACACACCTGTGATCATGGTTGGACCTGGGACAGGTGTGGCTCCGTTCAGGTCGGCCTTACAGGAGAGGAGGGCTGAGGGGAAACACGGTGAGAGTTTGAACTCTTTGAGTTTGTTTCTTTTCGTCTCTAAATTAAAACCTAACCTCATCCTCCTCGTGTTCAGGCAACGTCCTGTTCTTCGGCTGCCGCTCCGAGTCCAAAGACTTTTACTTCAGGTCTGAGTGGGAGGAGATGATGAAGTCCGGACATCTGATGCTTTTCACTGCTTTTTCAAGAGACCAGGTCAGACACGCAAACAGTCGGTACAAGTCAAAAAGAAATAGCTCAGCAGTGAATGCAGAAAAACAAACCATGACCCATGTCACAACCAGTCACTAAAGGAAATCTGTTCACCCACCTGTTCAGAGATACACATGCAAGGTTTGTGGAAAGTCAGTGGATTTTAAGAACTGCGAGTTGCACGCTTGGAGAAGATTTGGGAAATGATTAAACAGAAAACTGTGGAAAAGTTTTGGAAATTTTCTTGTTTAAAAAAATCTGTTGTGTCACAGTTTACTATCAACTATTTTCCATCAAATCATGAATTGTAGTCCAAATGTACTGTGATGAATATTGACATGGATTTCTTCTTGATTTTCTCGGACAGTATTTGTGAGAATTATCCCTAAATTTGTGATTTATTTACAAAACTGTGTATGAAACTTTGCACTTATTTCCTCTCTGCAGCTCTGTAACACTGGCTGCACTTTTTCAGGAGTAAAATCTGTAATAATTGAAGTTTTTTATTCCAGGAGGAGAAGATTTACGTGCAGCACCGTGTGAAGGAGAACGCCAAGCTTCTCTGGGATCTGATCACCAATAAAAACGCTTGTTTTTATATCGCAGGGTGAGTCAAAGGCAGCAAAACTTAGTTCAATGAAGTTTATTGATGAAACAAAAAGAAGCAGAGTCAAATATTGTTTTTAAATTCTGTTTTATGCAGAAGTGCCAAACAGATGCCCAACAGTGTGTGTGACGCTCTGAAGGAGGTCTTCCAGCAGGAAGGCGGCGTGTCCTCTGAGGACGCCGAGCAGATGCTGGACATCATGGAGAAGACTGGACAATTCCAGAGTGAGACCTGGTCCTGATCACGAGTCTGTTTAAACCCTTCAGTCCTCAAAAATGACTCATTGGTTATCCATCATTTCTTATATCAACATTGACACGAACAAGAGTTCATGAAGAGGAAATATCATCCAGTGACAGACAAGGGAAAGGTTCAGCGTGGATCATAGTTTTATTGTTCTTCAAGAAACATTCGTTCAGGCGTCCTCTACTCTACCAAGCTCCAACCAAAAGTACTTTTGGTTGGAGGGCTTTTCAAATAAGGGTCCATTCATTTTCTGGAAACTTAAGTGTATTTTAGTGCAAAAACCACATCTGTTTTTGCCAACTCTCAATCTGGATCCTTAAAAAAAGGGCAAATAAGTAACCTTCTTACAGCCTAGTATGTATTGGCTTTTACACAAAATAAATAAAGAGGGGGCATGGGTGTTATATTTAATGCAATTCCTGTTTTTTTAAAACTGCCAAGTAGAAAATGAAAAAGATGAATGTATGAGAATAAAAAAACCATTAAATAAACCAGGTAAGTTTAATTACCTGAAAATGGTGAAGCCAATTTGACGTTGCTGTGAAAGTAATGCAGTGGAAAGGACCAATCATGAAGCAGTACACAATTAATAAAATAATCAATAATAAACAATAATTTAAAGACTTTTGTTTGGCTGCTGTGACTGTTCATTGTTGAACTTTGCTGAAGATAAACACCAAACAGCGTGATACGGCTCAACTATTCATCAAATAACATTAAATAAAAATAAAAAAAACAAGACTGTAAGTTGTCTAATCAAGCTAATGTTACTTAATTCTCATCTTTTCATGCACTTTTTCTGCCTTTAGTGTATGCAGATGTGATTCGTTCATTTTGCCTCATGAGCCCAGAAATAAGCAAATTATTTCAAAATGCAAATAATTGGCCCAATCAATGAGTTGGTCTATCTCTGTTGGAGACACTGCTAAAACAACTCTGAACATCAGTACAAATGGATGATAGTATGTAAGTCAGTCAGCTGTGTGTGTGAATGAAGGTAATGATGAAATGATCAGAGAAGAAAACCTTAAGACAAAGCAGCTTTACATTTTTACTTGTTTAAAATTACAATCCTTTGATATGAATCACATCAGGTTATAAAATTCTTGTTTTTAAACTTCATCATCATCTCACATCATGACTTTCAGGATTTGAATTGTGTCACTTCTGTAGGATTTAGCTGTTATTCTAACCATCAGTTGCATTCAGTGATTTATTTGGTAAATTCCAGTACTAAACCAGACTGAGTGTCTACTGTAACACATTATTTTAAAACTGAGGAACACATCTTTCACCTACAAGTAAAAATACAAAAACAAGCCTGTGTTGTCAGATTTCAGTAAGCTGTAAAACATCAAAATGTCCATTAACGGTTCTGGATGTGAGTTTCCCCGGATCTCTGCTTGTTGGTGCTGCCTTTAAAACGCTTTCAGTATCACACCCAGAAACAGAACTTGACGCCGAGCTTCAGGCGTGTGTAATAAATAAGTATTGAGTAAACTGTTGACAGTCTCTGAACAGTCTGTAAGATTGACGCCAGAACATGACTCCTCAGTTTCCAAACAGCAGCAGAGTTTCTATTGATTGATTGTCCATATCCAAAAGCTGAAACATGTTAAAAGGACCACATCGATGTATTCGTCTTTGCTTGCATATTTTGGGGTCTTAATGACTGTAAGGTATAAAAATGTAGACAGTAAATTGCTTCAGCCTGCAGCCAAAAACGAGCTGCTGAAGTTGTTGCAATCTTTTAGGCAAATGTAGGTCCTCTAAAAGGTTTTTTTTTTCCACACTGACAGGATCAAACTGTTATCAATGAGGATCTGCCAACATAGCAAAGAGAAACACCCACAGATACAGACCTTTTGTTAACGAGGAAGTTGATTTTTTAACCAAAATGATCGGTTAGATCACACTCTTACAGTAAAACAGTAATTTGCATAACAGAACCAGGAGTTGCTAGGCTGCGTTGACTCAATTTGTGCATTTTCTGCAACATTTAGGCATCTAAAACTACTGTGCTGGGTTTTAACTAAATATTTACCATACTTCAGCCATACAATAACACAAAGATACAAAATTACCAAGGCAGTGGATGGCCAGCAGCACGTGTTGCAGGAAGGAAATATACTGTCGTTTTAAAAGGAGTCTGGATGCTTTTGAAGGGAACAATCTATGGACTTGTTTTTGCCGAGCTATTCGCCCTTTAGAACCCAAAATATTTACGACTAAAGCCCTGTTTAACCACGGCAGAGGTCCTCCGTACACCACAGACATGAAGAGTTAGAAACAGGCACAGAGCAGAATATGGGTAGAGTTACCAAACATGTCACTTTCAAACCGTTATCCATGATTTACTGATGAGAAAATCCTCCTCTCCACACCAGAAACTCTTTGTTTACAATGTCCCTTGAGTCCTCTATCTGAGAGCCAGAGTGTGGACTTGGTAGATCTCCTTAGGGAAGTTCATTTGTTGCTCCTCATGGACGATCCGCAGACCCGCTCTGCTCACCAGACTGTGAACGATGGCCAGGTCTCGACAGACGCTGCTGTCCACCTCGTCTGGGACCACGCCTTCGTACGAAACATTGTCCTTAATCACGATGAGACCGTTTGGCCGAAGAGCTTTTTGACAGCGACGCAGGAACTCCACCAGGTGGTCGTCTGTCAGGTGACCTGCATGGGAAGGGGGGATGTTTTATAGAGAGGAAGGATCCAGTGGCTGTAATCACGAATTGCATCTACCAACAAAATTCTAAAAAGCTCTTAAAATGTGACAATTTTCAAGCATTTTCCATACAAGTGAAGACCAAATCAGTGTAAAGATTGAAATAATTCAAAATTCAGAGGGCTCCTAAGGTTTAAAACTGTCAGGAGCAGTGAGGAGGACTCTAAAGAAGTCTAAGATTTTCTCAAGCTGAGGAAGTAACAGCAGAAAGAAAGAGAGTTGCACCCCAAACACTGACTAATGAGCGTCACGAACAGAGGCTTGTTATTACAGATGAAACAAAAGTAGGAAAGCAGGATGAAATCAACAGCAACAGGTTGCACAAAACAATGAAATGACCATGAGATGTTACACTGTAGTTGATGCATTTTTTGGAGAGACAAAAACTGATATCTCCATCAAAACGTACAGAGGACTGCAAAGCGAGGACAGATTATGCCTAAGTGCATACGTTTTAGGTCCATCATATAGTTAAAAAAATTGTAAACAGTTAGCCCACACAGATCTAATAGATGTATGTGTGAGTGACAGCTGCTGTATCTATCTGCCTGTGAAGAAGCTACAGCGCAGTTGTACGTACTTTCAAACATTTTGTAAGCTTTACACCAAAAATTCAATTCATAACTTAAAAAAGTAGAAATAAGGTTTACTTAAAAATACTACTAATATGATCAAGCGAAGTTAAGCACAGGTATGGCTTTTATGTTTCTGTGCTGTTAATTCATGTCCAAAATACCTATTTATCATTATTTTACCCAAATAACATCCATTAACTCACCAATGACCCACTGTATCCAGACGACATCATAGCGTCCACTCTCTGGTACAAAGTCCTGCAGCCCACAGCAGAGGTAGTTTCCCACCCTCTTTCCGTCCTCTCCCAGGTACGTCTTAGCTTTGTCCAAGAACTCCTTGGTCACGTCCACCAGGTCCACAGTTTTGAACAGAGGCAGCAGTAATCGCTTGGTGATCCTCCCGATGCCTGCACCACAGTCCAGAGCGCAGGTCGTTCCGGTCTTTCCCTCACCTTCCTGAAAAGACGGACAACAAATGCTGTGACACAAACTGAAGCTTTCAGAGAGGAGTGTAACGGAGGGAGACTAGAAGTTTCAAGTTTCTTACACCAAGGAACTTCTGCAGGAAAGCCTTGGACCCGTTGATGTCGATGCTGGAGATGCTGCCATATCCCCCCAGCATGCCATCCACTGTGGGGGGAACCTCCCTCCAGTAGTCTTCTGCATTGGAGTAGAAGCTGCCCTCAACTTCTGCTGTGTCCCCCATCCTGTTACAGTGCACAGATAACAAGGTGAAAAATCAACTATATGTACATTACTCACATCTAACACTTTGTATGAGAAATAAAAACACAAATCAGTTTTGTTTAACCTCAATAATTCTCCAAACTAAAGACGAACTCATGAAATTTACTGTATAAGCACTTGGGAAGAGGACAACGCTGTAAAAATGCAGACCTTGTCAAACTAAATTATGTTAGGAAAATTGAAGTTTTTGTGTCTTTATGCTGCCACTCCTTTCAGATTTGATTTCAAAGTTATTAAAAGAATATGATTCCTTTATTTAAGACCTGTGTGGATTTACAATCAACCAGTCACAGACTTCTGTAGTACACACTGGTTAAATCTGGGGAAGGATTTCATCATTTGCTTTTCAGCACTTTTTAAAAAAAAAACTAATTAAGAACTTTGTGTTTGATATCTGGGTTGGAAATAAGAAGACCCCTAATATCTGACTTTATTTTACTGTTGTACCACAAGCATGTTTTGTACTTTAGGTGCTTATATGCAACGTTAAAGTGTGTTGTTGTTTCATGTGAGGTGTCAGACATCCGTCTGCCTCATTTCAGATATTTCACCTCCACTATTCATTTGTTCCCACTGCAGCAATGTTAAAGATGGAGGGGAGGGGGTCTATCACCTGGCAGATATTTGGATTGGGACCACACACTCACTCACTCACTCACACTCACTCACTCACTCACTCACTCACTCACTCACTCACACACACACACACACAAACACACACACACACACACACACACACACACACACACACACACACACACACACACACACACACCCATCTGCAGCCAAATTTGGGCAGCAGATTCTGGCCAGCAGTTATTCAGCTGTCAGCAGGCGTCTTGTGACCGGAGCAGAGGGAACACATTCCTTCTGAGGCTGTGACCAACATTACAGAGCGCACAGGCAGACCGGACGAGGCCAGTATTTTGAACAGCATTACAATAAAGCCTAAACAACTCACATCTTCTTGAACAGTTAAGATTCAAACTCTGATTTCTGTTTATTTGATGTTGTAATTACTTCAACTTTTATTGTTACTTTTACCCATTTATTTCTCTCTGTACCATTGTTATGAATGATTATTATCACGATTATCACCTGTGTATTATCACTATCCGCGGTCAATACCTTACTAATATTGGCATATCTAAAAACCTTTAGTATTAGTTTTGAATAAAATGCATGGCCTACTAAAGTACATTTGATTTACACAAGTTTTAAAATATAGGGATAGTATGGCTGTTTACATGACTTTGGAAACCACACAGTCATAAACTAATTTTAGAATAACAGATTTTTCTTGTTGTTTAAGCTCAAATATCATCTTCGCAGCCAAAGATAACCGGATTAATCAGATAAATAATACAGAAATGTTAGAAAGGATAAGTGTAACGCCATAGCTACATGCTAATAATAACTAACAAAATAAGAATAAGGTTTCAACTTTCCAGCCACATTATAATAATCACTTAATATTTTTTAATTAAATTTTAAAGTCCCCTTTAAGGCCCCGCACGTGCCACCTCAGCTGCTGTTACCATGGCTCTGCTAGCCACGATGCTAACACTAAACCGCCGACATCTCTGTTTTTAAGACAGATTAAACATCTCCAGCGTGTCTAAACTGTACAAAAGTCATTCTCTTTAACTGTACTAACCTCGTTTGTTTCAGCCCCAGGTCCAGCACCCTCCTCGACCTCTCTCAGACCCTCTTTGACCCTCTGAGACCGGGTCCCGGTGTCACAGCTTCACTTTTCTATTTGGGACCTGCTCCGTGCGGCTCAACGTCATTTCCTTATTTGGTTTTCTGACAGGAGAAAAGACAACAGCGCCCCCCATTGGCTGAAAACGGTAATGTTTACCGACGACTTTCAAAACAACTAAAAGTGTGGAAAAGTGGACCTAAAACGACAATCTTTAATTATACTATCGTAGGTAATGAGTTATATGATTCAGGAGCCTTGTTATTTATTAAATCTAAAAGTTACAGATTAGTTTGGCCAATACATGGATACATTTTTTCCATAAAATATAATCCAAAAAATTACCAACACAAGGATTAAAAAAAGCAGCAAGATTAAAAGTGCTTAACACAAGACATTAAAAGACTCATTACAGAGGTCAGAAATTAAAAATTAAAGTTAAATTAAAATTAATCTTAACAGAGGAAATCACGAGTTTAAATATTATTGCACTGAGAACAAACTATCTAATTAATACGAATAAAGTCATGTTGTACTGCAAGAAAAATATGATATAACCAATTGACTTTTAAATAATACTAAACATGATAATATAAAAAACCCTTATCTTGTAGCAAAGCTCAAAAAGTAAATCTAAAATGTTTTGGCAAGCTTGTAGAAATTGTATGTATTTAACTAAAACACAGAGAATTTTCACAGAACAAACAAATTAGAAACAGATTTTAACTATTTGTCACACACACGCACACATGTACGTGCGCGCACACACAAACACACGTTTGAAAACTTTCTAATTGCACTTGCTGGGAGATTTTAATGGTGCTGTTGCAGTGTTGTAAAAATCCACCGGGTGGCAGTGTGGTATAGAGTTATGAATGAGAAACTCCTGACCTGTCTAGTGTGATTTTTGTCAAAGAGATCCATACTGAAGTCTCACGGTATCCAATGGTATTCAATAGGAAAAACTGCCATCTGCTGGATTTAAAGTCTCTATAAATATTACATTAACTAACAAAATATCGTTGATGTTCTCCATAAACTACAATGAACTACTACCTGTTTCATCACGATTTTTACACTTATATAAATAGTAAAAACAGGATAACATAACTGATTAATAGTAATTATTGTTCATGTTTAATGCAAGTCAGTGCAACTGTATGAACAGAAGTTACATATTCATTTTAATAACAGTAGTTCTGAACATGCATCATCCACTGTATGCTAGAGTTTGGCATGAATCACTTCACCAAAGTAAAATCTTGCAAGCAGTTTAATTCAGTAATTAATAAGGACAAAAGAAGTCAAGTCACTCTGTATAGATGACTGTATTGTTCAGACATTTTTTAAAGCTGAAAGGCAATGAAAAATGATTAATTCAAGAGTGTCTTTCATGGAACCACCACTAAGGGGTTTAATAATTTACGCATTTTGTGAAATCTCAAAATGACAAGGCCAAATAGCAAAGTCTGAGAATAAAAGACAAAGCCAGAGTTAAAGCAGCAAAACTGCAGTTCCTCAAATGTCCACTAAAGGCTGTCTCTAAAAGAGAGTGAACCCCCTAAGAGCCCAACATTAAAATGTCCTAATTAACTGCAGAAATAAACATATAAACTCAAGATTGGCATGTGCCTTCAAAGCCCTAGAATGTTTTTATAAAGATGGGTTAAGATTGATAAGATAAGATAAGATTTTGTAACATCATATGATTTTGTAACATCATATGATCTGTAAATAAGTTTTCAGTCCAGGTCTCCAATTATATCGAAGGTCCCATATAATGAGAAAAACCCATTTCCTTTAATGATACATACACTACACTGCAGTCAGCCTCAAGTCTCTCACCCCCGGAGACTGTGAAAGCAAAAGAACCTTTGCATTATTTGTAGTCCATTTACTGGAAAAACAACTTTGGTGAGGCACTTTGAATTTGCACCTATGATGATGTAACAAACTCCGGCCAAAGTGAAGATTTTGGAAAACTCTGGTTTGACTTTTGTGTGCGGACATAGATAGCTTTCAATTCCCAAACATCAATGTCCGCGACAACTAATAGTTAAATGTCATATACTAAGTATTGCTAAGATGCTCTTGTTTATGTCAGGGAGTGGATGGCACAGTTATATACGTCCTCCACCTTTCTTGTATCTTGTTGACTTTATACTCCAAAACAATGTTTAAAACCATTTCCAGCTCTTTGTGGGTCCACACTAATGAACTACACAGTGCTATGCTATGGTATTCTATGCTATGTTTCATAGGAAGGCTTGTTCTAATTGGATAAAACGGGTCTAACTTTTCGGAAAATACTACCAGCTCTAGGTCTGGCATTCTTATAACTGCGGTCAATGGCACACTTATGCAGTTTTGTGTGGATGGGATTTTATCTGAAAACAATGAGGCTTTTTTTTAAACAGAGGGGGTTGGATATTTGTTCAGAAAAGTACCAGGCTACATGTGTACAAGGCCTGAGACACAATAGCAGCAGATGTGACATCTGTAAGGGTCTCCACTTTGTATTTATTTGCTGCAGTCACACTCAAGGAAAAAAAATCAGTGGTAAAATTGGCTATTGTCCTGGCAAAAAAATAAAAAAACATAAAAACAGTGCCTTTTTCACTGAGTTTACAGACAGTTTTGTCAACCCTAAAAACATGGGGTTCAGTACATGAACAGCATATCTTCGGTCTCATTCACGAAACAACCAACCAAGAAACATTTGGCTCGGTACCTGTGAATGTTCTCCTGGTGCACTCACCATGTAAGCCCCCACCAACACCACCACCATTACCACCACCAAACAACATCAATAACCAAGCAGCCAATCAGTGCAGCACCTCATTATCATAACACTCCCACCCACATAGATCACTGTATGGACGATAAGGTTAGAAGCTGAGAGTCTGCAGATCCTCAACAGAGGCTGGATATGTAACCTTTTTTTTTGCAACTAAAAAAGACAATTAGGACATGTTGTAAGAAGCTAAACATACCACTCTATGGGACCTTTAAGTCTGATTTGCTCTGTTATGTAAGCTTAAAGAAGCCTTATCTCTAGGTTTTTAACAACCCAGCAGCAGATCATTGTTTTTCCTTTCTATTAGTAAGCTTTTCAGCAGTTCGAATCATGCAGAACATTGAAGCTGTATCACCTAGATGTCCGTGCCTTCAGCCTCCTGTAAGGGGAGCTCTAGTGTAAAAAGTTTCTGTATCTGCTGGTGGCACCAGTGATTCAGTTCAGCTTTGGTATCTGGTGTTAAAGATTTGTTCTTCCCACCCTGAACACACACTTCGATGGTTGTAGAAGCAGGAGGTATAAAGTAGCCAAGAGAAAACTCTTTTGCAGGCTTTACCAGTGCGTGTGATTGTGAAGTGTACAATTGGCAGTGCTCTTTGTCTCTGCATAGCCTCTTAATGAAAAGACAGTAAGTGCTGAAATTAGACAAATAAAACAATGTACCTCAGTTGTGTTAAGGCAGGAAGGCGTTGAATATGATGTCTGAATGCCACTTCGTCATCTTTACAATGACAAACTGCTTCTTTTCTTGATTTTTCTGAGATCGTCTTGAAGCTGCCGATATTTCAGAAGCTATAATTTTCTCCTCTGCCTCCTTTGTGCTTTGCAGTGTACATCCAGAGTAAAGCACATTGAGTACCAATCACTCTGAATGTATATAACAAGTTGCTGGTCTTTGGTTGACAGCAGTCTGGCCTTTTGACTAAATTTTCTTGTTTTTGAGCCAACACAAGAACAAGAGGGTGGAACAGGAGCAAGCAAATGCAGAGTTATTAGCTGATGCTAACTTGATCAATTCTTTCCAACTATGGGTTTTCTTTGACTCTGAATGGGACCATGGTCTACAAAAGGACCATCATGTTTCACTTAAGGTTTGAAACTCGAAATTGGGACCTCAAACTTGCTGTGGGAATAAATCAACTGACGAGTATAGGACCAACTTTTAATCCATCTGGTTGTTAAATGTGACCTCACCCTGGTCATGAAACCCATTTCCGGGTCCAAAGGCTTCTTCAGTCACTAGTAAATATTTGATAGAGAGTTGATAGAGAAATCTAATAACAGGACTTGTGGTGAAAGAAATGAACTAAGAGGAAGCAGAGATGTGGAGCTTACTATGTAGCTGCTACAAAGTTGCATTGGTACTTTTTCCAGATAAATATTTCAGAAAGGCAAACTCCACCTCAACACCTTCACTCTGCACTTCTGCAACAGTTTGAACTGCAGGAAGCCACTTTACCATAATGGAAGGATCTAATATCATTTTAAAGCCATTTGAAGTACTTGTAATAATAAAAAAAAGCAAAATTCTCTTTTTTGTCACGTCTCCTCTGTTGTCTCTAAATTTGTCAAGTTAAATTATTTTAAAATGTCCAAGAACATCACTGAGCACGTCACGTGCTGTCTTATTTTGGCGACATATTTTGGTGTAAAACAATTCATGGTAAACAAAACCTAAAGCAGCCATGGTCTTCCACACCAAGAACTCAAATCCAGTCATTTCTACTTCAATAGTTACCTACAAAGTATGACTACTGACTGCTAAACTGCAACCAGACTGGACCAGACCCATGACAACCACTAGTCTTCTTGTTTTACTACCAGCATTGATGGCTCAGTGTGTTGGGGTCTGACAGTAACTAGCCAAAAAGGGGCTTATTGCCACTTTACCTCAGTGAGGCGGACATACTTTTGTCTATAACGTGATTCTCACTCAATGTTTGTAACTGGAACAAGTTCAGTTAATCTGCTTAATCTAGCCATAGCTGTAGCTCTGCTTAATGCTGCATGTTAATGTATATGGTCAACCACTTAATTTGACCGTATACATTAACAAGTAGTAGTTTTTATGTGGTAAAAAAGCTAAAAGTAATTAGCAAGCTGTCAGCTAGCAATGCGTTAATTCCGCTAGCTTCATCCTCTATTGATTCTGCTCCACCAAAGTTATTTAATAAATTAGTCTGGTAGCAGAAGAAAGCTCAGATTTCTTAGTATATCAGGTCTTAAAGCCTCCAGTTACATTTTTGTGGTCCAGGAAAAGTCAACTTATTCAGGTTTCTTATCCTGTGATTTATTAAGTATCCTGCTTTCATGGTTTTACATTTTTGGTAATTAAATGCAGTGTTCATACTGTTTTCTTTTCAGTTCAACTTCACATCTTTGCTCTGCAGTTTATAGAGCGGAGCCAAAGAAAAAAAGACAAAGAGAGGGAGAAAGATGCACAGGGAGGCAGACAGAGATACACGACTATTCAAACTTTGGTGTTTTATCCCAGTCTTATTGGAAAACCGTCCACAGTGAACTCAGCACTGAAATTAGATATTGATCCTTCCTTCTCCTCCTGAACCTCCCCCCTCTCTTCCCCCTTCCTCTCTACAGCTGAGGGACCAAACCTTTTCCCTTCTGGTGATTCCTTTCCTTTTCTTTATTCCCCCCCTCCTTCACTCTGTCTCTTTTTTATTCCTTGGTCTTTCTGTCTCTCCAAGGAATTTTATCAATCAGGATTCTTGTCATTTATGCATCCTTGCTGTCATCACTTGCATCCTCCCACTTAGGGCACGAGGAGGAATGCGAGAATGGGTGAATCAATGCAACACTTACAGATCAGTTTGACGTCAACTGGCAAAATTCTCCCTGATATTTCAGCCTTAAATATACTGAAAATAAAGTAGCTGGAAAAATGATGTTGCTTTTTTAACTGGTTCAGTAATGACACTGATCCATTTACTTTCTTTGACCTGATTATTTCATGCTTATTATTTCCATGTAATAGTGATGAAATTTAATGAAGATTGGTTTGTTTCTGTGTGCAGAGATGCTCACACAAACTAAAACAAATGTTCCACCAGTATGCGTCACTGTGGTGACTCACTAACGCTTCAACATCGTCTGAGTATGTCAGTGCAGAACATTTGAAGCAAAGGTTTGGATGGCAAAGATCTCTAAATCTATGTCTTCTTCAAAAAGCATGCTGGGGTTTTAATGTCTGTACTCTTTTTTCACAGATTCTACCAAAAAATAAGTCATCTGTATGCTAGGGATGCTTAGTCAATCGTACTTTTGAATTCTTAGGAGTATTAACCAATCACACAGCAACAGGCTTTGTTGTTTGCAGTATGGAGAGCAAAAACAGGCAGAACACAATCTACTGTGGCAATACCCTGCTTCCATAAGTGGTAGTCTTGTGAGAATAAATCATCCTCTGTAAACTGATATCTGTATACAAACAGTCTGCTTTTGATACAAAATTTAGACTGAGACTAATCTGACTGAGTTTGTGTCACTAAAGACAACCAGTGTAGAGACTGACTTGACTTCCTGGAATGCATTAGAGATGATGACCTGATCTTCATTTAACAAACTTTTTAAAAGTTTTTTTTTCTTCTCTTGAGCAAAGTTTGTCTTTTTACTTCGTACAAATTTGAATCATAATGCTTACATCAAAAACCTTGAATTAAATGTGTTTTAAGGTTCATGTTGAACCTGAAAGCCAGAGTGACACCATTGTTTGACCAACTCTTAACAGTGAAACTGAAACTCATCAGAAATTGAGACTTGTGAGCTACAAAAATGCCCCCGTAACTTACTACCTGAAATAAAACAGAGACTCATTGGAAACACATATGTAGGCTAGAGGGAAGTCTTTGTGTCACTTACTACTCACAGTGAAACCCAGACTCACCAAAACCACATGACTGCACCACATCAAAAACAGAAGAATGGAGAAAAAAATCAAAATTTTTTGTGTGGAGCCTCACACTCCCAAACTAGCTATATTTGATCATAGTAAAAACTGTAACTCACCAAAAAACAGATTGTAATTCAGAGTAAGGCTTTGTTTTAAGTTAAAATAAACAGGGAAACTGAGACTCACCGGAAACAGATCAGGATGCAACGAAATTATATGAAATTAGTATTTATAGAGCACTTTTCAAAATCTCAATTACAAAGTGCTTTACAAGTCAGGGAACAGAAAAATGCAAATTTAAAAATATGTGTTTAAAGGGATCAACCCACTCAGATCATTAACTCAGTTACACATTTGAACATAAAATCATGACATTTCAGGTCAAGTCAAATCAGATAAAAGTGAGTTTTAAGGAACAACCTAAATGAGTGCACTGAGTCAGTCAGTCAGAACAACCAAGAAGTTTACGCAGAACAAAATTCCTTTGCATAACTGTTGATTCATTGCTCCCCCCTGTGATTTTCTTTACAAAGTTTCTACCATGTCTCTGCATTTTAAAATGTCTTTATACATGTTGCAGTGTTATTAACCTAAGTAGCCCACATCTTCGAACACTCCTGTTTCTCTACATTTTACCCAGGTACTTACTGTCTATCCTCAGCAGTTAGTTACTGAACATACCACTTATTGCTCTAACTAGCTATTTGTACAAATAATAGCTCATTAAGTTGCATGTGCACAAAGGAGTCTAAGCAGAAACATTTTTTATTTGTGTGACTAAAATGCGTGGTTAATCTCCATATCTCTCAGCAGGTTCATTAGAAACAACTTTTTCAAGGTTCAAGTTCTTTCTGCAAGCAAAAGATGTGCAAATTTCAAGACTGCCATAACTAGACAGTAATCAGTCTGAAAAGTGTAAAGATATATAGAGAAATATACAGCAGAAACTTCTACAGCTGACGTGGATAACACCTCGTACATGGAGGGGACTCTATTTTCAAAAGTGTTGCACATTTCCTGTAATCACATTCTGATATTTTTCGCAGCCTTGCACTCAGCAGCACACCACTGCACACCACATCACCTGTAGTTTTTTTGATATAAAAGGAACATTGGAGAACAAAAACGGAATGATCCACAAAAGCCTGCAAAGAAAAAAAATAACAACCAGTTTCTTTCACTCCCCACCATCTCTCCTTTCCACCCTCCTCCTTCTCCTCCACCTCCTCCTCCTCCTCTCCCTCGGGCTCACCTTCACTCATCACCTCATCTATTTTTTCCCTCCTGTTGCCAGGCAACAGACAGGAAGAGCATCACTTGGAGACGTCAAAACCACAGGAAGAGCTTGCAGGAAGACACATCACGCAGACGTTCTGTGGAGGAACCAGAGACTCTCTGAAGAATCAAAAAACCTTCGAGCTCTTTCCACAGCTCTCGACCTCGATAGAAATAAAAAATGTTCACGACTGATAGGGGAAAGATGTTTTCACAGTCTTATTGTGTAACCCAGCACTACTTTTGTGTGATGCACTGTTATCAAACCAATCATTTAATTTCTAATTTATCATTCAGCACAAAGACAGTAGGTAGAGACTGTTTAATGAGGGCTGGGTGATGTCTTTCATAGAGGAAACCTGGAATAAAGACGTCTGTTTTTCTCCGGTGAAGGAAATTTTAAGAGGTCAAAAAAGATTCATTAACAAAACATGGAATTCAGGTTTTAATTTCCCTACTAAACAAATTATCTGCAGAAGTAGAAGAAATAATATCTTACAAGATACTCTACAAATAATGACTTTCAAAAAAGCCTCATATCAGGCAGAACATCATAGCAAAGTGTTAATGTATTTAACCAAAACAAGTGTGAAGTTATGTGAATGATAAACTTCAACACAGTAAAGTAAATTTAGAAACAGTTGGTTGCTTATTTTGTTTGATCAAATTTTGTAAATATCTCAACAAAAGCCGTTTGCTGCATCTGAGTCTGACCTTTAAAGTAAATACTCCATTGGCTTTCTCATAAACATACTTTCTTATCCACACATTCATCATGGTAGTCAACAGCTGACCGATCACTAGCAGAGGAAACAAGAGAAGAGACATTTCAGAAACCAACAATGGATGTTTAAACACAAGAAGGAGCTGAATGATCGGGACATCCACCAAAAGTGAAGAAAACATTCATAATATTACCACAAATAACAACTAGGTATGAGAGTTAAAGAACTTTCTGAGTTAGAAGAAAACACCTGTGGAGCGGAGATAGACAATGTCTGTGCTCACGAGACTGACTGAGAAAAACAATGATAATGTCGGCTGAAATGGCAGGCAGCCTGGCTGCTGTGGGGCAATGTTGTATCTCTATATAACATGATTTCCATTGTAAGTAACAGTGTATCTAACCAAAAGCCGGTACTGGCTAGTGTTCAATATAAATTCTGTTATAATGTGCAGAATAATGTAGTTTAGTGTCTCTTCTGACATTATTATCAGTCATGTTCTGAATTTATTGTGTAACTAATATACTTTATAATTTCAAGAATGCATAAATTCATCAAAACATGTTATGTTTGGATAACTATTAGATTTTAGATATTGATGTTATTATATTAGATATTAGGTAATGTGCATGAAATAATGGGTGCTATTATGAAATTGTATTTTATTAAATGCATTAAAACTCTAAAACAGTTATCACTGACAATGCATTATTAATATTTTACATCATCCATCAGCTGACCTGCTGTGTATGTATCAAAACCCATTGTTTAGGTGAGCCATGATAATATATGGAGGACCACAAGGGTTGCAGGAATTGTATTTATTGCAGAAAATGTAAGCATTTTTTGTTAAAAGGAAATGCATAAAAAAGGAATTAATAAACCGTTTAAGAATTCATTAATCAATTTACGAGTAAACATGAATTATAAAAATAATTTATGAAAAAATATTTGAAAATTATTTGACGTATTTAGGACCTATATTATTATTATGTATATTATTTAGAAATACATCAACGCATTCCTTTAAGCTCCTATGGGAAGTTCTTTTTTAAAAATGTTTCTTGATGACTGAAATAAATTTTAATGCCTTTTTATGTTATCCAAAAGCAAACCGGCCCTCAGCAACAAGATTGACAGTTTACATATTATCATTTTTACTACCTGCAACTGATGCAAGAGGGGGTAGGTGTCAGCTGAGCAGCTGAAGAAACATCTGGGTTTACAATTTCCACTTCAAATATTCACAAAAAATATATACATTTGACTGTCAAAAGTCAGCAGGATGAGATTTTTTTGTCCAGAGATACTAGCAGAGACTTTGTCCACAGGGGGAGCCATAATTGACACTGACTGAAAGTTCCCTACAGGAGCTTTAACTATGCATCTATGAAAATGACTTTTGTCAATATTATCTCCTCCTGTGGATAAAGCAGTCTTTGCTTATCTTGTCTATTATGTGTTTAAGACGAGAAAAAGAAAAAAAAATATGTGTAATGAGTTAACTTACAGAAATGCCCTTCAATTCATCCACTTTTCAGCTACAGTTCTATCAATTTTTCTAACAAAATCAAGGTTTATTTCTCTAAAGAGGCTGTATCAAGAACCTTTTTATTTTTCTGCAAGTCTGTATGTGTGTGCATGTGTTTCCACTTCACTCACATGGCACACGGACTGGGTAGCGTGTGTGTGCATGTGTTAACCCGGCTCTCTGGGCTCATCAGTGGCCATGTGGTGTTCTGCTGCTGCTAAGAAAATGTTCCACATGATTTATCTTCACTCAGTAATGTGGCCCCTTTTCATGCAAGTAAAATCCATCCTTATCTCTCTGCAGCTCTCTTTCTCTCTGCTCTGCTTTTCATTCCTCTTTTTCTTCTTCGTGGCAAGCACAGCAGCAGTATTTCCTTCTCCTCTGTGTCACCTCCAATCTCCCCCTCCTTTCCTCCCTCCCTCCCTCCCGCTGCTTCAATCCTCCCTCCCTTTTTCCGCTGTGTGTTTGCAGATGAAACGGGCAGCCTGCCAGTTTTTCATATTTCTTGGCAGCAAAGTGGCTAGCCAACTTCCTGGGGACGGGGGTGGGGGGAGTGGAGGGGGGAGTTGGGGCTTGCAAAAGGTTACATTTGCACAATGTGTCTGTGAAAATACAGCAAAAGAAAAAGGAGGAGGGAGGGAGGAAAGAAAAAAGAAAGAGTGGAAAAGCTGGGCTGGATCAGCTAAACGACTCCACCGTTCTGGGGTAATGGAAAAAACCCTCTGGGGGAATATTCAGTATGCAAGAGGATCGAGTTGCAGCAGTCTTTACAATGAAGTCTGTCCCTCTCTGTTTCTCTTTTTGTCTTCCTTCTCTGGAATGTTCTCCCCTCCCTGCACACACACACACACACACACACACACACACACACACACACACACACACACACACACACACACACACACACACACACACACACACACACACACACACACACACTGAGCACCTTCCTGGCTCGGTGTGGCTTCAGGATGAAGGTTTGACGGGTTTCTACGTGCATTTGGGGGTTTTGGGTGTGTAACTGCTGTTGGTTATACCATCAAATACACACCAGAGAACTCATATATGCTCTGTCCTGCTGTGCTGTCAGGTTTGTCTGAATATGGAGAGAAAGTGAGAGACAGAGGTGTTGAGATAGGGTAGAGTAAAAACCGTTGTTATTCTCCATATGGATCTCCAAGGAGAAGAAAAACTCTGTAACAGAACATGCAAGAGGGATAAGTTTCTGCAATGATGTCACGAGGAAACTCCACACTTCAAACCTTATGAAAAAAAAAAAGAAGAGGAAGTAGTGGGGGAAAACTGCACCTCTTCAATTGACCACTAGAGGCTGGGTCCAAAACTGAGTCGCTCCCCATAACATCCCATGTTAAACTGTAAAACTTTCCAGCAGGAAAGTATGACTTATCCGACAGCAATAAAACACAGTGTTGGTCCCTGTTCACTGGAATCATACAACTTGGGGCAGAAATTAAAAGTGCAGTGTGTAGAATGAAGAATGTCCACAATAGACTCGAGTAATTTTAATGTTTCAAGGCATGAGGTGGTGATGTCTTTCATTGTATTACCTAAGCAAGTATGGTTTATAGCTCAGTTCTGAGATGTGTTTTTATTCTAAGGGTGATGTTTGGCTTTTAATTCTGTTATAGATTATGCTAATTGATCCAATCTTTTATTGATTCCCTTATCAATTACTGTGGATTGCTGTGTGGAAAAAACAGCATGCCTAAACGGGTTTCTTTGTCAACTATGCAATTTTTTTCTTTAGTTTAATTATTCTCCCTTTTTTTGCTGTGACAACAGCTGGCTTCTTATTGGACGTTTACGTGTCAGCTGATTGCAGATACTCTGGCTGGTTGATAAACCAACACAAAGATAGCAGCCTCTGCCTGAATAGAAATAATAATAATGATAATGATGCAGAGGGCATCCTGCACACTGTTTCATATAAGCACAGAGGGAATTGGTGTGTGTATTGTACCCACTGGTAAGACAAACACCTGTTTCCACAAATGAAGACCATCACATAAAGTTGCATATATTTAAACCCAACGTGACAAAGGCGGGTTGTGCACACAGATCACAACATAAACAAATTCCAATAATAGCATTAAAGATCAGAATATATTGATATAGATCTAAATGTATGTGCTGATCCAGATAGTTGCACTCAATATTGGTTGTTGTTGATAATTTATTGAACTGAAATGTGCCTGACACTGTGGAAACTGCCGGTGAGGCATCAGTGATGTATGCTGCCGGTCTACTAAAATACCACTAGACTAACTGCACTCCACCCACGCTAAAAGCTGACCAGGTTTGAATCGGCGAGCTTTCAGTGCACTTTCCACACCGCCTGCGAGCATGAATATGTCACTGCGCCAGCTGATTCTGTCGACACCTCCCCTTACCGTGCCACCATGCCCAGCTTGGTGCACCTCAGTCTATGAAAATACCAAACTGGCTGTGCGCTGGGCTCCGCCAGACGAAAATACCACTGTGCGCCATCACAGTGGTGAGCCATCCTCTGCCGTGCCTCCGGCGGGCATGAAAATTGAGCCCATTACAGTTAATGGCTGTTGTTATAAAAAATTGAGCATACCAATAAACAGGTTAATAAAGTTTCAAACAAATATTAATTGAAAACAATCAAGCAAGATCCAATACTTGAATAATATCTTAAGGCTAATGTTTAACAAAGCTGATGTTCAAGAACAAGCGAAACCACCTAAGTAAGTTTTGGGAAGAGATCTAAAGGAAGACACTGAAATCCTGCTACTTCAATAAAATTTATACATACAGATTACCCTCATTTTATAAGGGAACAAAGCAGCACCATTGCTAAAAATACCCTGATCCTCTGTTGACGAAAACAAAAAAATACTGAGTGTCACAGATACAGTATGAGTTTTACTTCTTGAAAGCTACTGGACTCAAGAGGCCAGTGGATTTTACAGTAAGTTGATATTTGCCCCTTTAATATTAGTTCTGATAACAAAACTTTTTGATGTATGTATATGACAGCATTCTGCACCACTCCTGTCTTCTGGTTTCTCCCTCTAATTACCAGCCTAAACCAGTTCTCCTTTCCTATCCCTTCATACTACAGCTACTACAGCTCATGTCACTGCGGTTCAGTATCTCTGATGTGGGGCTGATACATCTCCACACATTGTCAGTGATCCGACACATTAAAGATTCATATGCAGCAACAAATGATGCAATGCGACATCATACGATTTAAATCCTAATCATGATACAGTGCAGTTCAACACGAGTTGGTTTAACACAGTCTTTTTCAGTGCAGTTCAGTGTGATTTAATTATTTAGAGAGCTAGGCACATGTTTCTCAATCTGTTAATCCTCAGTTTTGGTTTAGGAATCAATTGGATACCATGAAATGTACGTTATGATTTATGAACAAATGTTGCACTGCTACATCAGTGAGGTCTGAACCAATGCACTACAGGTAGGAGAGAGCTTCAGAGTGGTTATTGTGTCAAATACAGAGTTTATTTGTACTTTTTGAAAGGGTAACACTGTTGCACATTAAAGAAATATGCAAGAGTTCATATATGAAATGTCCAATTAGTGTTAACATGGTGTGCAGTTGTTTTGAGACAGTTTTGATGACTCATTAGCATTAAGGGATCCCTGGTTAACGCAAAATTTGCACTTTGTTGCTTTCTCTGTTTGCTTCATCCACAGATCTGTGGTGATTCTCACATAAACACACATGTATTTAAATAGACTAGTTACGTCAGCGTGTATTAATTAGTATTATTGATTTTAAATCTCTGAAGAATCACATCATAATGTACGCACTATGGCAGTAGCCCCAGTGGCCCTTTCAAAAATTTCCACAGGGAATTCTCGAGTTCATATCCATGATTCACACATCCCAAAATAGTGCTTGGTTAGCTTTTGTGACGCGGTTGCCTGCATCTGTGTGCTTAGCTTGTACATGGGAGCTCACATTTTAAAGCTTTAACATAAACTTGGTAATATTCGATTGCAGTTTGACACACCTTTGACGTGCCAATTGAGCTGCCTAGAATATTTTCAGTAGTATGCAATGTTCAAAAGAGTGGTGGTGTTGTTGTTTTTACCATAGTTGCAGCATGAAGACACTCTAATGGTTAAACTATGGTGTGCAAATAGCATGTGGAAAAACTGGTGTCAATTTGTGTCGAAGCTTACATCCTGCCATACCAGGACCAGAGCACTAATCGAGGGCATACCAATCCTGCTACTGACACCTACCGGTGAAAATGAGTATCCCCGTGCAGCTACCTATGGCTAAGCAAGTGAATTCATCCTCTTTTAAGTGGAACAATGCATCAAAACGATTGACTCGTAATCAGCAAATTATACTTGGGGACGAGTGTGACAGCAATAACTGGTTGACAATATTCTTGAGCGTGATCTTGGCTACAAAAAATGGCAGAGAACCCACCTCTAAATGAGAAATTAGCCGAAACACTGTTCACCATTTTCAACAATTCCTTCAAATAGCAGCCTCCTCTGCTGAACAGTTCTCTCTTTCTGTCTTCTACCCTGCTGCACAGAAACAGATGCACACACACACACACGCACACACACTGAAACACAACCCCCTCTCTCCCGCTCTCCTCCCTCCCCCGCTCCCTCTCCCCTTTGCTGCTTCTATAATTCAAATTCTGTCATGCTCGTTCCAGACTGCTGGCTCCAGCCTCTCTCTCCCTCTCTCCTCCGTCTCTCTCTCTCTCTCTAGGAAAATAAAAGCGAGAAGAAAAAAGCTCTTTGAGGGACAAAGCTGACAGAGCCACACACAGACAAACACACTGAGCTGAACCAAACAGCAAATGTGAGAAAGCCGGCTGTGCAATTGGATTCTTGCAGGAACACTGAGCATCATCCTCTCTGTCTCTGTTTTACACTCATTATTTCACTTTTTGTCTCGCCCACATCCCGCGTCTTAGAGGTGGAAGACATCTTAATTTGAGCCTGTTTTAAATAGTCAGATAAAGAGCTACTGCAGCAATGATTGTCTTTACATGCAGACTTGATGCAGAATCGGTTGATTGTTATCTAATTTTTTAAGTTACCCAATTGCCCAAGTTGTCTGTCTGATATACTTTATAAGATAAAGACCATTTTCATTTGTTAATGATCTGTTTATTTGGAGCCTTCCCATATGTCTAAGCTACCCATGCCATGAGTATTTAGGCATCTATATACCATCGGGGATGCTAACTCTAAAACTGTAATCGGCTCCTCCTTAGAGCCGACGACAGGACATCCATGATTTCCAAAAAGAATGTCAAATTTTGATTGATCAGACCACAGAACAGATTTTCACTTTGTCTTTGTCTATCTTATACAGGCCTCGATCCAGGGAAGTCACAGGCATTTCTGAATCATGTTTATATCTAGTTTTACATACAGACAATGGTATCTTTTGATTTCGAGCCCATGCAGTAATTTCCACTCCAGAGTCCTGTCTTTTTTTAATGAAGTGCTGCCCGAGGGCCTGAGGATCAGGTCCATCCATTCTTGGGTTTGGTCCTTGTCCGTTTTGTACAACGGTTTTAATGATATTATGTTCTGTAGATTATGAAATCCTCTCATTCTTTCATATTTCACCCTCAGGAACATTTTTCTGAAACTGTTGAACTATTAGCTCACACAGTCTCTCATAGAGTAATGAACCTCTTCTCATCTTTCCTTCTGAGAGACTCAGCCTCTGAATGTCCTTTTCATACCCAGTCATGTTCCAACTAACCTGTTGGAAATTAACTTCGTTAGTGGGAGACGTTCCTCCTGTTTTTTATTTTTATTTTTTGCATTACACAGCTTTTGACCTGTTTGGTTGTTCCTAGGAACATGTTGCTGCACCAAATTTAAAATAAGCATATATATATATATATATATATATATATATATTGTACAACAGTATCATCTTTCAGTTTCAACATTTGATATGTTGTCGTTGCATTACTTAAGTGTAATAAGCTTTATGTGATTTTCAGACCATTATTTTCTGTTTCTATCAATACTTTATAGTGTATCCCAACATTTTTCAGATCAGGTTTTAAAAAGATAAAAATATGTCAACTATACTGGCTATGATAACACTGCAAAACTAAATTTCTGGAGTGGAGAATCCTTCATATTTATGGACAACAATCGCCTAGTTACTGATGGTACATGATTCTTTTGCACAACCTGCAGCTTCACTGTAATGGGTCATGTTTTGTCCTGTCTTCACCTTCAAGGTCTTTGTCTGTAGGTATCTGTATGTCCCTTGAGATGTGAAGCTGTTGGACATTGTGCCCTTTTCTTTGTCTAATGACCTCCACAGCAGATTGGCAGGACTACCTTCGGCGTCTCTGGGTATTTCAATCATAATAGAACCGTCTACTGGCTTGGTTCATTGCCTCCACTCGCGCTGATGATGCAACAGCAACTAAAGTAATGTTTGCTTTCATCCGTTTAAAACCAGAGCAGCCATGAAATTGCTTCACTTGCCCAAATACAAACACAGAGGATGGATAAGCCTGAGTGTTTCTTGATAATATCCAAAAGAAAAGCAAAGTATTTGGGAATCCTGTTTAGTTTTGTGTTTTTCTCATTTTCCTATTTTGAACCCCTAAAATGCTTTATTTAATAAATGTTTTTGAAAATTAAATTCTTCCTTTTTTCCATCTCAAATTAAATTTAAAGACTTTGGGCTCACAGTGTGTAGAGTCTTTGTGAGGGTTACCAGTCAGTTCTTGTATGTTTAGATCTGGAAAGTTGTTTGTGAACCCTCTGGAAGCATCAGAAGACTGATGCGGTTGGGGATCAATTCTGTGTCATGTTTACAGCTCACCGAAACTGACCTAAGCTAGGGTAACCATATTCAGACTTCCCAAAAAGAGGACACGACTATGCGGGGGGCGGAGTCACGGAGTCACACAAAGTTAATTTTGAGAGTTTTGCGGGTTGGATCGACTCAGTAACTCTAACTCAGTTTGTCCACGTGACACAAAATCAAAACTTACGTACAAAACAGCAGACATTTGAAGGATTTTATAAACTTCCCCAGACAAACTTAAACAGCCCCCTCCAAAAAGAGGACATGTCCGGGTAAAAGAGGGCGTATGGTCATCCTGCATAAGCGTTCTGAGCATGCTCCAGGGTTTGCATGCTGGGCTTTGAGCTGAAATTGAACAGCTTGGATGTGTTTCCAGGAAGCCAGGTAGTAAAAAAAACCTGAAAAACAAAGAAAGGACATTAAAAAGACTAAACTTTATCGTACAAACAAAAGGTGCTGAACAGTAAAAGTGATGGTGTTTTCATCGTCAATAAGTCAACTGGGAGATGACCAGATTATAACAAGTTAACAAGTAAGTGGGGTTGTTAAGTTGTTCAGTTCTTGTGATCGCCTAATAGAACTTTAACTGTAGCTTTACTTAACTGTGCATAAATGTACTGAATGCAAAACCTGACCAGCAGAGCTTCAAACATAAAAACTTTAGGGTTGCAAGGGAATGCAACTCAGTGTCAGGACATAACCAAGCTTGGCAATAACCAATCAGTGAGCAGCTATTTACTTGATGTGCTCCAAGAAAGCCAACGGAACTGGAGCCATAAGGAGAAGTACAGGACTATATGGACTATGGTAACCCAAGTGCTTCATTGGATTTTTTTTGACTGCAATAACCACTTTGGGTTTTGTAAAGAACGAGCACAGTATCTAATAAAAGTGTTGTATTCAATGGTAAGGTCCTTCAATTCTCATCTAAGCTCATACAACAGAGGAACCTAAACATGAGTAGAAGTCTCCAACAGCTATTTCAGTTATTAATCAATGTAACGGTCAAGTGCTGCACTGGTTTTCACTGAAACCCTTCACTATCTATGGATTTATTATTTTCTCATTTTACATGTGTCCGGTCACTCAGGTTTGTGTTTCCATATGAAGGCGAGAAGCAGCTGTTCAGTCAAAACAGTCAAAGTTCTGACTAAGTATGGGCATGTTATTCAGCTTCGTCCCTTTCAGGGTAATCTGATATAGCCTTGCATAAGTAACACATGCTCACACCACATATGCTTATGGTGGAACAAACACACACACACACCACCATCATGTTTGATTCTTTCCAGAAACAAAAAAGAAAAACTCTTGGACATGTGCTGTTTTTTTTTCTTCTTTTGTTTGTTTGTTTGTTTTTCATGAAGAACAGGTGGTGTACATTTGGGTAATTACTACAAAACTGAGGTAACTATTAAAGTTTGTGAAAATGACATGAGGAATAAATTTAATGCAAATCAGATTGCTCATACTTAACATGCACTAAAGGATTACTAACTGCTTGCGCGCAGAGCTACATCAGATGACCAGTTTGATTCCTAACTGCAAGTTAGATTATCAAACTCTTACACACAAAAAAAAAATGCTGGGTTGTTTTTTCAACCCAACCACTAAGTTGAGCCTGTTGGTCAATTTATTTGGGTTATTCCCCTGAAGTTGGGTATTCTGAGTACCCAATTCGCAAGGTTATTTACGTTGGCAACAGAGTTATTAGCTGTTGTGTTGTAATTTCTATACAGTTTTGCTGGTTTATTTTGGACTACCCAACACATTGGGTAGACATTGGGGCATTTGAAACCAAGCACCACCCACTCACCAGATTGATGCCACAACTGCTGAAGCAAAGAGACATACAAAGCAAGGTTTGTTCCATTCCCACTGTTGCTTTACCATATAGATGACTTGATATTATCATATAGACCTTCATTTTGTTGTTAAGATGTAAGTTTGTGAAGCACTGTTGGGTACCAGCTTCTGCCTTCAATTAGTTTGGTAAAATCAACCCAGCATGTGTTCTATCCAATATTTAACCAGCGCTGGGTTGGAAAACTGCCCAAATTGGGTTGTTCTTAACCCAACATTTTTAAGAGTGTATAGTTTGTTGATAAAACAACTAGAATACAATAGAATAACTGTAGATTGCCTTATTTTCCAATTACAGCCAAGATCCAAATAAAGGTCCAACCTCCCATTGTCCATGCTTTCATGGTTTTGAAGCCAATATTGGAAATGCTGATTCAACCAAACTTTTGGTTGACCCATCAAAGGCTGGCAATTAACCTCATTGCAAATGGTTGCCATGTTCCTGGTTGCCAGTCTCAGTCAGCCATGCTTCTTATACCACAGTCTTGTGTCCTGAATAATTTTGAAACATTTGGAAGAATTTACTCCCAACACAGTGGGTGGTGCAGGAGCCCTGAGGTAATCAGAATAAAACCATTTTTGAACCAGGCTGTAAACTTGATTATTTCTCTAAAAACTGCTCTGTTTGGCTCAGTGTGTATGTGGTTTCCAGTGCTTCTGCAGTCAGTCTCAAGTGGGTACTGAAGGAACTGCAGGTTATGGCCGTCTGCATTGGCTTCTTTCTCAAGACGGGAGGTTGCCGCTTGTTACAGATGTCTGCTTTGTCTGTAGCCAGATACTCTTGTTTTATTCTTGTATATTAATAAGTTTATGAAGACTTTTTTCTCCTATGATAAATAATTTAAAAAGTCTTGATTTCTTCTATTTTTATTTTAACATGGGCCTAAGTTACCTATTACTCCAACGTGAGGGCAGACATTTTTAACCTGTTTTAAGCGCGCCCTCGGGTTATCTTTCAAAGCTAATAACAGCAGCACATGAGCTGGCGATGCTCTGATTTTTCACTATTTCGCATTTGCATGTTTTCCCACCATTTCTGCAACTTTTAAATTCTGGCACACTGCTCCAAACAGACTTGATAAACTCGAGCAGAACCGTTAGAACCGTTGCTGAATTAAAGCGGCAGCAGCAGACTTCGTCATTCAGACACAGAAGGCGAGAGAGAGGAGACAAAGCTGCAGGCTGTGAGCAGAATGTTTGCAGGCTTTCTTTCTCTTCCTGCTCCCCTCCCCTGTTAGCACACACACACACACACACACACACACACACACACACACACACACACACACACACACACACACACACACACAGTGTTTGAGGAAAAAATTGAGGCAAAATGAAGCCACACAAAGGCAGCGCTTGCTTTCTCCATCGCCGGCTTACTAATCGGCGTCTTTGCCCTGTGCATGCCTGTCGCCCGTTACATGGCAGCATTGCCATGGCGACCGGGGTCTGAGTAATCATTTGTGCAATGACCCCTATTCTCCAGAGGGAAGACGAAGGGATGGAGGAGCTGAAGGGGGGAGGAGGAGGAGAAGGAGGAGGCTGGAATGAAAGCAGAGCCAGCAAAGCAGAGGAGGAGGAGGGAGGAGGGGAGAGAGAGAGGAGGGGGGAGCAGCAGAGCAAAGCAGCAGGGACCCAGACAGAAACAAAAAGGAAAAAGAAAACAGATTTTCTTTGGACTGGCAGCAGGGAAAGAAGCTTTTTATGTTTAACGAACAGAGCTGGCTCAGAGAGGGGGAAAGAGGGAACAGGAGTGAAAGAAAAACACGGGTTGAGTTAAAGATGATGGTGGGAGGAAGAGATGCAGGATAGAAAACGGGTGGTACATCTTGTGGATAACATAGGGAGGTAGAGAAAGGACAAGAGAGAGACAAAGAGACACCAGATAACATGCGACGTCTGTTACGAACAACAATAGGAGCGTTAGCAGGACAGAGGTGCTTAAATATCACCTTTGTCCTGTAGGGGGTGCTGCAGAAATAGTCATGGAGTTAGTATCGAAAGGGATCATCCTCTTGAGAGCAGGAGAGGCTTCGACAGGGATAGAAAGTAGTAATGTATTAGGAAAGAGAGGTAATGTTCACTTTTACAGTGATGCTACATGTATTATGACCCTTTCTACCATGTTGGTAACAATTATCAGTCAACAGATCTGTTGGGTAATGTAACTCATATAAGTAACTTGCTACGATCTAAGATTACAGCTATCAAATAGTAACACGTTACATTTAAGTGTAACTTGTAGACAAAAGTTAATGTACTCTTGCGTTCCCAAAAATCTTAAATTCCTCAAACCCTGGACTTGTAACACAGGTTGCTTGTACTGTCCAGACATCAGGTAACCCACAGAACCTTCTAAGAGTTTAGAGTGTCGACCCCACAACCATGGCATAACAGAGTTTAAGGCTTACGCTATTTGTAAAGTGACAATTTGACAGCAAACTAGGTAGAGACAGAGTGTTAGGCACAGTAGTTTCAATGACAACATTGCAAAACAAGCTCTTGATAGCCTCGACATAATTAATTCACACTGTGTTGTTGTTTTTGTCCATTTTGCCCGAAATCTCAAACAGTGGAAATATTTCCACAAAGTAAATGCTTTCTGCTGTCTGCTCTGCCTTCTCACTTGAGCACTAGTTGAATCAGCTAGCTCTGACACACATGTTTACCGTCTTTTGCTATGCCTTAGCATTTGCCTTAGCAAATTTATATGTCATCAGCCAATTGATATGTAGTCTGTCATAGAAATACTGTTTGATTTCAATGGTTCAAAGCTCTTTAACTCTCAGTTTCTCCTGCAAAGATCTCTCAAACAGTTCTGGGCTTGACTCCATCAGCTTATAAGACACACGATCCCAGTCTGGTTTTCATATGTCATATCTGCATCAGACACTGACTGTAAATGTATAATATGTCAGCACAGGTATTCTGGTGTAACTTTTGTACAAGAGGAGGAGATGGGGGCATGATATATGCCTTTATATACAAGCAATGGTACCAGCAAAGATAGGAAATGGAACTGCTTGTTGGTATCATGGTGTTTAGAGGTCAAGTTGATCATGTAGGATAGGTTCAGTATTTACTCTACAGTCAAAATACTCGGTCATAATTGCTTCTCTCGTAAAATACCACCCAGACCTGATGCAAACTACCTTAAAGGATTGGGAGAACCATGTAGCAAGAAGAAACTCTGAGCTGATATGAGACCACCTCACTTCAAAGAAAAGCTCAGCAGGTCATCAAAACCGGGCATGTGGAGGGTAACACCTGAGACCACGCCCTGCTGAGATGCCACGCCCTCTTAAGTGTTCTATTCAGGACGTGGCAGAGTATCCAGAAACTGCTGAGTGTCTTGATGAGCAGGACGCTGAGGCTGTTTGCAGAGACTCTTTTAAAAGAGTCAAACAGCTGATGTGATTGGACAAAACTGAAGCTCACCATCATTAAAATTCCTCCTGCTGATCCTGCAGTTCTCCCTCCTGTAATGTATTCACCACAGCCCCCTCCTTCTCTGTCTGCACCTCGCTGCACCAGGGCTGTGGACGTGTCTTTTCTCAATAAAGTGGACAATGTTAACCAGTTAAACCCACTTTATTCTGCATTTGTGATAAAATATTCAACTTTGGAAAGTGTAATTCAAATTAGCAAAATAATGAGCATATAGATATGTGTATAAAGCTTATGCAATGACCATATAGGGTCAGAATGTCATATTCAAGATGCAGCTGTGACTAATTGTTAGATACTAGCCATTAAAATGCTTGTGTGGTGTAAAAGAGCTGTCTTGTTTTGTTATTTTGAGGTCATTGTTTAATTACCTCTATTATTTTCTACCCACTCTGATGAAAATCATATTTTTCTTGTTGACTATATGTTTATATGACATTTTTCTGATACTAGAGGACAGATGAGAAAACTAAGAGCAAAATTGTATTTCTGAGTATTTCCTCATCCAAATCACTGTAAACCTCTCACAGACCCAAACGGTAGGTTAGAACGCCCTGCGCCACCACGCCCAGCTTGGCAGACCTCGGTGCGCCTCAGTCTACGAAAATACCAAACTGGCCATTTGCCGGGCTCCGCCAGATGAAAATACCTCCGCAGGGGGTGAGCCACTGTCCGCCACTCCGCCGGCGGGCACGAAAATAGAGCCCTATGAGTCACTTCTTTTGACCAATGTATGATTAAGTTTTGGATTCCTTTCTTGGACAATCAAAACACTTTCACCACGGAGCATGTGACTAACCTCAAGGAAACTAGGTCAAAAAAACTCTGCTAACAACTTCCAGGTGACCAAGTAGACCATTTGCAGAGGCGGACATGCTTCTGTCAAAAATTCCTTTCGTAAAAAATCCTAGTAAATGGCCTAATCAAGGTATGATCTTTTCACTGTGCATGTAAACATACTGAACCGGAGAAAAGACATATCTTTAAGAACGTTCACCCAGTCCAATTGCCTATTTAGATCAAGCCTTGAAATTCTCAGTTTCCATGATTATAAACTGCAACATTTGTCATGTAGATGGCACAATAAAGTGTCCCCTCCAAATTCATCTCATCTTCTATGAAAACAGATTCGAGCTGTCAGAATGAGAGTGCACTATCCAGCAGAGAGTGGAGATGCTAACAGCTCATGTATTTAATCAGACGCTCAACAAGAGCAAACTGTACAAAGCTGCAAAACAGAAAAGGCTTGTTAATACTTAAATATCATCATAGCGGTACGTTTTGAGAACCACACTACACTGGGGGCTCTGATAGATTGAGCTCCAAACATTTATTTTCTACAAGCCTCTTCTACATTGCAGTTTAGCTCTCGATGTTGGAGATATAGAGACAGCTAAACAGTAAAAGATACAGAAAAGTTTGATCCAGAGGCGTAAGTGTGTGTATGGATGCAAGACTGCCTCTGTAGTGTCTGCTCCTGACCATGCATGCAAAAGAAGCAGAGAGCAAACATCATCGGCTCTGCTGACACCTGAAAGTGTGCTGCAGTGCTGCGCTCTGAGGCACACAGAGAGAAATAAACATGCTCAGGATGAAACTGAGGGGGGAGAAAAGATGAGGATGTCAGAGCAGTGAGCGGAGAGGAGGTATGAGGAGGCAGAGACACCGAGCTGTGAGGCTGAAATGATGAGGAGAGGGAGGGAGGAGGGAGGCTGTGAAGAGAGAAGATACAACAGCTGAAAATAGAAAGAGAACACAATGTAATGGAAGATTTTAGAGGGAAAGAAAGCTGCTAATGGAATAAAAAAGAGCAATGGTAAATGTAAGCTAATGCTTTAACTTTGTAGGAGCCTGTTTGTGCTAATGATGAAAAAGCATTTTTAGATATAACTATTTAAATGTAAATTTACTCAGATCAAATGAAAAAATCTATTTGGTTGTAAAAGGATGGTGGATTGAACCCCTGATAAGTGGAAAAAATATCCTAAACCTGTCTTTTTTGCACTGACCAGCAGGGGGCGGCTTCACTAGTTGCAGAAACAGTCTACTCCCAAAAAGCCCCAAAGTCTCCAATTAAAACTCGCAGCAGATTTATTCCCTCAGAAAATATTTCCCTATTTCCTAGTTTATACTCTTCATCTCTGGTTTACAGTCTTATTGAACACAACATGATGTTCATTTAGTTCGATTATGGTCTCATTTACTGTAGAGTCAATGAGGCCAAATAGCATGGGCGAAGTTGGCGAAACTACCTATTGTAAAAAAAGCTGCTTTCAGTATGACTCCACACAATTCCTTTAGAGCTCTGTTCTGCAAAAATGAGGATTGGACTGTTATTCGTGTAATCATCGCAGCCCTCATACTACCATGTGCAAACACTGGGTGGTGCTGTTTACACAGGGACAGTTGCAACTTATTTCAGCGTTACAATCCTCTTCACATGCAAAGCCTAGACCACTAAACTACATAGCAAACAGCTGTTCCTGTGTTGAACTTTCAGTCTGTTTCATAACCAGGTGAATTTTCAATTACCACTGAATAACAAATGCTGCTCTCAGTATGACCCCACACAATTCCTTTAGAGCTCCGTTCTGCAAATATGAGACTCCGGCTCCTCAACCATTATAATTCTATCCACACAGCACAGCAGGAGCCTCATAGGTCAACACAGATGTAAACAATGATGTCACATTCCTTCTTTGCCATTGCTATTATACTATAGACTGCATTTGAGAAACATTGATTTGACCTGTGTTCCTGCCTTTACTTTATCGTTTGACTCATGTCTCCTTCCTCTTTTATGACGTATATTGTAGACTGCCAGCAGAGGGAGTGCTAAACATTTTGGTTTCACTTCAGGAGAGCTACCAAGCCATCCACCTTTTTATGCAGACTTTAGGTCAAACTTGCAAATGATGATTTAAACAGATCCTGATTTTCATTTATGTCAAACTCTGAGAAAATGTAAAAGCAACAATTTTGGATTGTGTTGAGTTAGCCTCAAATCTGGATCTAGTTGGTCCAGCTGACATCATTTTACAGTGTTACTAGATACATAACAAGATAGTTTAATAGCATGGTCTTGTTGAAGTAGATGCATTTTAACCATTTTTTTTTATCACACATCTAATTCATCTTGTTTTTCTCCTTATCATCTTCATCGTTAAATGAAATCACACAATTTTGAGCTCCCACTCTGAGAGTTTTCCTCACTAAATCAATGAATCCCAGATTGCAGTGTGCAGATTCGCCTCCTCATGTGTTGAATTGAAGCTGCAGCTTTCATCCAGCGAGTGAAGACCTGGAGAGCTGTTTAGTCTCTGAGCCTCTCTGTGGTGAACAAACAGCTACCTCCTCTGGATGAAAAGCAGCGTCCTGCTCTGCATCTCACATTCATCATTCATGGAGAACATTACAGTCAGGCGTCCTTCAGGCAGCCCTGAGCGCAGTCTCGGTCTGATCCTGAGGGACTTCCTCCTCCTCCTCTTCTTCTTCTTCATCCTGCTCAGAGATAAATATGTTGTTGCACCCTGCAGGCTGCAGCAGCACCGTCCCACCTCAGAGGGAGAGTTTGGAAACAGCAACAAAGAGCTAATCACACAGGGCAGGAAAATGGAGCTGCACTGGCCTCTACAGGTTCAACACAGGTTATTGCACTCACTGTGCAGCTTTTGAACTGTGATTAATCCTGTAGAGGCCACTGTGATGCACTGCACCGCTGCATGCTGCAGGATGAGACTGGCAGGGTTTCTCTCTGTGCCTCGACTAACGCACTGCACTTCAGTTTTCTTCAATCCTGCATTTCACAAGTTTCTACTCTAACATTATAACAGACACTGTGCACGATAAATTTAATGTAATATTTTGCTCTTTGTGCAGCATGTTTACCAACAGTAAAGTTTAGTAGAATTAGAGATGGGTTTAAAGAGGTGAAAACTTACCACAAAAACCCTGCTCTACTGTAATCTCAAGCTGTGTTTTGACTCTACTTTTAAGCATTATACCAAAGCATTTCTTTTGAGCTGCTACCAAGGTGTATTCTTCAAACAAAAGCCTAACACAGTGTCTTTGAGGGGTTGTTTTGAAGTAAAGGGTCTGGGTTTACTGCTCGCTGCCATCTGGAGGCAGAAAACCTCATTTAGCCATAGAGGGTGCAGCGTGGGTGAGATGAGCACAAGGAGAGGAGATCACCGCTGATGAATGTTAATGATCCAACTGCTGCGAGAATGCTCCTATGCAAAGTCTTGTCATGCACTTGCTGGCCATCAGGGGGCAGAACAACAAAGTTATGAACACTAGATTTACATATTTTGCCTTGAAAAAATGTAATTAAGTGAGTGGAGAAGATCTTCTTGAAATACAAGACTGTCACTCGGTAGTTTGCGTGCACAAACTTTTTCAAATGTGAATAGCAACTATGACGTCATACATAAGTTTATGGAATAACGTTTATATTTAAGGCTCTGAGTTTGACACTTGCGCGATTCCTGTCTCCCTTTTTCATTGGAACATGAAGAAAACAGAGTTTGATGGCAGGAGGAGCCAGAAAACAACTGGTTAGCATTTTCCCTCAGTCAGAAGAAGCCCAGGCTCGCTTCGACTTTTTTCACACATGAGCTCCTGACATTTTCTAGATCTTTTCTGAGTGATATTTTCATAAACGTACATATTTACATTAACGTCAGAGCAGGGAATTATATGTCAGATATCTCACAACTTAAAATGCTCCAGGTTGAAATAACCAAGAATGAAATGCAGCCACTAAGAGCGCCAAGAACTGTGCATCATCACAAAAACATCATTAAAGTTTTTCAGCTCCGTGCAGTTTGCTCCAGTTTTGCATTTGATTTTAATAACAGGAAAGTATTGTTGTTTTTTTGGCTTTCCTTTACAAGACCACAGCGTTTTGGGCAGCTGAAAACACGAACTTTGGAAATGCTGTCTGTTGTCATTTAAAGTGACAATACACAGATCCTATTGAAACAGTGAAAACATAGTTCTGTTAGCGCAGGCGTGTTCTGATTCCAGTCAAATAGCTGTGCACAAGCAGGAGGACTATAACAACAATGGTGGACTACTTAGCAGTTTGATGCTTCTCCAGGAAAATGTGAATTTGAGTTCTTGTGTGGTTGAACTCATCACTCTGTCTTTGAATGCTACATGCTGTTCTTCATTGGCATTCATCAAGAAGTGATATCACCAAATAACAAACCCCATACATCAGCATTTTGGTCTTTTTTGTAAATGTATAGCTATTGAATGCAAATGAAAGACTGTTGTGTTTTTAACAGGGCTGTTCTCATATAAACCAGGCCTGAGATAAACTTTTCAAGCTCCCTGCTGCATGGAGCCGCGCTGTGCACTCTCATCCTGACTTTGCTAAACTCTATTTATATATATGATGAGCTGAATGGAGAGGGGAAATCCCCATAGTTTTGGTTAATAATGGATGTGACACAACTTTTACACTCAATATCTGGTTGGCACTGCCTGTATGTGCAGGAAATAAGCCAGAATCAACCCCAGACTGATTAACCCCCGGTTATTACTTTATAAAAATAATGTCAAAATGACGCTATCAGACTTTATGCAGAGAAATTTAAATTTTAGGTAATTTCTGTTTTACTGACAGTTAAAGCGTGACACAGCTTTAAATACTCTAGTGCATCTCTCACAAGCTCTCAGCAGACAGCAAAAATTTCACTCAAACAGTACATGGCTGTTAGCAATCGTGTTCATGAGTGAGGTGCTATTTCTAATGCTGCTTTTTTTTCACAGAAGGGGAACCATTTTGCACCAGATGAATACAGAATGGCTCATTTGAGTGTATTCAAACAACGTTGATGCACAGTGACGCTATTAGCTCTGCAGCACGGTGTGCAGAGCATTTAATCTTTCTGCATGTGCTTTGTGAATTTAACAGTTTGATTTTTGTCTCATCTGCTCAAGTTTAGTGGGTTCATCATGTAACTGGTTGTTTCCACAACAGTAGGAAACACTACAGTTAGCTGAGGCAAAGAACAAAGGGTGTAAAGTGGAGCCAATCAACTCCATGTGAAACTACCAGAATATTACCTGCTGTGCTCTCACATCAGTTCACTCTGCCTGCTTGCAAACATTTTTCTAACAATCAGAAAAAAGCTGAGTTAAAAAATGCGGCTCCTTCTGCTCATATGCAGCCCTCTTGGTCACTGATTCGGAATTTTCTGGAATGTGGAGCATGTGTGAAAGGGGCTTCATGAAGCAACATATAGCTATAACTCTTAGTAACTTTAACATGAACTAAATTGTTAATTTTGTCGAGTTAAGGGGGAATGAAACAACATACACTCGATAAAAAATGAACAGCTGAATCCTCAGCATGTAGGTAGCCTCATCCAAATAGCTTCCCTGCTTCCTGGTCTCTTAGAATCTAAATGGGACCACGATTTCTGAAATGAAGATCATGTTTTACTGAGAAAGACTTGGAAACAGGAATTGAGAACATAAACAGATCAGGAAAATGTTTCCTGAAGGAATCAATATATCAAGGAGTAGGACTATTTTCTCATCGACTTCTACATAATTAGAGTCGTCCCCTGCTGGACAGTTTAAGGAACGCAGGATGAAAGCATTTTGCATTAATTTTACTTTGAAGATTTCATTGATCATAAGATTTCATGAAAAAAAAAAACTTATTTTTCATTTAAGTTTGGCAAACTGAAGCCCCTTACCTCGACACCATAAGGTTAGATAAATTACACACCTGTACCATCTTACCATCAGTGCTAATATGTTAGCATACAAAATTAAGCACAACCACAGGTATAACACAATTACTCGATTCAGTTGGATCAACTACAAAGGATGTCCATCTCTGCTACAGTACACAGATATGTGCCCCCTTTTAGCTAGCCGCTGTTTGACGCTATAGGTCAACTTCTTCAAGCTGACCTATAGCTCTTGCTATGTGTTTACACTGCGTGCTGCTCGTACCTCAGCAAGGCGATGCAAATCACACGCTTTAGCACCAAAGCATAGTGGTCTACACTGTCATCAGCACCACATACTTGCACATCGGAGTACCTGCATTGCTCTGTGATACTCCACCTGAACACTAGCTGGCAGTGAAAATTCCTTGTTAGTCATTTTCTGCTTGTTTGTGCAGGAAACCATGACAACTGAATTACATCAGGGTTACAGCTGATTAATGTTGTGCGTCAGTTGACCGTATTGCAACTGTAGGGCCAATTCTAAGAAGCATTTGGAAGCAAGTTAGGAAACCTTAGTTTGTTCCCTTCTTTAGGGTTACTGCAGCACATCCATATTCAACAGCATTAGTAACCAACACAGATAACAACACACACCACCATGATAATAGTGAGGAAAGCATGACAAAAGTTACATGATGCATTACCTTAAACTAACAATAAACCTTATTGTGCACAATGCTTGGTGAAAGATATCGCTGTAACAGTAAGTATTCAAGGACAATAAAAGAATTGGCATGGATGGAAAATGCAGGAAATATAATGCTAACCAGTGGACCAATCACAGGTCTTGTGGTCTGCTTTGTTGTCAATGTCTGGTTACATCCTTGAGGAGGTGCACCCCAGACCATCTGCACAAGCTTTTGCATAGGTAAAGGGACGCAAACCCTACAATGCTAGCTATGGCTTACATTTATTCAGGCTTAATACAACCCACTCTGGTGTTGATTTGGTTTTTAAGTACAAAGGTGTGATGTTGGTGGAGCTTTGCTTTCGTACACCATCCTACTATGAAAAGTTCTGCTGGGGTCTCCGTCTTGGCGGCCAAGTTCTCCAGAAAACACTCCTTGAGATGGTATTAGAAGGTGGGAACAAACCGTCTATGGGGTTATAGTGTTAGGAGGACTTGTTTGGTGAATAAAAGAAAAACAAAAATCAACAGATGAGTGTCTAAAAGAGTGTAAATATCGTCAGATATTTATCAGAAAGCTTATTTAAGAGTCAGATGTATCACTTGGTCAATACAAAGCAAGAGATCAACTTCACACTCTGCATGAGATTCAGTTTAACAGATTGACCAACATTTCATAGTAACTCTCTCTGTCTCTGTCTTTCTTTCTTTCTTTCTTTCTTTCTTTCTTTCTTTCTCTGAGAGTATGTGTCTTAAGTGTGTTTGTGTGTTGAACCCGGCCCTCTCTCGTCTGTCTGGTACTTTCCACAAACACAGACCTGCTCCACAACATTCCCACATGTTAGCAGGTTAGCAGCTACTGCTTTGTTGCAGTGTCAGTAGAGACAAGACACAACAGTTCAGTACAGCTCTACTTGAGTTTGCTGCAGTGCAAGAAGAGACAGAGACAATCCAGTTCCTTTACTATTTAGTGTTTGCAACAAAGAAGATTATCTAATTTAAGTTTCATGTTTTATTTTATTTTTTAAAATTATTTGCGGGCATGAAGCAACATTAGAATTTCTGTAGTAGAAAAATTGAGGTTTAACATGTACTCTGTTTGTGTGCAGAAAGACCTTAACAGTGATTTAATCTGCACATTTGGCTGGACTTTAACCACCTAATGAGATTTTGGGAGTGAATCTGCAAAAATAGGTTCTTTCAAAACACACTAAAATGCTTTTATAGTCTCATTGACAAATAAAAGGAGCCGCTGTCGAAACCTGGCGTTGCGCTGAAGTACTGATGTCACATTTTAGAGAAGTGGTTGTGCCATTCTGAGAGGAATCTTGTGGATTTTGATGCCACTTTCTAGCCTCTGTTTAATTTTTTTTCCTCATTATATCCTCATACATTGGTTTTTATCATCATGAAAATATGAATACTCTTTAGCACACTTTCCAAATGTCAAACATGTTCTCACTCAAGAAAAATGCTTTGTCATGGCCCCCTTCTGCACGAGAGGTGTTTTTTCTGTGTGCTTTTTGAATCTGTTTTCTCCCACTTCAACATGAGTTTGCACAGGTTGTGGAGAAGCACACTATTCTGGACCCATTTATTTCTCCCTATAAGTCCAGGGATCAGTTGTTCTGCTGTCTCACCTGACTTCCCTGTGCTTGCAGGAGAAGTTGCAAAGAACATCAGGTACTCCTGCAGACTACCCCTGATGCTTGCTTTGCAAAGTGCATGACTTATATTGAAAAACGGACCAAAGATTTGCCTGTTAATGTATGTAGAGTAGAAGATTCTTTGCTGATAGTGTGTTTTAATTTTGTTGTCCTTAATTTTGTTGCTGCTCTTTGCACTCACTGATCTCACAAATCATGTTTGTAAATGACTCTCAAATTTTGTAACTCAACCCCCATCAGTTCTCATGTACCTGAATGTTTCCTTGTCACTGAAACCAGCACAAGAAGACAACTTCAACAAACGAACCACACTCCTCGTTTTGACTGACAGCTCACTCTCTGCTGTTTGTACATGGAGCCACATTTTAATTCTAAAAATAAAATGACCCTGCTGACCTTGTCTGTTAAGACTAAGTTGAATGTTACTATTTTTGTTATTGTCAGTAAATCCCATAAAACACTCAAATAAATCAGCACGTTAAATGCTGACTCATTTTTACAATTAAAACACAGACATCCATGAGGCTCCCAAGGACTTTTATTTTGAAAGGAAGCCTTTTGAATTTTCACAGTTATTCCAAGTCAAATGATTTGGATGACACTAACGATTTTCTAACTTTCTTTGTTTCTTGTTGAACTTTTTGGTGATAATTGATGTCAGAGTGGACGATTTTTTAGCCAAAATGTTAAAATTTCAATATTTTCTAATTAAGAATTAACATTAAAATCAAACTATGAGGGTTTTATAGGTTTTATTCTTAAGGAAAAACTCATGTGAAACATGTGTACCCGGAACACGGACTGGTTTTTGTAAGTCTCAGCTCTGGGGCTGCTGAAATGAGGACATTCCTGTTAGACAGCCTGGGAGGAATTTGAATAGTTCAGAGGAACCGCCGGACGCTGATTGGTGCAGAGCGACATATTTCCAGAGCGCCGGGCTGTCAATCAACAGACTCCAGGCAGCTGATTGGCTCTCTCTGTAGGAGGCGGACCCTGCGTCTTTAGTATATATACTTTGGTTTCAGGCCATCTGTAAATGATTGCTGGCTTTGTGGGGGAGGCGGATCGTCGTGTCCAATGTTTCTCCACAGAGCTGACTCGAACCTTTCTCCTCCAACACAACGGTTCCCTCTGAGATAGCTGAGAGGCACATTTCTTCTCCCGGAGAGGAGCTGGACCAACGATGATCAACACCATGGAGTGCGCAGCGGACGCGCAGAGTCTGATCTCCATTTCTCTGATGAAGATCCATAACTCCAGGACGCAGAGAGGAGGCATCAAGCTGCACAAAAACCTGCTGGTCTCGTATGTGCTGCGGAACGCCAGGCAGGTCTACATCAAGGAGAAATACGCGGAGATCTACAGGATGCAGCAGTACGAAGAGGTGATGACGGTCTGCAATGAGATCCAGGAGCTCAACCCGCTGGATCTGGACGCAGAGGACGCGGAGGATGAGGAGCAGGCGCGGGCTGCTTGCTGCGGAGAGGAGGCGAGTCTGTGCGGAGCTGCGTGCCACCGAGGCGCGGCGCAACTAGCGGTGCACACCCGGGCAGCTGTGAGCGCTCTGCCAGACTGCTGTCCGTTGGAGGAGAGCAGCAAGGAGCCGGAGCCCTGCTACTACCGGAGCTGCTGCATGGAGACCTCTCCGGTGTCACAGTGCGAGCAGTTCTCCGCGAACAGCTCCGCGTACTGCAACAAAACCACCGTGCTGGACTTGGACACGCATGTGGTGACCACGGTGGAGAACGGTTACCTCCACCAGGACTGCTGCTGTGACGCGCTCCAGTGCGGACAGAGCGCGCAGTCCCCGGCCAAGAAACGAAAGGTGGAGTTCGGTTGTTGTGTGTCCGATGTGGAGGAAATCTCGGATTTTGCAGCGGCTCGCAAAAGAGCGAAACGCGAGGACTGTTCCTTTTTCCACCCGGACTACACGGACACTTCACACATCTCCAACCTCATCTCCATCTTTGGATCGGGGTTTTCAGGGCTGCTCAGCAGACAGGCGGACGTGGAACAGATATGTAGCAAGCAAGTCCTGGCCAGTCTGGGTGCGTGGACCCGGGCGATCGTGGCGTTTTGAATCAAACACTTTAATTTAGGGGAGACCGGGGTCAAATGTAACACGTCTTTTAACAGAAAATAGCGGTAAACTGAAGTCAGTGACTGTTTTCTGTTTCCAGTTCAACAAATAAGCCTTTCCGTACTCTTCTCCACACAGCCCTGCAATTATGTCAAGAAAAATACAGATCTATGTGAAAACTTTTGCTCATTGAACATTCCCCGACACACATTAAAAAATATATATATATATACAGAAAGTTTTCTGGCTTAGGAAGGTTACTGAAAAACATGTGCTCATTGTGACCTAAAATGGTATTTTCACAACAACTGTGTTGCAAATTTAGCACTAAACATAAGGGTCAGTTGCAAGGGAAACATTTTCTAGGAATAATTTAGTAAAACAAGGTATAATAACTTAAGGTAAGATTCCAAATTCAGATCAGGAACTTATTATAAAAGATAAATTTGTGTCCGTGTGGGCTACACTAGCTTTCAAAACTCAAAATTAACAGTATCTCGCCCTTTTGAGTTAAAAAAAGAAGTTATTGATAACATATGTGCGTGTCCTTTGTTGGTTAGCGCTTGGTGACATCACTCTCCTGATTGGAAGTGTTACATCTCGACCCGGTCTCCCCTACTAGGTCTAAATCAACTTTATTTTTGCAGGAAAACTAAAAGCAGATATTTAAACAAGCATTTTAAGGACAGCAGTTTGGCAGGGAGAGGAGAGACGTTGTGCCATAAAAACATTTACTGTTCTGATGATGAAATGGATCGACTTCTGTTGCCTTAAATCTGACGCACATCACTGCGCACTGCTGTCAGAAAGTGAAAGTGACTGAATGTGTCTCCTGTCCTGGAAAATCATCTGTGGTTTGAAACGGACATTTTTGCACATTTTTAGCAGTTTGTTGTGAAACACTCCCCTCCTGAAACACTTTAAAGGTACATGGACTGAAGCAGCTCATATCACTGAAAGAGTGCCAACACTTATTCTCACCTGTGTGACAAAAACAGTCTGTTATAAACCCTCCTCTCTCAATCATTGTTGCTCAAAGCTTTCACAGTGAATTATGAATCCAACACATCTGGGTTTTGTGAGATTTTATTTTGAATTTGTTTGTAAAAGATTGATTTTAGTCCTTTTGTTTTAAAAAGGCAAACCCCTTGATTTTAGCCATAACCCCTGAGAGTCCACGCATTAGCTTTATGAGCACTATGTGTACCAAAATAAAGAGAGTATTCAGCCATTCTCAACATAATTTTGTTGTTATTCTTGTATTTTTGTGCTTACTAAATTGTATATCACCGGGTAAAACTGTTCCAGAAAATATTTGTTAAAAATTTATAATCTTAATAAAAAATGGAAATCTTTACTGGTGTGTTTGACTGCAGTTATGAAGCTTCTAACATCATATTAAAACCCACTCTATGTATTTATAACACAGCTAAACAAGATGGTGTTTGAAAAGGGTGAATGAGTTGGTTGCTATGAATACATTTCTAATCAATGAATCACAGATTTATGCTCAAAGGATCAGTTCTAAGCCTCACATGGGTAAAAATATCAGTAAGGTGAATAAGCAAAGATGTGTCTTACTTTCTAACAGCTGCAGAAGAGAATAGTGATAGACGTTCATACTTCTTTCATTTAAGTAACTTTTGCAAAGATGCATCAAGTCAGCAGTATGTCGGCTTAGTTTCACAAACAGATCACACGCTTTGAGGGAAAAAGCCAGGTGTCAAATAAACAGGTTAGAGATGAGGTGATTCACTTTAAAGAAAGTGCATTGTTTTACTATTCCTGCAGACATAAAGTCATAATGAGGGATACATTTGAATGGTAAAAACAAACAGGGTGAGATTTTGTATTAGAAAGTCAGAGACAAGAGGTAATTAAGAGGAATTAATGATAACAGAAAGTTCCTCACAGGAGCTTTAAGTTTGACTTACAAGAAGGAAATAGCTCAAACTCAAACTGTTTTTCTTCAAGCCGAGATTTTAAACATGGAGTCAAAACATATGAAATCACTTTACATTTTGATCTCTCAGTGAGATAGTTTCATGTGCACACTGATCTTCCAATAAGCAGCCTTTTAAAATAAACCTTAAGTCATTGTTAGTTTTTAACTCCGCCAAGAAAGAAAGAACATTTTCCAAGCTAGAAACAAAAGTGAAATGAGATAATATCATAAAACATTTTAATGTATAGGTACATTGTTGCTAACATTTACTTGAAATGAACTTAAACCTCTAGTGAGGAACTTTTGGTCGCATTGATTTTGGCGCCCCCTGTGGACAAAGCTATACCTTTAATCTCCTCCATTTTTTCTTCTTCCATGGAGGTAATTAGAGTTTTCTTTATATTTCTTTTATCATCCAAATATATCCTAAACTGAGAACTTTTGCCAAGCCTATTGTAATAAGAAAGGTGTGAATGAAATCACTTTATCTGGCACCTACCCTTGAGTTTTGGAAATCAGTTATTTCAGGATAAAAACATCCGGTCTTGTTTGTCTTTGTGGGTCATAAAGACACATTAGTGTAAAATCACGCTGATTTATAACCATCGAAACTCTTCACATGAGCTTTAAAGCCATCAGTAATACATATCTGCCACATTGTGCACAGGCAAACATGGCAGCTGCTCATTAAGTTAGAGTTAGAGCTGATAGATGTGTAGTAGTTGATAAGGCTGCACTTATTGCAAAAGAAGAAAAGCGAGGCGATGTAGATGAAGAGATGGCATGGTGTATGCAATAATACTGGAGGTATAGATGCAGCTCAGTGTCCCAATCACAAAGCTTTATTGTTTGGATGTGCAGTTACACTTTCAGGGAGCTGCACACCAGACAACATACATAAGGTTCTGCATTGGAGTGATTTTTGCACATTCATTTTTGACAAATTCTGCAGGAACACAAAGAGGTGGAAGGAAAAATTAGACATATTTTGCATTACAGTTACAGTTTTGAGATGGTGCACATCAGGCAGTGCATGTAGGCTTCAGTTTGAGTGCGCAAACCATTAGAATACGCTATCGTATAGATTTGACACATCAGTATAGACCAGGTTTGAGAGTGACACAGTTTCAAAATCAGTCCAAAACTCTTTAAATAAATGAAGAGGACTCACTTAGGGTCTTTTTATTTAACATCTTTTAACCTTTCAGCTTTATGACAGGATCATGGTCAGTGCTCAAGTCAAAACCAGATTATTTTCAATCTATTCTCTGTTTGTAATAAAATTTGTCATTGTGTTTTGGGGTTCAAACATGAACAAAAATAAACCTTGAATAGAAAAATCTAAGAAAAAAAAAAAAACACAGCGGCCAAACTGTATAAAACCTGTGAAATAAAATACACAAAGGTAGATATTTAAAAGCTCAATAGAGAGCAGGACACTTTAGAGTGTGGATAGTCTTTGATTATTTGCTAGTTTGTAACACACTTTGGGGATGTGATGATAAATGAGTGTTTTCCATGAGCAAATTTCACTTAACTCTTCAGCTGAAAGTTCCAGTAAAGCTAAAAGGAGCACTCTGAGTTATTTATGAATACACAAACAGCTCTTAAAAATCTTGGACACACAAACTGAACATAACTTAATGAAGATGTGACTGTAAACTACGCTGATGCATAGAATAAATGCACTATATTGTACATATTGTTTAAAGTTTGTGCTAAACTTCCCACAAAGGCTCCTTTTGATGTTTTTCTCACTCCCCCTGTCATGTGACTCATCCTCAGCTCTTCATCTCTTCCTGGTTTCTCCTCCTCCAGCAGCTCTGTGAGTCCTGTTATCTCTGCTCTGTGCCACTTGGTGGTGTTCTTTAAAATCAATGAATGAAGATATCAGCGTGGGGCTGTGTGTATGCAGAGCAGAGCCACCTCACACTGACCCTCCCTCCACTCTCCTTCTCCTCCCCCTCCCCCCTCTTTCTCCAGTCCTCCTCCTCCTCCTCTTCCTGTTCGCCTCATTTTTCTGAGTGAAGCATCGCTCTGCAACAACACATCACATCTATTGCTCCTGCAGCTCTGCAGCCTTTCTCCAGCTGCTGTTTTTACCCATAATACCTTGCAGTAGGAGGGATGCAATGGAAGAAAGGATGCAGAGTGAACAGTGCATGTGTGATAATGCAGAAATGGGCTGTAGGAGAGAAAAACTGCTTTTTATCGTGGATGAACTGCTCACAAATGGTGCTCAAACATATAGTCTCCTTCAAAATAAAAGCATGAAATGATTTCAGGAGTGATCCACGGTGCAGCTCTCTCTGCTGGTGGTGAGTTGTGTGGACAATGGTTCTGTTTCATGGTGCAGACACAGCTCCTCCATCTGGATTGGCGAAGACTGACACCCAGGAACACACACACGTGCAACTGAAAAACAGACATTTATTCAATTTATGTGATTTTTTCCTCAAAATTTTAGCTTTTTTTATTTGTAATCTTAATCCTTTTATTTGTTTAATTGCAGGGTAAAATGTCCCCAGAAACAGTGCATCTGCACAAAAAGACCCAATTTAATAAAATAAAACAAAACAAATGAAAGATAGAGGCCAAAAAGAAAAAGAAAATAAACCAAAGGTCAACTTTTTCTTCAAATTCTCAATTTATTTCACCTCTTTTATCACCTTTTCTGCAATAAAGAACAAAACCAGGTGGCAGGGTGACGTGATGAGGGTGTGTGTGGAGTGTGTTATTGTGTGTGAGTGTGTGTGTGTTAGGGGGGGGTTAGCAGGGGGAGGGCTAGACAACAGAGGGAGTGGAGGGGGGGCTGTGAGGGAGGCATGCTTTGTCAGGAGAGGGGGTTGATGTTGGGGGGAGGAGGCCACATGTGACAGCAGAAGGGAGGAATGAGGGAGGGGGGGTGTTTGTGTGTGTGTGTGTGTGTGTGTGTGTGTGTGTGTGTGTTCGAGTGGGGTGGGGGGTGCGGGGGGGACTGTCGGGAATAGGTGCAGCGGCTCAGAGAGTCAGACTGTGGCAGCAGAGATCGAACGGGTCAGCCGGGCTGCTCAGA